CGTAGCATTACTAAGGTTACTAGAGTTATAGGTCGATAGGCTAGATAGGCCGTCTACCTCGCTAGGTTTAATTTTGATGTATTATATCGGCTAGGCGTAAGCAACCCTACTAATAGCCTATCGAGGCGACCTAATTACGACAGCGGGACTTAGCAATCCATCAATTCATTGTTTCTAACCCTATAGTATAAGATTGCTATAGCCCGTATTGTTAATAAGCAAGCGTAGGATAAGCGGCTTACCGGACTCCGCGACGGCTTAAAGCATATTAATGCTCTTACTGTATTAACAGTGCGTGTTAAGGACATAGACAGGAGAAGTTATAATAACTCCCTAGTCGATATCGCTATATACAGTAACAGCGATAGTACTACTATAGTTAATCCGGCTGCTAGTACTATTAGATGCATATAATACGTACCTCGTTTAATAGCGAGGGTGCTATTAAATAACCTTACAAATAGGAATAGTTAATCGTTTATAGATAAGCTGTTACGGGCTTAGTAGAGGGACGCCTTTGCTGCTAAACGTATAGACAAGCTTGTAAGTAGGCGAAAGACTCGATCTAGTAAGAGTAATTAGTCGATCGACGACAAAGGTCACTTAAGGTTTAAGGGCAGATACTATATCCCCGCTAAACAATCGATTAGACAAGAACTTCTTAAGCGATACTATAATAGTAAGCTTGCCGGTTACTATAGTATAGAGAGGTCGTACGAGCTACTATCGCGCACATACTACTAGCTAAATAGTAAGCGGGATATAAAGGACTACGTAAACACGTATGCCGTATATTAACGAGTTAAAGCACTAAAGCACTTACTATTTGGCGAGTTGTCTTCACTCCCTGTTCTAAAGAAGCTATTTGCTAAGCTTATAATGGATTTTATTATAGGCCTTCCGCCTACTAAGCGTAGGGGAAGCAAGGATGTATATAATGCTATCCTAGTTATCGTAGACCGGTTTACTAAGGGCGCTCGTTACATTCCTACCCGAAAGGATTAGACGGCTATTAACCTAGCTAAGGCGCTATAGACTAACATCTTCTGTACCTATTAGGGAACCCCTAAGGGGATAGTCTCCGATAGGGGCTCGATATTTACATCGTACTATTAGAGCGAAATATACCTATAGCTAAGACTAAAGCATCGGCTATTAACAGCCTTCTATCTACAGACTAACGGTTAAACAGAGAGACAGAATGCTACCCTATAGTAGTACCTACGCAGCTACATTAACGAGAACCCTAAGGATTAGGTTAATCTCCTATAACTAGCCGAATTTGTATACAATAACAGTGTCTACTCATCTACTAAGGTATTACCTTATTTCGCTATAATAGGAAGCAACCCTGCGCTACTATAAGACCCCCTATCGCTCGAGGCCGAGCGTAAGGAAAGGGAAGCGGGTTAACCTAAGACACTAGCGGCTATTAAGAGGGTTTAGAAGATGCGAGAAATCTATACTAAGATAGCCGAGAAGTTGACAAAGGCTTAAGAGTACCAAAAGACCTACTATAACAAATACCACCTTCTAATAACCTTCAAGCAAGGCGATATAGTTATACTTAGTATAAAGAACCTCCGCATCCGCAAACACCTATTACCCGATAGCAAAACAAGGCCTAAGCTCGCACTAAGATATATTAGCCTATTCCGCATTCGAGAACCGAAGGGCACACAGGCCTACTAGTTATAGCTCCCACTATACTACACTATCTATAACACCTTCTATATCTCCCTCCTTAAACTATACTACTACCGCGGAGACCCTAATAATAAAGCGCCTACTAAGTTAGAAGAAGTCTTAGCTAATAGTAAAGAACTGTAGTCTATAGAACGTATCCTATAGCACCGGACTAGGAAAGGCAAGAAGGAATACCTCCTAAGGTAGCAAGGCTATTTACCTAAATAGGACTCGTAGGAAGCTAAAGGATCCTTTAAGGATATAACCGAGTTATTAGATAAGTATTGGACTAGCGTAAAGAACAAGAAGAAGGCTAAAAGCTTATAATATTACTATTAAGGCCTAGAACAATGCTACCCCCGGGGTGCTATTAGCTAACTAATTAGAGGCAAGCAATTGTTAGCAACAAAGGACAATAAGACTACACTAGGCGCGCTACGACGCGTTAACTAATTGCCTACTCTTTTAAGGACTCTACCTCTTTACTAACGCGCCCTACAAATCCCCCTCTTATTCCCTTATTCTGTCGAGGCCTCGAGGCCTAGGCAATCGGTAAGGACGGCGCGGCCGGCGCGGCTATATTAGTGACAGTATTGCGGAGTATATTGCCGTTTAAGAAAGGAAGGACACCGCTATATTAGTAACGGTATTACCGAGTTATTATTAGTTAAAGAAGGAAAGTAAAACAAGGTAAAGTTAGCGCTAAGACGACTAGCGCCGCCGTTATTAACATTACTTGCTATTGTCGCTACGCCTATAGATACAACCTTACCTACACTACGAGCCTAAGGCACCTTTAATTAAAACTTTAATTAAAACTTTAAGCCGCTTAAAAGATTAAGCGACTAATAGACTAGCTAACTAAGGGCAAAACTATAGAGCTAAGCTAGCCGGGGTCGATCTTGCGGACAATAGGTTACTCCTCGATCTATCTAACCCTTTAAGCGAGGCGAACCTCTACTACTACACTTATAATAGCCTTTACCTATAGAAACTAGACGAGCTGTGTTTTTTTTGAAAAGATAAGATAAGATTGACACTTAAAGGCTGCCAAACCTAGCTAATTAGGGCTAGCGAAACTACGAACAACAAGAACAATAACCCTCGGAAGCGAACAAACCCTCGGAAGCGGACATTGCTAGGTCTTTTAAGAGTAGACGCAAAGAACTCGGTACGACATTACTTAGAGCGGAGGCAGGGCTACAATACCTCGTACGTCTACCTATTATAGTAGGGAAGACGCGCTCGTATTGTAATTGGTCGATAGCCCTTAATTCTTATAGCTTTATATCCCTTTACTTTATTATATATAAGGATAGCGCAGTTAGAGTTGTATATTATATTATTTAGAGGTAAGGTTTTATATAGTTATATAATTAGGTAGTTAAGTGTTCAATTTAGCGCGGCTAAGCAGCTTATTAGACTTACTAAGTCAGCGGCAATAGAGGTCGGGATTAGAATATAGGCAGGCTACGAGGGCGTAGCCTTTAGAAGGGAAGCGTATATTAGGGCCAAAGAGGCTATACGTGATTAGCATGTAACTAGGCCGAGTAAAGCTAGGGTCTCGATACCTTAGGTAGGGCTTAGCGCTTAGCGTTAGGCCAACTCTCCTACCTTCCTCCCTCTCCTTCTAGATCCTTATCGAATACTACTCGTACCTACTACTACCCTATCTACCTACTAACATACCCTTCTTACAATAATATTGTCGACAGTCTACTATGTCCGATTCTACGCCTCTAAACGACGCCGCTTTACCTTAACATTAGTATTACAGATTACCCGCTTTCGAGCCTAGATATCGTTCTTCGGCTATAGTATTTCTACCTTACTCCTAGTTACTATAAGAGTTAGATTAAGAGCTGTTATAGGACTAGGAATCGGACTATTAAGTATAGCTTTAATAGATAGAACATGCTCTCTAGTAGCCGTTATATCGCTAAATAGCTAGTCTAGTTCAACTAAGAAGGGAAGCGGCTTCTTTAGGAATTTCTTCGTACGAGGATAGATAGCAATACAGGCCTTTACGACGTCGTCCGGAGCGGTTAGATAGCTACTATTTGGATTAATGCCGAAGCTAGATTAAGCTAGTATCTTATACTATATCTTCTAGTCTACTTTAAGCAACGATAGCTTATTCTTTATAAAAGCGGCTATAATACAAGCCTTCCGCTAGGCCTATATAATAATAAGGTTTACTACTGTTGCTACTGCAACAAACAGGCCCTTCTTAAAGCTAGAATCCGCCCTCTTACTATAGTTCTTATACCTGTCGATAGCACTATTTATTAAGTACTACGTCTTAGCATCGTTAAAGCGCTAGTTACCTTTAACTTCTACCTTAATAGGCGCTAGATTAGGTACCTCGTCGAGTGCCTCTTCCTATTACGTATCCGGCAATTGCGAGTAGTTAGGCGGTAGTTCTAGCTAAGAGTACTAAGACTAGTCGATTGCTTAAGAGTCTATTATTTACTAACAAATTTAGTAGGCAACTAACGACCTACGAGCGACTAGACTAGCAGCAATCTCTTATATCGAACGAGCCGTTATAATAGCCTCCTTCTATATCATTTCTACTACCTACTAATAAAGCTACTACCTAAAGTCTACGGAAGTTACGAGATACGCTAAGAACGCCTTTACCGAGATTGCGACGATACGATAACCGTACGAGAAGACACACCTCCTTATCTAATTCACTTATTGTGGCGGCCGCTAATACAGTAGGTTATATGCTAATAAACGCCACGATATTAGACATTGGATTATAGACAAGACAGGCTCTTGGCTTGTTACATGAACACTACTGAAGCCGTCGCATCGCATCTGGACGCAACACGAAACGTGGCTTCCCTGCTTCTTCCCAGCATGTTCCTCGTCACTGCCAATAGACAGGCTGATATTTCGCATTCCAGGATTGAATCATGTTTCATGTGCGTGCGTTCATCAGCCTGATGATCGAACCATGCTAGGAAAATCAGCAAGCACCACGCGTGAATCACGGCCTCGTTCCGTCCATGTCCGCTGTCATCTCAAGCCAACCCGGAATACCATTCAAGTTCTTCAACGAGTCCAACGGCATGTCCGGAAGCGGTCATGCCTGCCATGATCACTATGTACTACACAAGACTAGACGGGCACGTTTGCTCGCCTTCACCGTCTGAACTGGATTATTGCAAAAGAACGTCTGTCACGATCGAAATGAGGCTTCATGGTACGGAGGGAAATGCTTCCTGCATTCTGGATTTACATGTAGTGTCACATTCTCTGCGCTGAAAAATCGGTCCTGCTCAACAGAATCCCGCTTCGCTTCATCAAGACTGCTCTGCCTCTGCCTCTTCGATTCGGCGACAACTGTCCCGCACAGCATCGCATTGTCTTTGCCACTCGGCGATTTGTTCCCGACGAGCTGGCTCGAAGGCAACAACCGTGAAGCTGTCGCTGATGTCGACCTCGCGTGATGCCCACTGGTCCACATCAGCTGCACGCGCACTCTCAGCCTCGCCACCTTCCGAGACATTGTCAAGCCAGGCATTGATGCGAGCGTCGTCCTTGGTGTAGGCGAAGAAGCGAGTCATCTCGTCGTCGCTGACGTCGTAGCCAGACCCATGACGGCCATCTGCTGCATCATCTGCGAAGCCTTGAGACTGCTCATCATCGAAGAGCTCGACCTGGCCCTCTCGCGCTGCCACTTGCGCTTGTTTGAGAGCTGCTTCTGCTTCAACGAGCTCGTGCGTGATTTCGTGGATTCGCACGAACCAGCGGAGGTCGAACGCTTCTCTGTCTGCGTCAAGAGCCGTCTCGCCTGTGGCCCAGGCCTGTTCGTTGAACTGCTTCTCTTGATCTCGAACGCCTTCCCTGAGCTCAAACTCCTCCGTGGCTTCCCTGACGCGCTCCTTGGCTGCCCAGAAGTTCTGTCGGAGGTCTTGTTCGGCTCGTTCTTCAGGTGTTGGCGTTGGAGCCCGAATCTCGAGGTGGTCCTTGGAAGTGTCAAGGGGTGCCACAGGCTCGTAGATGATCTCGGCATCGTCCTCCTCGGCGTCTGCTTGCTGTCTGGCATGAAGCTTCTGATATTCGGCCTGAAGGTCAAACACTTCGACTGGCATCTCTTCGTCAACTTCGGGATCCAAGAGCGCCGCACAGACGAACGCCTCGTCTAGGATCTGTGCGACTTCGCCTTGTGCCTCGATCAACAGTGCACTCTTCATGTGCAGGTTGGCCGCGAGGTTGTCCCTTTTCCACTCCATGTTGGTCCGGATCAGTTCCAAGCTCTCGAGCTCCACTTGAAGCTTTGCAACTGTCTGCTCGTCCTGTTGCGCCTCCTCACTTCCATCTTGTGCAACTTCGATGCGACTTTCGTGGCTCATGATCTCAATTTCCAATTCCCGGAGGAACATGGAAATCTCCATCTGCTGGCTCTCGACATGGCGCTGTTCTCGGGCATGCTCCCTCTGAAGTCGCATTGCTTGTTTGATCTTTTGTGAAAGATCATAGGTCATGAGCAGTGCACCCGCGTCGTCCATGATGCCATCACTGACGGCCACAAATCTGGCAGGACCACGAGTGTAGTCGTCCTCGATTTCAGGAGCGATCGTGACATACTGAGTGTCGCGAATGGCCTGCTCGGCTTGCGGATCCAATGTCTGGTGTTCTTGCTGTTCGAGCTGAAGCATGTGGAAGCCCACTGGTTCGAATGAGGAAGCTTGATAGGGGATGGCTTCATGGTAGCACTCGGGATCGGACTCCTTTTCCGCATCCTCTCCGGCCTGTCGAGAAGATGCCTGCTCATTCTCTGCAGATTCTGGAATCTCTACCTCCTGCTGCGGGCCGCTGTGCTGTCTCTGCTCCGAGATGACGGACTCCTGGCGGTCATCGTTCGCTCGTGCGTCTCCGGCCTCGACGCTGTCTGTGGAAGTCTTTTGGAGCTCCGGAGGAAACACCTGCTCGCGTTCCTGCTTCACTACACGCTGGGCCTCCCCAGAGAGTCTGGGAATTTTGTGCTTTCGCAAGTCATGGTTGATGACTCTTTTGAACAGTACGGTGACTGCATCCATGCTCTTTCGTGCCTTGATTTCAAACGTCCCGCGCTTGGAATTTTCTGGGGCTTTTGTGCGTCGAAAAATTTTGCGTCTACTGAAAAGTGGTGTGGACGACGACGACATCTTTGCGGGAGCTGAAGACATCGTGGTTTGTGGTGGCTTGCTTCAGGCAAGACAAACAAACCGAAATTAAGTATCTTTTCTGGTCTCTTATGTCTTTGTCCCCTTTGATACCTCGAGCGCCACAAGTTTTTTGAATCATGCTTTGTTCTTTGGAGTATGAATGGCATTCGAGTCGCCATACAATGCAATGTTTTTAGTGTCAACTCTTGGCAGTGGAAATCACATGCGTCCCGTGACAATAACTTCATTCACGTCGAGTCCAGCATAGTAAGGCATTGTCTACGATGTTATAATCGCCATTCCCTGAGTCCTGACTTGTGTGCTAGTAACCCTTTTCTTTTCGTGCTGTACAGCTAGCTCCTCTCCTTCTCTTTTTTGCTTCCACCTCGGTGAGTACAATTGACATCTGAATACTAATTCCCACGCAGACCACGGATTATCATGCCTAAGGGACTACAACTGGTCAACAAGGCCCCTGGAGGGCCGACATCCAATGCCCCAGCACAGCAACCTGCTGTACCTCGCGCTCCTGCGAGGACTGGTACAACAGGTACATATGCCAGCTTAATGCAAGGCGCCAGAGCGCCACCACCACAACCTCGAGGTCCTCCTGGGGCTTATCTGAACGTCCCAAACGTTAATAATATCGCTAGAGACATGGGCGGAATGAATCTGGCAGGCCAAGGATCACAAGCTGGAGGCCTCCCGAACACAGCGGCCCAGGGCGCGGCTCAACAGGCTGCTCCGCAGGCGCAAGACGCAACTTCTGCCAATGTATCTCCAGCTGCAATGGTCCCCTCCATAGCCCCAGCTCCTACACTGGTCTCGGAAAGAGACTGGGTTGCTCCAACTCATGCCGGCAGTCTCATTTCAGCAGCACCGTTCGCAAACACATCTCATGGCGCGAGAGCGGGCTGGTACAACAGCGGTCACTGCAAGATGGCGATCCACAAAGCCAAAGATTTCCAATCGGGCGATGTGATCGCTGCGCCTTACCACGTTCCTAACCTGAACCCCAAGCTGTCTCCAAACTCCAAAGATCTCGTCATCAGTTCCGAAGGGCCCGTCTTCTCGAAGCGTCGGATGGGAATCGTGCTGTGGAAATCGGCGGAGGTGATGATTGTTCTCCCTCTATTCTCCTGGACGTCGCAAGGTATAGGCAACAAGATCCAACATTGGAAAGCCAAAGGCGACCTGACGAATTCGGTGCAAGATTACGTTGAAGTCTTCAACTATCGAGATCGGCAGAATTTCAAAATGAAAGGCGTTCATCAGCCTTTGCATTTCGTGCACAAGCAATCTTGGGGCGGGTTGACCGAGTACACGACTTGTCAGATTACTGGAGCGGTGATGGTGAATTGGAAGGAGGATATCACACAGGTTGGTCGCATTACTCGGCAGTCTTTCAACAGACTCTTGCAGCTTCGACAGATGCGAGAGGCTTTTTATATCAGGGAGGATGCGCGCCAGAATTCTTGGCCGATGGAGGGTGCGAGAGATACTCGTGTTTTGCAAAAGGAGCCTAAGCCGCAAAAGGAGCCAAAGTCTGCCGAATAGCAGACTGTTGTCCAGCCGGGTGGGACCCGGTCTCCCACCTTGGAGGAATAGCTTATCATGCTTGCGTGAAGACAGTTCGAACTGCTGGCAGTTCATGAAGGTCTCGGCAGCATAATTCTTGAGAGCAGCAGGATCGGTAGCATAAGGTAGGCGAGTTTTCCAAAGCATGGATTTCTGGCCAATACGTGTTAATGATAAGTAATAATCCTCGTTCAGAGTTGAATACTCATTTCCATCATTTACATTTCTTGCGCGTACTTCGCGCATACGGTTCGCTCTTGTTCTTGCCATCTTGGTTCGGTGGCATGCCTGCGAACTGAAGCTACATCAAACAGAAAACGGCAGGGAAAAGGGTGTTTCCTTGCTACTGAGATGAAATTCGCCAGTTACAGCATAGATTGTGCAGAGTGGGATACAGGCGTGTGAGGATATTGTGGGTCATCTGCCAGGTGTGCTTTCGAGATGGAGTGATTTGTGTGTTCGTGTTATGGTGACTAAGCAATCTGAAACATAAAATTGAAGAACTTGAAGTGCTCATGGGCCTTATTGTCCCCCGAAGTCCCCGAGCTAGCGGCGGATCTATCCGAGCGAATTATCTTCTCAGTCGCCAAGTTTGTAAGACGCAGTGTAGGCAGCCAAGATACACGTACGTTGAAACAGCAGCCGAAGCGGCCGGAAGCAGACTGGATTACTGCCACCTTCGAACTGGGCTGGCGTCCCGAGGGGATCGGAATTTTTTATGCATGACGACCATGGATTGCTGGCAGTACATCAATGTGTCGGCTCCAGATCTGCTTGCGAGCATGGAGTCAGGTAAGACCAGCGAGTCCTTCGCACAACAGTGACAAACCATAATTTCTCGTACAAAGCCCAACTCTTTCTCTCGTCTCAATAGATCCTGTGCGTTCCAATGGAGCACTCTCGCCATGGTACTGAATCCGCTGTCATGTCCTTCTCAGGAATGAATGCTCTTTCCGTACATGTGAAGTTGAATACAGCAGTCACTAGGGTAGCTTTCCAATATGAAATCTGAAAATCAGTGCAGGACATAAATGTGACTAAGCAAGGCGTGTAGAGTCATGGTGTCCAATTTGCGACTCCAGTAAAGAATTGGAGATGAAGTGATGGAGTGATTTGTGCCCAGGTGTGTTCGTGTTGTGGTGACTAAGCAATCTGAAACACAAAATTAGAAGCCAGCTCACGAAAGATCTCATTGTCCCCCGAGGTCCCCGAGCTAGTGGCGGACATATCCGAGCGAATCATATTTCAGTGGCACACTTGCAAGTTCCATCACGACATTGTCAACTCTTCACTAGGGCAGCTGCCAAATATGAAATCTGAAATTCAGTTCCGAATACATATGGGACTAGACAAGACATGTGGAGTCATGGTATCCATTTTCGAAGAAGTGGAAATGGAGTGGTGTACTTTCGTGTGGTGGTGACTAAGCAATCTGGAACATGAAATTGGAGAACTGCTCGCCAAAGATCTCATTGTCCCCCGAGGTCCCCGAGCTAGCGGCGGATGTATCCGAGCGAATTATATCTCAGTCGCCACGCTTGCAAGCTGCAGTGTTGTACAGAGAGTGGGATGAAGGCGTATAAGCCTATTGTGGGTTATGTATGTACTTTCGACTCTAATAAAGCATTGGAAATGGAGTGGCGTATGTCCGTGTTGTGGTGACTAAGCAAACACAAATTAAGACTGCTCGGCGTGCATGATGCATTTTTATTGTCCCCCGAGGTCCCCGAGCTAGCGGCGGATCCATCCGAGCGAATCATATCTCAGTCGCTACGCTGGCAAGTCGCAGTATTATGCAGAGTAGGATGAAGGGGTATGAGCCCATTGTAGGTTATATATGTACTTTCGAGTCCCTAAGAGGAGTTGGACGTAGAGTGATTTGTGTTCGTGTTGTGGTGACTAAGCAATCTGAAGTTAAAAGTCTGCTCACCATAGATTCTCATTGTCCCCCGAGATCCCCGAGCTAGCGGCGGATCCCTCCGAGCGAATCATATTCCAGCCGCAGCTGCTGCGGTTGCAAGACGCAGTGTTCCATCGCGACATTGTCAATTCTTGCTACTGGGGAAACGCATAATTCTCCTCCTCGGCATTCTTTGCGGCTGCCTTGTAAAGACGCAACAGCCTGAGATAACTCTGCTTATCGATCCTGCCAACATCGTAGATATGCTCTTGCCAATTGATCTGCACGCCAGCTGTGATATGGCAACAAGTCGAGGGCTCCAGCGCGAAGCCGCCAGGGATATGTCTAAACACTAGAGGTTCGTACTGACAGCCCTGATTGTCAAAGGGCTCTGGCTTTAGATCATCTGCCTCGTTCATTACTGTAATGTAGTCTTCGAACCCAGGACGATTGGCTTTGGCCTGGAAGCCGCGAAGACCAAAAGAGTAGAGTGGAACACAGAAGAGATGTGTTTTGAACTTCCAAAGCACGATGAACATACGACGCTTCGAAAGGACTGGACCCCATTTCGACTGTCTGAGATTGTCATCGGTTGGAGCGAGGTTCTCATTCATGACCGGAGCGTGGAAAGGCAAGGGGATCACATCACCCTTGTTAAATCGGGCGCGATCATAGGTTGCTTTGATACAGACGCTGTTCCTAAGCCATTTGGTTTTGCGGCCACTGCCAAAGGGCTCGTAAGCAGATCGCGTACCTCCCATCTGGCTACCTGGAAATTGGCTTGCGCCTGCACCCCATCGACTGACCACTGATCCAGGAATCGGAGGATTTGGAGCCATAGACGGATTCGCCAAGCCCGGATTAGGAGCCAGAGATCGCTGCTGAGAAGTGATTGAAGTCGGTGGTGCCATACTTACGCTCTGGATGCCCTCTGTAATCGTGTTGAGAGTTGTCAGTCTACTAGCCGCTGCGGCAGGACGAGGTCTCCACGACTTGCTATTCTTCCAAGGGCCGCCAGTAGCAGAAGGAACGTTGGGGTTACTGGGACGCCAACTAACCATTGCCGAGCCAGTCTGCGGATATGTTGGCTGTGAAGTATTCGATTGGGTATAGTTCTGTCGTCCGGCGACGCTTGCAACGCCTGGTCGGAGGGAAGAGTCTGAGTTGTTGGAAAAGCCCATCGTGCTGTATTGAACAGGATTGGCTTCGTTCTCCGACTTTACGGGGTAACTTCAAAATTGGTGAGATGCAATAGCTGGAACGTTTGTTACGATAATTCTAGCAAGGTTCCGATGGGCACAAGATCGCCCTTGCAACAGATCGACAATCAATGGGCTTCTTCAGTGAACATTGCGACCACATCTTCAAAGCTTTGAGCGGTGAATCCTGTATCCTCAATTAGCACAGGCATTGTTGCATGAAGTTCGAGCAGCGTTCAAAGCACAAAGCCAGGCCTTCGAAGTCGTGGTGAAGTCATTTTATCGCGATCAGAGACAGCCAGACCTGATCGATGCTATTTCAGGTCTTGTCTCACCAAGGGCGTGGAACTTAAGATCGCCTCGCAGCTTGATCCTCCACCCAGGCCTCTGCCTGCAGACAAACACAAATTCTTTGGAATCGGTCAGGTTTCTAAACCGAATACTTTCGAATATTGCAAAAATGCCCTTGGATCTGGTATCCACAATTTTGCGTCATTTGTTGTTGAGGAAGCAGGAGCGCGACAGGATTGCGCAGAACACAGCCAGTGTCGGGACTCAAACTGAGCAGTGGCGAGGAGACATTCCGGAGCGACACGATGAAGGCTATCCAAGCGATATCGACTTGCAGCCAGAGACGACGTCGGCGCCCCAAAGTGCTGTCTTGTTCGACGATGCCGAGGTGGGGGTTGATGCTGTTCAAGAACACACGGATTATGACGAGCAAGCAGTGAGAGGGAACACATACATCCAATTCGATGTCGAAGAAGAGAGTGACTATACCAGAGGTCCAGCTCGGATTGTGCCAGGTTTCGATGGCGTGAACGAGTGCGCAACGCTGCTGCTCACGTACAGTCTCTCCAATGCGATCAAAAATGCTGTGCAGGTTCAGAAGCTGTTTGTCAGAGAGCAAGAGCATTCTGAAAGACAGCTTGCAGAGATCGATAGGTTCGAGTCCACGCTCAGCGTAAAGATTTCGGACGTAGAATTTCGTATCGAGTTCGAGCTTGCTAACGCACCGAACGACCATGATCCGAGCGAAGCGAAGTAAACAGGCATAAGCCGAAGCATTCGAGGAGCTTGCGACGAGGATGCGGAGGTGTTGTCTGTTTACGAGCTAAGCGGAATAACAGTCAGAAGTGGTTGCGTTACGTGCAAGGTATTCGCCGGGGGTTCAATCTAAAGAACCGCTACTACAAATTCAGGCTCGGCCTCTGATTGGAAGAAATCAAAATGTCCCCCCCCACGTGACTTCTGCCTTGCTGCCTCGCAACCCGCTACATCGACGACGATATTGCGACAAACAATACTGTAGCGACGACGACGACATTGCGACATTCTCATACTATACGTCTAAAACGATGCAGCGACAACTTCTAACTGTTATTCCGCTTAGGTCTCGCTTCGCTCGGCAACCCTCAGGCAGTACCTGCCTGTACGGTACTTTATAGCACTGAGAGCGAGCATTTGCGATCGCTCTGAGCGCAATTGGATGTCCTCAATAATTTGACAACCAATATGGCAGTAAGGAGACAGCGACTTGAAGGCAGTCTAGCGGTGCGGGGACGTGCTCTGTTGCGGGTACAGCAGAACGTCACCAGAATTCTTGCAGAGGCCTTTGAAGAGGCACGTTTAGTGCCCAAGGATCCGCAGAGTGAGCTTCCGATCGAATCCTTTGACCTGGACCAAGAATATGCCAGGGCATGCCAGGAAATTCAGGAGGGAGCTGATGACCAAGTCGATCCAGGCATTTTGGAGGAAGGCGATGAATATCTTCGGGCTAGAGCTCAGACATCAACGCCAGAAGAAGTGGCAAGGCACGAGATCGCAACTGCCTTGCAAATGGCCGAAGAACGTCTGAACGTTGCGCAGTACCGCTTCGAGCACAAGGATCAAGAGCGTGACCAGGACAAGCGAGCACAATGGGAGGCACAACTTAGAGGCGAGGAATCGAGAGATGCTTCAAAAGAAGAATTCGACCTTCGCTGGGTGGTACTGAACCAGGAGATTACTCGTGAGCTCATCGAGGCCGAAAAGGAGTATATGCAGGCGAGGACTCAGGCTGCACAGGCCGCAATCGATTTTGACCACAGACCCGATTACTTTGTATTCGCTGGCTCCGCAGAAGATGGTGGGTTCGGCTATGACGTGAGCGATGAGACTCGTACAGACCACGCCAGAACTGATCAGCGCCTCAACGACTGGGTCGATACCCTAGCGGAGGACGCAGATCCACAAGTCGAGGAGCATTCAGACGTGCGAGAGTGGCCTTTTCGAGATGTGGATCCAAGTGATAGTTGCAGTGTGGTGTGTGATCAACCAGGCCGTCGCCAGAAGATTCTCGAATGGCAGCAGACATGTCGAGAGATAGCACACAAGTTCTAAGAGCTGTACCACCTTTCAAAAGGTGCAGGAACACGTCTCGGACTCCAATGAAGCTCTGCATGGTGCATTCTCCCTGCTATATAGGCTTGAAGTGTGGAGGTCTGATACGCTCGCATCGTGACTCTGTCAAATCTAGATTGAAAATTTGTACCGGGGTGCGTTCTACACAAGCGATTGACTAGCGATGTTCTTGTGAAAATATGTCAGAAGAATGGGCGAGTCGAAGCTGCTGACAGGAGAGAGAAAGGGCGACCAAAGCTCAGAAGGCGACTTGTGTCGGTGCTTGGCAAGAGGCTGACTAATAAATCTGAAACATAAATTCTGAGTGCTGGCTTTCAATCAAATCTGATTGTCCCCCGAGGTCCCCGAGCTAGCGGCGGCTCTGGCCGAGCAAATGAGAACTGAGCAAGGTCTGCCGCACTGGCACCGTGGACGTTAAACATCAACAAAACAAAAGTCTACCTGAATGTGATTTCGGACCGAGCAGACTCCTCATATTTTAGTTTGCGCAGAGCCTGTATAGAAGGCAGCATGTAGTGCGTAGATAGACACATCTCAGCGGCGCCAAGATCAACATGTCATTCTTAGCTAAGGGCGAGGACAAGGACCCCTCCCGGTCACCTAGCAACGCGATCGTGAAGCTTCGAAGTACTAAAGTTTCTCGTGAACGCGACACTGCCGCCTTTCGCATGACTTCTCACGTTCCTTTCCTACTAGCCGTTCGCCCCGACGCGCAGTACAGCTCCGAGGTCACGACACGCGACTTCGCAGACACGAACGGCATCATCGACATGGAAACAGTCCGCCAGGCGCCGGCGCAGCAGGTCCCGCCAGTCATCAAGTTCCCGTTGCTGGTGCTCCTTACCTTCGGCTTAAGCTCGCTGCTCTACTCTTTGGTCGCCGACTTTACTGGTCCCGAACTTGCTTCTGTCAGTCGTGATCTTTCAGCAGGATGGCATATCGCAGTTATGCTTGGTTGGAAGCTTGTAGAGCTGGGCGTCGCATGGTACATGCGTTTCGATTGTGGGTGATAGCCGGAGATACCGTTGCGAATGCGCCTAAGCTAATAACAGACTACCAGACTCTGACCTCGCATGGTTGACGCTCCTCAGCAACGTTCCTCACTACTTTCTGCTCAACACGTTTTACGGCGTCGACTATCTAGCCGCCCTTGTACCGCTTTTCATTGACATCAGTACCATTGCGATACCATTCGCCTTGCTTCGGGGCATGAATCGAGCTCGCGACCCTTCAGCTCCCAAGACTGTCAACCAGACTGTGGCGCAAGATATGGGCATTCAGTGGGTGACTGGCACTCTAGGTGCTAGTCTTTACGCTCTGGTCATCTACGGCAGCTTCTACACCTGGCTGCCGCAATACATGGTGGTCCACTTCGACGGTCTCAGAAGTGTCCAGAAAGCACACGATACAACTCATTTCTTGCTCCTGGCTGTACTTGGACCAGTCGGATACGCTACGACTCAATTCATCTTTGTGCCGGCCATCGGGTCTGCAGCCAATCCTGGACTCACCGATCCCAAACTTAAGCCAGAAAAGGCACCCTTCGACCCAGCGACAGCTACCTTCGGCGAGACTTTGGCTTGGAATCTTGGCTTTAGTGAGGCCGGATTCTCACGCCGAGCAGAGATTTTGGCCAAGCGAACCTTTATTCTGGTAGCTTCTGTCTTCATCAACACATTTGTACGCGCATACGTGACTGTTGAAGGCACCGAAGTCGTAGGTGCGATCGGATGGGCAGGCATTTGGAGTCTTGCAGCTGGTCTGACAGGTCTCGTTTTCTCCTGGGTTGGGGATGAGTAATGGTTGGATGTAGGAGGAGGGATATTGGGCAGTGCTCAAAATGATCACTGTAATGCGTAAGGAGCGAGATACCCAGGAAGTGCTATTATGCTTGGTAATGTGAAAAGCTGCCAGATCAACATCTCTTTTCTTGTATGTATGACAAGTAATGGTTAGCTATGTGGCCAAGCTTGCTATCGAAATATTAAAGCACAAAGTCGAGCTAGGGCCTGACGCTGGATGGACCATTCCATATATTCCATCAACAAGCTCTCGGTGTCTTGCGCCACGTGCGATGTCCCTGTCATGTTCACGAGTAAGGTGAAGTGTGAAGGTTTGCAGTCGCTATATGGCTTGATGCATGCCTGTCGACCAGGATTGCGACTTCATCGGTCTCATACTGCAGAGACAAGTCCGAACGGCAAGGACCAAAGACGCACTTACCTACTAGTCCTTGACCTGGTGGTGCGAGGTGGTATGACGATCACTGGATGCCTAGAAAGAGTCCAAATGTGGGCCATGAGAAGCCCCACATTGAGCGCAATCGCATTGCGTTTTCGGGAGTTTTTTTGGTCAACAAGCTTCACTTCATTCTGTTTACACTTCCTCTATCGCAACTGCACCCTATCCGCGATAGTCGAGACCGTGTCTCACTTGCACCACCAGACGCGTAGACGTGAGTACTGATGACTGATGACGTCTGAAACTTCCGGCCAAGCCCAAACAGACTCCACATTCAATGCCTCCTTCTCTAAACGAGCATGCAAATATCCTGGTCTGTTTAGTTGACACTTCTCTTCGCTCTCGTCTTCTTCTTCCTAATACTCAAAGCCACACTCCCTTGGACCAACATCAGGAAAACCGCGCATACTACCATGAAGAGATTCCTCGACAAGGTCAAGGAAAAGGCATTCTTTGACGACCCACCTTCGACAAATGGATCATCACATAACCCCAGAGTAGAGGCAGCACCACCACCTCTGCGGCAAGATCAGCCAGGAACTATTCAACCCGTCACGTCACAAGATGTTGTAAGATATCGATACCATCACGGATGCAACATTGGCAGCATCTTCCGATGGCTCACGCCAAGCATGTTTGCCGAAGGCCACCAAGGCTCGAGCGAACTCGCAGCTGCTGAGACCTGGGTGAAGCAACTGGGCATGGACGGCGCACGGCAGCGTTTTGAGCACCATTGGAGAGACTACGTCAGTGATGCAGACCTGGACTGGCTACGAGATGTTGCAAAATGCACCACGATCCGGTTGCCCATAGGCTTCTACGATCTTGGCCCACGATTCTGCGAGAAGTCAGCATTCAAGAATGTCGCGCCGGTATATGTGAATGCCTGGCAAGCAATCAAAGACCTCATACAGCGCTGCCATTGTCGTGGTATTGGCGTGTTGATTGATGTGCATGCTCTACCCGGAGGCGCGAATGGTGGCGAACATTCGGGAACGAACAGCGGCAAAGCAGAGTTCTATCACTCGAGAAAGTACACCAAGTTGGCGACAGAGTGCATCTGCTTTATTGCACAAGACACTCGAGGTATCGGCGGCATTGCTGGCATTCAGATTGTCAACGAGGCAGAGTGGGACGCTCCGGGCTTATACGACTGGTACTCGGATGTGTTGAACGAAGTGTCGCAGATCGATACTGCTGTTCCGATATACATTTCCGACGGATGGGACCTTGGCCGCGGCGCAGCATGGGCTCAGTCCAGGAATGCGGTCAGCAATCGGCACAGCAATCCAGTCGTTGTGGACACCCACCTTTACTGGTGCTTCACAGATGCCGACCAGCAGAAGTCGCCTCAACAAATCACCGGCGAAGTTTGGAGCAAGCTGAGCGAGCTGGAAATCAAAGACGGAAGTGTGCACGACCGTGGCGCAGTCCAAGCTATCATCGGAGAGTACAGCTGTGTACTTGGAGATGCTTCTTGGGCCAAAGGTGGCGGCGAGCCAAAGGAGCAGCTTGCCCGGGCTTTTGGCAATGCTCAGTCGCAGCGATACCAGCAACGCGCAGGCGGCAGCTTTTTCTGGACATATCGCATGGACTGGATGGACGGAGGTGAATGGGGATTCAAGCAGATGACGAATCAGCATGCTATCATACCGCCTGCCTCACTGATGGCATCCGACATTCAAGGTCGAATCGAGAACGCTCAAGGGCAAAGGGATTTCCGGCGAGGCAGCACTTGGGGTTGCCATTGTTCGTACTGGGATGGAAATCATCCCGGCGAGTATGAGCACTGGCGTTTCGAGGCGGGATGGAACGTTGGGTGGAATGATGCGATGGCCTTCTTCCAAGCGCGCAGCCAGAGTGGCCACGAAGGTGGTGACAAGATTGGCATGCTCGACTTGTGGGTTCTGAAGCGCATTCGTGAGTCTGGTCAAGGCGGCAAGTTCATCTGGGAGTTTGAACAGGGTCTCAGACAAGGCGTCAGGGACTTCTACGAATGTGTCGGTGTTTGATGTGACTGGTGCCAAGGCGTTTCATAAGCCTGAGGGAGATCCTGACATGGCTGATCAAACATGCGTTCGAAACTCCTAAAGACGAGGAGAAGGTACCTGGTAGTATAGATGTTGAGCGTTGTGCATAGAAGTAGAGTAGCGGCGGCGTGTCAGGTTACAGACCTAGTCGCAAAGGAGGTACAGATGTTCCTTTGTGCGTTTCAGGGCTTCAGGGGGTTCGCAAGCTTTGTCTGTGTGTCTTGATCGTCCCGTCGGTACCCAAGTACCAGGTCGAGATGAACGCTCAAGATGTATAATAATTCTAGGTGGAAACGCTTGACGAAGGTGTTGGTGGCATGTATTGGGTGAATGTACAAGTGAAGGCGCAATTTTGGCGCGCGCCCGGAATGCCTTGGTGAGGCAAAAGCTTCTGTCTGAAGTATGCATATGCACACGCACCTGGAGGCTCACGGAAGTGAGGCTTGTGAAGTTGTGACGGCGGAGCCCGGCCTCAGGGACCAAAAATACCACTTTCCTGCACGCCTCCACCAAGTTGCCGTATAGCATAGAATTTTGCTATAGCGTGTGGTGCTTCCAGAAGATTGTCCAGAAAGCCGTTTCAACGCCGCCGCCGCCGCCGCCGCCGCCGAGTCGGACACGCCCGCGTTTGATCGGCAGTAGCAGCAGCAGTGACCTACGCTTGCCTCTGCCCGCAGTCCGCAGTCCGCAGTCCAGCCTCGCCGACATCTGCACATAAACATCCCAGTCCCACAGCCAACTCTGCTGCACACAAAGCCTGTGCCTGGCCACGCACTCGCGGACCCCGATCTGTACACGAAATACAACTACCACCAAGACGCAGGAGCAGAAGCAGAAGCAGCAGGGCCGTCAGCGTCGTCGGCCCCAACATTTCTCCTCGACCCGCACCAGACATCGCCTACCCACATACCCACATACCCTCACGAGACGACCGGCACCGACCCCAGATTGACCAGACACGTACACGTACACGCGACCACACCGCAGACACGCACCAGCCGTGCGCCTGGACTACAGCAAAGTCGATATGGCGCGCTCTCGGAAACTGCAGCGCATGTCCAGCGCATCCAGTTCGAGCAGCTCCTCCACTTCGCCCGAGCGCGGTGCCGACGACGACAATGATTCCTTCATGTCCCAGGCCAACGACTCGCAATCCTCACTCGGCGTGGAAATGTCGCCAGAGCTCTCACAAACTGAAGCCATGCGGAGACAATACGAAGAGCGCTGCCGCATATCACCCGTGCACAGGCTGCCCGCCGAGTTACTCATAAGCATCTTCTCGCGCCTCACATCACCGCGCGATCTGCAAAATTGCATGCTGGTCTCGAAAGAATGGGCCAAGAACAGCGTGGGCCTGCTATGGCACCGTCCGGCCATGAGCAAGTGGGAGAGCATACACATCGTCATTCAATCCATACGCAAAGGCAACAAATTCTTCGCATATCAGGACCTAGTGAAGCGGCTGAATATGTCCACCTTAGGCGCACAAGTCAGCGACGGCGTACTAGAAGGCATGCGCGACTGCAAGCGGATAGAACGTCTGACCTTGACCAACTGTTCGAAGCTGACAGATCAGAGCCTGGAGCCGCTTGTGAACGGCAACCGCGCTCTTCTCGCCCTAGACGTGACTGGTCTCGACCAAGTGACGGATCGCACCATGATGACCGTGGCCGACAACTGTCTGCGACTGCAAGGTCTTAACGTGACCGGCTGCCGAAAGCTCACCGACGCATCCATGGTGGCTATTGCCAGGAATTGTCGGCATTTGAAACGCCTGAAGTTCAACAACTGCAATCAGCTTACCGACACGTCCATCCTTACCATCGCTAATAGTAGCACTCATCTGCTAGAGATCGATCTCTATGGCCTGCAGAATTTGGAGAGCCAATCCGTCACGGCTTTAATGTCGCAATGCCTTCATTTACGGGAGATGCGCCTCGCTCACTGCAGCCGTATAAATGATTCAGCATTTCTCGACATTCCTAATGATCCTGAGATGCCCATGATCTTTGATTCCCTTCGCATCCTTGACCTCACAGACTGCGGCGAACTGGGTGATAAAGGTGTCGAGAAGATCATCGAGATGTGCCCGAGACTGCGCAACCTCATATTGGCGAAGTGCAGGCAGATTTCCGACCGAGCAGTCTTAGCCATCACCAAACTCGGCAAGAACTTACACTACATTCATCTTGGACATTGCGCCAGGATTACCGACTACTCGGTCGAGGCCCTCGCCAAAGCTTGTAATCGTATAAGATACATCGATCTTGCATGCTGCAGCAATCTTACAGACAACAGTATCACGAAGCTCGCGAATCTTCCCAAGCTGAAACGCATCGGGCTGGTGAAGTGTGCCGGGATCACAGATCAGAGCATTTACCACTTGGCAATGGGCGAGTTCAAGAATGGTCGACGCGTCAACGGGCAGAGCGTGTTGGAGCGAGTGCACTTGAGTTACTGCACGCAGCTCACTTTGGATGTAAGTGCCGCCACTTTTAACACTGCCTACAGGACTTCACTAACTGTTTTCTTAGGGCATCCACGTCTTATTGAACCACTGCCCAAAACTCACTCATCTGAGTTTGACAGGCGTACAAGCCTTTCTTCGAGATGAGCTACTAGCATTCTGCAGAGAAGCTCCGCAAGAATTCAACGAACACCAGCGAGACGTGTTCTGCGTCTTCTCCGGCACCGGCGTATCGCGACTTCGAGAATTCCTCAATGATCAGAAGAACCAGCCACCTAATGAGCCTGCGGCTTCATCAGCTGATGGTAGTGACATGATTGACGTTGATATCGACGACCACAACCCAGATTCTGACGGCAGCAATACTCCTGTGATCAACGTCAATGTGCACGTTAATCAGCCTCATGGACAGACAAATGTATCAGTACTACCGGGACCCTCGTCAGGTATGCCGTTCCCGCCTGTCCCACCGCACCATCACGGATTGACTCATGGCGGCGGTCCATCTTTCAATTTCAGCCAGAGCGCACCTGCCACAACGGGAGGGGCGATATGGGCGGGAGGCAGCACACCCGTAGTCCAACTACCACCACATCAGCACTTTCATCAACATCAACACCATCAAACCCACCAAGACCATGCGCAACATGTTACCGGCATGATGCAGTCGACCATATTAGACGAAGTGGAAGGAGACGAAGCGTTCGGAGAAGAAAGCGAGATTATGGATCGCGACTAAGAGACCCGAGCACCAGAGACGAATTTCTTAAATCAACAAGCGACACCTCCAGATAGCGGAGGTGTGTGGGCATTTTCAGGCCGCTCGGTATATATAATGCCTCTCTACAAAAAGGGAGAGAGAAGGGGCAAGAGCGTGCATCTCTTATCTTGGCAGTTCTTTGGCGCGAGCGAAGCGAAGCGATGCATGAATGATATCCGAGCAGAAACAGAAGAAAGGGAACCCACCGATTGGTTACTTACTTACTAGTAGTATGTTCACAATACGGACGGCTATATGGAGTTATGAAATAATACCTTACCATGTCACTACCTGCCTACCTACATTGTTGCAATCATCCTGCTTTCATTACGATGTTGTGCCTGAACGTGACGTCGAAGGCCTGTGCCTGACTGTGACCGTGTGTGGCTATGCAATCGATAAGAAGGGAATCAGCAAGCTTGCAACCCGCGAGGGTGGCCGCAGTTATCATTATTCACTTGTCCAAGGCTCCAAGACGGAACGGGGATGTTCGAAAGGGCGACGAAAGGTCCTGCCGCTAGTTTCCGTTCTCGAATAACGAATCATATTGTGTTTTGCTGGGATTGAGGCGCGGGACTCGGATGGTTTTTCGTTCCTGGCGAGTGCCTGCACACTCTCACACCCTCACTCACACTAGCAGGATGATGAAACAGGTGGGTAAGTAATAAGAATTTTATCCTGAGAATCGTGGGATGTGGTGTTGTTTGAAACAAGTTGTGTGGTTTTTTGGGAAGGTGAGGCACGGGTCTTTGTGCTTTGAAGACGATGATGGTGAGGGAGGAGGGGATTGTATTATAATTCTCATGTATTTATTCGTCATTTCAACTCATGCGTTTGCAAGATCTTCTTCGGATCCGAAATGCGGGACGACGGCACGGTACATCTATGCTCGTTTCTCAAGCCGAAGTTCCATTCGCCTCTCGGGCATGATCGTTTAAAATACGAGCCTCATTACGACAATAATGGATGGTTCCATAATTTCTCGGAGATGGAAACGAGATCTGTTGACAGCCGTTCGTTTCCGCTTTGCTGTAGCGAGTAACTAGAGATATCGAGAGAGGATCTACGGTACTCGAGATGGTTCAAAGATGTGTTGGTGGTGAGTGGGTGGCGTTATCTCGCTTGTGGATCCGCCGAGCCTCTTATCAGGTGATGAGGTGATATCTCAATCTTGGTCATTACCCTTCAGTCCATAGCATTGTCGTGGTTGTACTTGTTGCTTTCGCAACTATAATCCGTCGCTCCCCATCCATGAAAAGATCAGCTCACGTCACCCACAAGAGGCGTCACAAAAGCATAATGAGCCGGACTTTTTGAAACTGCGTAACAAGAACCAGGAAGTCGTTCCGGAATCCGAAGAAGCTTGTGTCACTTCTGGTTGTTGATAATTAGGCTTCTGCAGCCATCCTCTAGCCAAAGGCTGCTCGCAGCAAATCATGCACCATGCAGAATCGAAAAAAAAAGAGTACCTACACAGACTCTGGCCCCTGAATCCTTATTGCTTGTCTCGCTTACCGACCAGCGCCTCTCTGAACTTTGGCCACAGCAGCCTGGAGGTTGCATCTGCTTTGGGTGGCTGAGGCAGCTTGTCGTCCACGGCTTTCTCTCTATGCTTCTCTGAGACCAAGGCGGCGTCCTGTCCTTCAATATCTTTGCGTCCTTCCTCCTTGACAGATTTACTTGAGCCAGAGCGAACAGGACTGTTGGCCTTTTCCGGCGTTATCTGCGTATCGTCTAGTAATTGCTGCCATCTCGCTAAGTAGGCACCTGGACCAAATGGCGTTGTCTTGTCGCGTTTGATGACGGACGCTATCCTGGTGGCAGAGGCAGTGTGTAGATCATCAATGTACTGCTTCCACGCGTCCATCTCAGCTTTCACAGCGTTCTGATCGCTGGCCGACAAATTGGCGAAGGCTTCTTCCAAGGCCTTCTGCAAGCCGCCAGTGGCCATCTCGTCAGGAATCACAGATTCGCTCTCTGGTGGCTTTTGGTCGTTTCTGAAATACGCTGCGGCCATATGTACATATTCTCGCCACCAGCCGGTCATTTCCTTGCCATTTTTCGCAACTTGATGCAGGAATTTGTGACAGCTGCTCTGGTGCCGGTGAAGGAGGTCAACGAAATCCTCAACGCTCGGAGGTTCAGCATTCGCCTTCTTTGCATCCGGCTGAGCGATCTTCAGCATATCGGTGAGAAAGCGTTCCAAGTCCCACAAAGTATCGCTGAGATCCACGGCTTGGTGAACATGGCGGATTATGGGGGTATAAGCATCCACCGCGTCTCTGATCGCAGCTGTCAAGACATCAGGATTACGCTTGCACATAACCTTCACAATCTGTTGTCGATCACGGATGGCCAACTGTAGAGACAAGTATTCTTGAGCTTTAGCGTGCTGCGATTCCGTGAGCTCTTCGGACACTGACGAGAGCGCGAGAATCATGGAGACGATGGACATGCTTTGCTGGGCACTTTGTCTGCGGCATTCGTCGTGCTCCTCGCGACTTCGATCGATCCAGGCCCTGAGTTCTTCGAGGACAGCTTTCGGAGGTGCATCCTTCGACTTCTCAATGGCGGTGGCTCGCTTCTTCAGTGCGTTCCTGTCCCAGCCAAGAACCTGTGATATTATTCTGAAGATTGTCAGCCGAGAGCCTCGGACGCCTTTGATGCACTTACTGTTGCAATAAATTCATGCCCTCGTCAGCACCACTACTCAACCCAATCCAGTTGGTGACCGTCGCCACAGAGACTTTAGCAAGAATCACTCGAACCATGCCACTGATCATGGTCGCGACATTTCCAACTTTCAGTGTTTGCCGCATGACCATGTACGGTAACAGAGTATGCACGTTCGATATCATGCGCAACATCGTAGGACCTTCTGGTGATAGGACGAGAGTGTAATGCATGAGCGATGCGATACTGGAATCATCAGCTTCCAGGGCGGATCCACATCTCGCCCATTTTGCTTACTTCACGACCATGAACTCGTGCATGCCTTGCACCACAGCATCATGCTGCTCCAAATCGTCGGTTTCTGCCGCCTTCTCAAAAAGCTTGTCAACCAGGTCACCATACACCAGTTCCTGAACGCAGTCTTTCCATGCTTGCAAGACGTGGTCTGGATTCGAGACATCGTATTCTCCAGTGTGTTCAATCTTCTTCTTTGGAAATCCGCCCAGGACACCGCGGGCAGGATACTCGATGAGAGCGGAGATAGCAGTAGCCAACGTTTTCCGGATGCCTAGTACTCCTTTGTCATAGCTTTCACTCAACTCGGCGGCTGTGAGATCCTCGATGAGGTCGTCCACGCTGGCCTTCCAGAATTGTGGCGATACATTGCGGAGGCCTGGAAGCTTCAATACGAACTTGGCCAGAAGGCTTTGCAATATCGGGGACTGAGGGGAGTCGACTTGATTTTGGAACGGAGGTCCATAGTGATGTATCGCCCCTGGAAACTTGAAGTCTTCGACCTCCTTGTATGTTTCCTGGTGCGTCAAGAAGTCCAGGAGAGCAGTTGACTGCTCAGGGCTAAGCTTTGCCTGTTTCTCAGTGCCTGCCATGTCGGTGTCACCGTTTCATCGCCGCCGAATTCTGGGTCGTCGACAAATCGTGGATTTATGTTCAAGGGAGATCAACACTGGAGGCAGAAACAGGCGTGTCATGCATGGCTTGGATGACGTACGGGCAGGACTCGTCTTGGCATCTTTGTTGGTTAATCGACCTTATTGCTGCGAGCACCCTCTCGACCGTGCCCAGTCGCCATATACTAAGCTTATTCACATGCTCGTCCCGAGCGCATGGATATGCTCTCGCAAGATCGACCAGTATTGCGTACAGGCTTGGCAGATGTAGGGGTCAGTGCAGTTGTGGCCAGAGAATGACACAATCCCTGTCATTGCAGCGGGCCGCTGCTTGGAGTGTTCTTAGCATTGCCTTTGTCTTCACAGTCAGAGTGCGTATACCTAGCCGTCGGTGGATCGGTGGATTGGCGATACTATTAAAAAATCCACCGATGCTCTTCTTTTCGAATAACCGGTTTTTAAGGTATACGAGTCGGTAGATTTCGAAGGCCGTGCACTAGGTTATTCCGCCTTAGTATCGCGACTATTCCACGGTCGCGTCTTCTACGTACCTCGTAGATCTGTAGACCTAGTATTCAACTATTGTATCTACTGTTCTAGCTCTTTCCAATGCCGCTAAAGAAGGCTAATAATACGTCCGCAACACCTCGTAAACGGAAAGCTAACAATGCCGCTAAAAAGATACTAGCAAAGAAGACGAAGGTAGCTAAGAAGGACCCTAAGAAGGACATAGGCTCCGAGTTTCTAGAAGTAGGTAGATAGACGCATAAATACAAGGTTTACTTCCTTAAGGAGGTGCAGAAGTTAAAGGATAAGGCCTTATTAAACTATAGTAATAGTTTCTATATTAAATACTACCGCCGGATTGCTGCTTAGTTAAGTATAAAGTTCAAGCTGTATTTTAAGACAGAGGGTTGTAAGGCGCGCTAGCGTACGTTTAAAGAGAAGTACTATCTATATACCGCTTATTTAAAGTATATAAGCGGTTAGAATAGCTATCTAGCGGCGCCTAATAATCTAGAGGTTGCAAATAAGCACTTTAGGAAGTATCCTAAATGTAAGCAATAGCGTAACGATTGTCTAGACTTTGTATACGAGCTCTTTACTATTATCGAGACTAATATTGCGAGTAGAAACGAGGCAGGTACGAGCAGCGAGCTTGCTAACGATAGCGACGTAGATATAGCGGCGGACGAGGATAACAATACGGTAGTAGAGTCCGAGGATAAGGACGAAGAGGTAGATATTCTACTACCTAAAGGGATAACAGTCGAGGAGCGAGACGCGTTAATAGAGGCGGACGTCGACGGCGAGTTAGATATTAGTATACTATCGGAGTTAGAGATTTAGGTACTCGTTGCTATACGCTATACGAAGGCTAATATCGCGAAGAAGGAAGCGGCGCGGAAGCAGGCTAAATTAGATACTAATTCGAAGGGCGAGAAGGACGACGAGGCGATAATTAACCTAATTAAGAAGAGTTAGGTTCTACTATAGTAGACCTTTACTAACTTCTTAAAGCAGACAAGGGATAATGCTTAGTTAGCTCGCGAAGAAGCTGCTACTAAGCGTGCGAAGGTGCGTAAGGAAGAGAAAGCTATACTCGACGAGCGCCGTAAGTACTATATAGATATCGATGCTAGTAATGTTGCTAATCGGATTATAGACGAGGACATCCTTTAGGGGATTAGCAAAGCAGACCGCGCCCTCCTTGCGATAGAAGTAGTAAGGAATACTAGCTATATCGCTATTATTAGGAAGTAGATAAGAGATAAGGATAAGAGGTCGAATTTAGACGAGTATTTCCGCTAGTTACTATAGGATATTAAACCTAGGCATTAACAGGTAAGCGCTATTAATAACAATATGTATAGTGCTTATACAACTATATAGGAAGGCTTCATTCCTTATAGTTATAGCCGATAGTAGCTAGTTGTATTATTATTTAAGAGAGAGTCTGTTTTTGCTAAAGAAAGTAGTCTTTTAGGTACAGAGTTCGGTTAATTAGGTCACTTTTTCGTCGGAAATGTAGCTTAGGGTCTATACTATTAATTTATATAAAGGTGTTATTACTTTTTACTAGCTAAATCGCAGTTACGTATACAGTCTACATCTGCTACGAAAAGGAATACTAACGACTCGAACCTTAGTTCTAACCTCGCGCTACTAAGACTCTAGATAATTAGACGCATAACGATATAGAAGGAGGACGAAGAAAGCGCTAGCAGCAATAGAATATAACTATTTAAACTTAAAAGCAGCAACCCTTACCAAATTCCTTATACAATATAGCCTTGCCTGTTCCCTACTGCATCGATTAATTATACTACGACCTTAGCAATTCTCTACAACCAAAACTCGGCCTCTTAGACCTCCCTCTTATCTATACTATAATCTTCTAGGTATTGCTCGTAATTATCCTACATTTCCTACGCAAACGACTTACGGAATAGCTAATATAGATCCTTATAGTCCGATACGATAACTAGTTCTTTATTATCGTCCTCCTAGTCCTCGACTTCCTTAGTAGTAACCTTAGGTTCCGCTCGAAGAGGCTGCTTTCTATAGCAAAGGATGAAGTTATAAAGTACGAAGCAGGATATAATAAACCTAGACTACGAGCGACTCGAATAGTTGTCGTACGGTCCCTGTTTGATAAGTAGGAAGCGCTTCTGCATTACTCCGAATAGGCGCTCTACGACATTGCGAAGCTAAGTATGTCGTAGGTTATATAACTCTTCCTTATTATCCGGACGTCGTCTAGCAGCGGCCTATTCTCGAAGGTAGTATCGAGTCCTTTCGTACGGTACGAGAAGTCGCTTATCTTTAAACGAATAACTACTATCGGCGAGGTAGAATTTGCTAGCTGGAATATTAAATCCCTTCGAATACGACTTCTTTAATACCTGTCTATTATTTCCGGCGCCCTCGTAGCCGACAAGTATATAATAAACCCTTATATCGAAGCCGCAAGCCGCTATTATATTCTAACAGATGTAGTTCTTTCTATAGCGGTATAGACCTTGCTAAGACTACGGAATACTAATAGGAATTAGGGTGCTATTAAGCGCTCCGATTGCGTCTTTAAAGTACTTAAATTTGCTAGCATCCGCACCTGTAACTATCCTCGTATACAGTAAGAGGTCGTCCGGCTAAGCAATATATATATCCGCTATTAGACAGAGCGCAACGCTAACCTCTTTAATTAGGCGCTAGAAGGTCTTGTACGAGTGCTAATAATTCCTTCGAAGCTCGCGAATACTAACATTATAGACTATAAAGTCGCAATAGATAACTACCTTCTTACCGACCGTTAACTCGCCGCTCCTGCCCCTCGACCGTACGAGACCTCGCTCTTCTACCTCCTTAATTAGATCCTTTAGTATAGCCTAGCGCAATCCGGTCGTTTCGTAGCAATCGCGCGGCGGTCTATATAGCACTCGAAATACCTTATATTTCCCCTTCTTCGGCTATATAAGCGTCTAAACTACACCTACTAGTCTATACTATCGTTTCCGCTTCGCTCGACGTAGGAAGGGTAGGATAGCGGTAAACTAAGCACTAAGTATTATAGATAGCAAGAGCGCGACTTAGGTATTAGTATCTATAGAAAGAGCTAGTATTCGAGACAACAGCAACAATAGTATAGAAGAAGAATATAGCTATCTATATACTAGAACGCGCTTTCTACCGAAAACCTACTTTTAAACCGCGTTTTCGGTAGACGCTTATACCTACTAGATATAGCATACCGCGCTCGGACGACGCTTAGATAATTAATTGCTTTCTACCGACTAAATCCACCGATTTTGACGGTATACGACTCGGTAGATAGCGACAGTAAGATAACTAGTAGAAGATTTAGTATAGCGCACCGATCTACCGACGGCTAGGTATACGCACTCTTACTAATATAATTAGCATGTCGGGAAGATGCGATATAGTGTTTAGATGATAGCCGACTAAGCTAAGTTAGAGAGGACCGGACTGTTACTGTCTATTCGTATTTAATCAAATCTCGATCTCTTTAACTAAAAACGCACTGTTTCTTAGCTTAATTTAATCAAATAAGGCGTCCTTTATTAGACTCCTGAATTTGATCAAACAGGGCGTATTTAGTCAATTCTAGGTGTTGTTTCGTTAAGTTTGTGTAGAAACCGGATTGTAAGATAAGTCTGCTAAGCTATAGGAGGCAGATCCTAGCTAAATTTAATCTCTCTTTATAATATACCTACGTACTATTATTATTACACCGGAGTAATAATAGCAATACTCTATATATCTATTCGAGTCGTTTGCTATACTTAGCGTAATATAAAGATGTTGTATTATATTGCTATAGAGTCCGAAAGCTATTAGCTAAAATCGTATTCCTAATAAAGCGCACTTTAGAAATGTCTCGTTAACCTTCTACCTCTGCCTCTAGCCTCTCCTTTCGACTAATATCGCCGATATTAGTACGATAGAATATCTAACTGCAACGTAATACGCCTATACGCCCTTCTATACGACTATAGCCTCTTCCGACCGTCGTTATACCTAGTTTCGATAGCTAGAATGCTAAACAACGCGTTAATCTATTCCCTCTATTAGCGTACGTCGCTTTTAACGAATACCTTAAAGAGAAGAAGCTAAAGGGCTACGACAAGATGCTAATAACTTAAGAGCGTTATCTTCGTATTATTTAATAGGTTATAGTCGATAATGCTACGCTTAGTTATATAGGATATAATACACTTAGTAAAGCCGATTATAATAAGAAGATTTAGGCTCTATATCGCTTCTCGTAGAATAAGGAAGAATAGCGCCTATATACGAAGGAAGACAATAAGAAGGTAATACGTAAATACGAGATCTTCTATATCCTATCGACTAAATACTATTACTTCGGACACGCGCGCCGTAGAGCTATTTAGTACTTAGTTAACGAGAAATTCTATAGTATAACAAAGAAGGATATTATAGAGATTCTAAGGTACTATTAGGTCTATAGTTTAATTAATTGTCGACCTACTATACCTAAAGGCGACCCTCTATAATACATTGTCGCTAAAAAGACTCTATCTCGAGTTCAAATAGACCTAGTTTGTTACTATTAAGAATATAACGAATACAGCTAACTTCTACGCCTTAGATTAACTTCTTAAACGACCCCGACGGCCCTTACCTCTATCTCCTATACCTAAAGGACTATAAGACTAAATTCTGCCGCGTTTACGCACTTACTTCGAAGTAGAGCGCCGAGATTGCTTTCTATATATAGGACTTCGCCTACTTTGTTAGTATTGCGGCATTATATTAGATAGATAACGGCAAAGAGTTTAAGGGCGTAGTTAAGAAGTTGTTAAAGTCGTACGGTACGAAGATCGCTTATAGTACGCTATACTATCCGCAATCGCAAGGCCTTATTAAACAAGCTAACAGTGTCTTTAAGCGCCGCATTGTCGCTATTAAGCTATAACTTAGCCTTAGAGGTTAGGTTATAGTAGCGTACGAGGCGGCTCGAATTTATAATAATACGTAGCACTTAGCGATTAATATAACACCCTTTAAGGCCTTCTTTAACCGTAACCCTCTAACGCAACCTCGCGTTATTATAGAAGAAGTTATAGCGGTAGCAACTAAAGGAGATGCGGACCTGCTATTTAAGCCTAATAAACTGTATACTATCGACGAGATACTAGACGATACTAAGAGTATAGCGACTAAAGAAGCCGATAGACACAATACTTAGTAGGTTAACGATAGGCCTTAATTTAACGAGGAGGATATACCTATTAAACTACCTATAGACGATAACCGTTACGGCAATAGCAATATCTCTATAATACCTCTTTATAATGCCCGCAATTAGCGACGTACGATCTATACCTCTAGCGCTAGCATATCTTCCGCTATAGACTATAAACAGAATATGCTTACGGATTATATATTAGCCGCTTAAGAAGCCGCTAATTTAAGAGCCGACAAGGCACGTAAGTATAAGAATCTACGGACCTTCGAGATTAGCGATATTGTCGGCTTATAGATACCGAAATAGTACAAAGTGCCTAATAGTCTAAGGCTTATTATATACTAGGTTATAGAGCAGTTTAAAGATAATAATAGAGTTGCTAAACTACTATTTAAACTGCTGTCTCCTTAGGGCCTAATTAAATACTACTAGTATACTCGGCACCTCGTTAAAGGCGACTACTTCTTCTTTGCTAACTTCTTAGTCTATACTAGCTATAAGAACAAGGAGATAACACTCTCCGAAGCCGCTAAATTGCAGGCTCGTATACTATTAACTTTATATAGCGCCTACCGCTATATTAAGAGCCGTTGTCGCTCTATGCTTTATAGCTATCGCAAGGCAGGCAAACCGTATTTAATCGCTTGCTACGGACAAGGCAATACCTACGACAATATAGAAGACTACGGCTACGCTACTAACGAGTCTATTGCCGGAGATAGTATTAATAAAGAGCTTCTTAATTCTATAGATATTAATAACCTTAGAAGTAGTAGCAGTATAGAGCTATAGGCAGAGAGCGACAACGTATAAAGCGACAACGTATAGAGCGACAACGTATAGAGCGATAACGACTCTATACCGAGAGCTAGTAAGGCGCTAACAACTTCTTAACCGTTAGCTTCTTCTTCTACTGCTGCTATAGAGCCCTCTAGTAACGCTATTCTGCTTAGTAGCGACGAGTTAACAACGCCTAGCTAAGTTAATAACCGTCCGTAGCGACAATATAGGCTAACTAAGAAGGCTCGGCTTTGTAACGATAACAACAACAACTATAAGCGGCAGCTAAAGGGTTATACTATACCTGCCGGCGTTTAGAAGAGGCGTAATGCGAAGGCCTTATTACGTAGTACCTAGTAGAGGGTACGGAAATCGAAGACAGTAATATTAGGAGGACCGTAGCGTTTAAACGGAGGATTTAGGGCTATTTCTACTTGTAATATTAGTCTAATCGTCCTTTTTTAATCTATTCTATTCTCTGCAATATATACTATCGGATTTATTGTCCTCCTTCGAATTTAGATATACCTCCTGCTTATATAGTTATACTAAGGAAACTAGTATACCGCTTTCTATACCTATTCTTTACTAGGAAATAAGTTAATTATTATCTCCGGATACGATAGTAAGCGTATAGTAGCATACTAAGCATACTAAGCTTGCAGGAGGGCGAATTTAGTCAAAGAGGGCTGTTTTGGTGAAATACCAAGGAAGCGCTTATTTGGTCAAATTCCAAATGAAATCTTATCAAATAGGCCTTATTTGATCAAAGCGGTAGTCTGACGAAACGGCGCCAACAGGACGAAGCCGCTTAGCAGAAAATACTTTCTCCGAAGCCGTTGCAAGTTCAATCCGCCTTGAGCAAAACTTGCGCCATGGCCACCAATCCTTTTTCTGGTGAGCGCAAATTGCTTGATCCGAGCGACTTGGGTACCAAGCAATAGTATGTCGATTGTCGTGCTTTCATCTGCTGATTTTGACACGCTAACCAAGTCCAAAGCTGGGAGGCGGCATACGAGCGAGAACTTCACAATCATGGCGAGGATGTTGATGACGAAGGAATTGTGTGGTTCGACGAAAGCAATGCGGAAGACACAGTCATTCGAAAGCTGAGCTCCTACGCTTCCGGACCTGGACCACGTCTGGACAGAAAGTCAACTCGAACGCTGGATCTTGGCACAGGAAATGGTCACATGCTGTTTGCGTTGAGGGAGGACGAAGACGATGAGGGCGAACGATGGCTTGGAGACATGGTAGGGGTGGACTACAGTCCGAAAAGTGTTCAGCTTGCACGACGAATCGATGAGCAACGAATCGCTGCGCTCGACGACAGCCAAGACGCCTATGCATCCATTCGCTTCGAGCAATGGGATCTGTTAGAAGAGCCGCCTGGTGACTGGCTTGGAAACGGCTTTGATCTTGTGCTTGACAAAGGCACTTTTGATGCTATTTCACTCATGCCTAAGCCTGAAAATGCGCCTCATCCCTGCGAGGTTTACCGGCAGAAAGTCATTGATCTCATCAAAGCAGATCATTTCCTCTTCATCACGTCTTGCAACTGGACACGAGACGAATTGATTGGCTGGTTGGTGAACAACGACGGAAAGCTGATGCTATATGACGAGGCCAAGTATCGCAGCTTCACCTTCGGCGGTCAGACTGGCCAAAGTGTTGTTACCTTGGTATTCCGCAGAGCCAGCTGAGGCACAGACGACTACAGATCTAATGGCCCGACCCCGAAAGCAGCTTCATCCTGCGATGGACGGAATGCAGTGCTCGCTCCAGAGCAACAATTTATGTGCAGCCATCGATCTGCTGTCTTTACTGGATGTATTTCTTCAGGCCACGGAGTCTCTCCTTAGCTTGCTCGAGCACGTCATCGTTCTTGCAGACAGCAAATCGCAGCCAATCCTCGACGATGTGTGCATTGGCATCGGTAAAAAACTCAGTAGGAGGAATAGCAGCAATTCCGAGCTCCACAATGCAAAACCATGAGAGCTTGAAGTCTCTAGGCCGGTTCGCAACGTGTGATGGGAAGTCATAGTCTTCTGGTAGCTTCACCTTCGCCAGGTTTACCAGCACGAAGTAGCCCCCTTCAGGATCTGAGTATGGAAGGCCGAGCTCGTCCCAAATCTGGTTGAAACGATCCATCTTTGACTTCATCTCTTTCTTAGCCTCATCCCAGAAGCCGCGCTTGTCAGCCTCCTCAAAGGCGACTGCTGTGGCTTCTTGCAACGGACTGACGCTACTGTAGCAAATTCGGGTGTGAGCAGCAGAGACATATTTGATCAGATGCTCAGGGCCGATCAAGTAGCCAACTCTCCAACCAGTTGCGTAGAAATTCTTGCCCGCCGAGCCCACTGTGAGTGTAAGCTTCGCGATCTCGGGCGAAAGCGTGGCCACACGAGTGAATGGTACGTAGTAGAGGCGGTCATAGACCTCATCGGATAGGATGATGATGTTGTGCTTGACACAGATATCACCGATAGCTTGCAGCTCGTCTTTACTGAACACCTTACCGATAGGGTTGTGAGGCGTGTTGATGACCACCATTCTCGTGCGATCTGTGATTGCAGCTTCAAAGGCTTTCAAGTCTAGTGTCCACTCGCCTGCACTGGTGGTCCGTGAAGCGCCCTCTTTCGGTGGGTGCAGTGGCACGTAAACCACCTTGCCTCCAGGCATTTCGATGTTGGAGATGTACTGATCGAAGAAAGGTTCGAACACGATGGCCTCGTCGCCAGGCTCGAGAAAGCCCATGAAAGCTGAAAGCATACCTTCATTGGCGCCAGTCGTGATCGTGACCTCAGTCTCAGGATTGATCTCTCGGCCGAAAAAGGGCGAATATGCGGCAGCGATGGCCTTCTTCAGTCGAGGTCGACCCTAGGGCATGCCGTCAGCAAGGGCATGTCGAGTGGTAGCAAGGAGAATCCAGCAGTACCTACCTTCGTTGGCGAGTACTGATTGCATTCTACCTTGTCCAATGCTTCCTTGGCGGCATCTATGCAGAACTGAGGAGGATTGTAGCCAAAGAAGCCCTGACCCATGTTCACGATAGGCTGTTTTGGCGAAGCTGCCGCCGCTTCATTGACAATGCTCCAAACATCTTGCCGCTGCCCAGACACGCGCTGAGCAGGCTTGAAGGGATCTCCTTTGACCATGATGGGGGACGCGGCGAAAGATCGAGTGGCTGGTAGACGCTGTGGGAGGACGGTCGTTGCGAAGGTCGAACGCAGCCTTCGGGAGACTTCAGTGGCGCGGCGAAATTGCTTCATGCTTCACATGTGAAGTTCACATGCAAGCAAGCAGTCTTCGAAGCTCCGACGTCGCATCGGCCGCTCCGTCGAGGGTCCCGATCCAATGGAGTGCATGTGTTCAGTAGTGAAATGACGTGCTTGTTCATTCGCCGATCGTTCGGCTCAATCCGAGCCAGCAGCCGGCGGCATTGGTGTTGGCACGCAGCTTGCAAGTTGCAGCAGCTGCTCGTCAATATTTACTTGGACACGAATGTAATAATCTGTGGCGTGTCGCTGCTTCAGCTTCGAGAGCCAGCACTGTGGCAGCTCTCAGCATCAACATCAATCAGGCTGACAATGTCCACTGCAAGCATTGCATTCTTCCGACTTCGTCCGAGACTTCTTGCCGAGTCGGAGCCCGATCATGCGCCGTATCTCAGGCTAGCTCAAAGAAATGTCCCAATGGCGGCTGGCCGTTCACAGGCTCGCTGCAAGAGTACGACAGCAGTGACGTTGTCGCTCACTGTGAGGGGTATTGATGTGTCAGGGCGAAGACTCTGTCTGAACATGTGAGCATGGTAAGAAGCAACTTCATCTTTCGACATACTTTGATACTTTGGCCGGCATTTTGTATCACCCACCTTAATGGCTCTTTCCACTGCATCGCCATCCGGCAAAACGCCAGCATGGTGGAAGAAGGTAGATAATGTTCCGTCACCTAGCCAGGCAAAACCTCCCGCGGCGAGAATCATGGATCTACCGGGAGAGCTCCGAAACATGCTATTCGAGACCCTCGCCAATGATATGGACCACATCGTGATACGCAACGGCAAGATTGTTCCTCATCCCTTCGCTCAGGTGAATCAGCAAGCAAGGCAGGAGTTTGGGTGGATCTTCAACAGCCTGCCTCGAGGACAGAAGAAGTTACTGCGTCCATATAGAGTAACGGTTCAAGTCAACGACTATGATCTCAAAAGCGCAGTGGACGCCCTTGCTCGCTGTGCTATTGGGCCTGCGACTGAGTTTGAGATCCAAGTGCGAGTCACGAAGCAGCTTTCCCGGTGCGACTGGGAAAAGATCTGGCCATGGATCGAGTACTGCGATGAACTGATGCCAAGAGAGGGGTTTCAAGGCGCCAAAATTCGCTCCAACTACACCGTTCAGCTGGAGCTATCCGCCTGTAACCCGTATGCAGCAAGTCAGGAGCTGTACATGGAAGTAATGCCTTACGTATGTAACGCCAACAAGAAGACAGCCAATCAAACAGGTCAATGCTGACAGTAGGATAGATTCTCAAAGACGCTGGAGGACCTGGCAGCGTGTCTGCAGGCTGCGAAGAGATCTCTAAAATGCGTTCGGCCCTCATATGCTGCTCTCTTTCAAGTGGAATGGACATTCATTCGATGAACTCCACGAACACAATGCGATGGTGAAGTCTTGTGCGTGGGCATCTACGAAACGCAGATCCGAAATCTCGAAGCAGTGATCAACAACATGCCTGCCAGCACCACTAGCTGCAGTATGGTAGACCATGTATAAGCTATGCGATGACACGCTTCGCCAGCCATGGATCTTTGCCAGGTACCCGGATGAGCTGCTACAGGTATCTAGTAATGGGCATGCTGCCATCCTGTGATTCGGAGCCGTGCAAATTCGCCGAGGAGGAATGCTAGCACGCAGCGGGCATGAGATATTCTGGTTGGTGGTCGTCGGAGAAAGTCAGAACGACCTGAAGCCATTTTTGGGACGAGTGATTGGATTCGCGATGTCTTGGCGTGGACTGGTCGCACACTGTGACGGCTGGGTGAGAGCAGGAGGAGTTGCGAAGGACAGTGAACGGTTCGAGATAAGTCCGTAGAGTACGATAGTCATGAATCATGATGAAGTGAGGGAGAAGAACTAGTTAAAGCCAAGAGGACGATGTCTGCAGCCACAGTAAGAAGCCTTGCCGCGGTTCAGCGCACGCACGCAGCCGAAGGAAGGCCAGGGACCAGCACACATCTGCGTCGAGTGCCTGCCTGCCTGCATAGCTAGTAGTAGATATGCCTTCCGACATGACGAACGGGCGGCATGTCGCGGACGAGCTCAATGGCGCCTGACACATCCACTGCCCGCCGCAACGGCAAATGATGGCTCTCAAGAGATGCGCGACAACGATGGCAAAAGGCACAAGCCGAGAGGGGTAGTTCTGCGCAGGCGCAGGCGCAGGCGCAGGCACAGGCACAGGCACAGGCAGGCGGTGTGTAGACGCGAACGCACGCTCTTCGTCGAGCAGAGCAGAGCAGAGCAGACTCCATCTCACGTGCTATCACTGTCGATGCTGCATCGGACCAGTCAGATCCTCACTGCAGGTGACATCGTTCCCGCCAGCCACTGAATTTGAAGCTCGACTAAATTGGGGAACTGCGAGCAGGTGTGCTTTCCTCACCACAACAACAACAACACTCGCACGCTTCCTACCCACCTACCCACCTACCCTACCCTTCCAACTTCCCACCTCACCTCCCGCGCCTCTCTCACCCTTCCACCACCCAATGTCGACACCGATATAGACAGCATTGACTTGTGCCGCCCGCTCGACACCTCTCCCACGCTCGCCCGCCCGTATACCTTGTGCCTCTCGAGAACTCCTCGTGCGTGAACCCCACCTCACTCAACGAGGTAGCTCGTACTCGGAGCATATGCTAATCGATACTTTGACCACAGCTTCCAATCCGACCGCACCTCACTCTACACACTTCAAATTAGCACCGAAGCTTAAGCGGCCTGCTCTTCGGCCTCGCTCAGCAGCTCTTCCCTCGCAGTCCTACCAATTCCTCACAATAACACGCCAAGATGTCGGCCGAAGACGCTTCGCCCGCCGTTGACTCGGGCATTGGCAACCTTGCCGATAAGATGGGGGGACTTAGCACCGACGAGCGCCCCCGAACCGAGGAAGAATACGCCCAGAGCCAATTGACCTTGCGCGCAATCGTGACTTCCAAGGAGGCAGGCGTGATTATCGGCAAGGCTGGCCAAAATGTTGCGGACCTCAGAGACAAGACTGGCGTACGCGCCGGAGTGAGCAAGGTCGTGCCTGGCGTGCACGATCGCGTTCTGACTGTCACCGGAGCTCTGACAGGCATATCTGACGCGTATGGACTGGTTGCAGACAGCTTGGTCAAAGGAGTGCCGCAGATGGGCATGGGAGGCGTGGTCGGCAACCCGAACACACATCGTGAGATATCTTCATCCCGCTGCATTCTAATCTATCTGCTAACTATCCTCAGCTATCCGATTGCTTATCTCGCACAACCAGATGGGTACCATAATCGGTCGTCAAGGGCTCAAGATAAAACAGATACAGGATGCTTCGGGGGTCAGAATGGTTGCACAGAAGGAGATGCTGCCTCAATCAACCGAACGCATAGTGGAAGTCCAGGGAACCCCCGAAGGAGTCCAAAAGGCTGTCTGGGAGATTGGCAAATGCCTCATCGACGATGAACAGCGTGGTTACGGAACCGTTCTCTACAGTCCTGCTGTTCGTGTGCAAGGCGGTGCTCCTGCTCCACCTCTCAATGGTACGGGCGCCAGCTACGGAGCTCCCAGAAGCTACAACCGCACCGGCAATGGCGCCGACTTCACCGGAGGCCAATCTCCCTCGTCATACCCACCTCGTCGCAATGGACCATCTGACGGAGGCCCCCCTCCCCGCCCTGAAGACGGCGAGGATATCCAAACTCAAAATATCAGCATACCGGCTGACATGGTTGGCTGTATTATTGGTCGCGGTGGCAGCAAGATCAGCGAGATTCGCAAGAGCTCCGGCGCCCGCATCTCTATCGCCAAAGCTCCGCATGACGAGACCGGCGAGCGCATGTTCACCATTACTGGCGGTCCCGCTGCCAATGAGAAGGCCCTCTATCTTCTCTATGAGAACTTGGAAGCCGAGAAGATGCGTCGGAGTCAGATCCCAGAAGCCACGGCATAGAGTGCTGACGGCCGTGAAGCCGCTTACGGATATCCGCAGCCGACCGCCCCCCATACTCCTCAGCCCATCTCTGCACCACTCCTAGGCTACTGAGGAATCGCGTTGTGACCCCGCCAGGACAACTTGCGTCGCCGCCGGCTTCACAGCCAGCATCATGCAAGCGTCTGGGGACAACGTTGACACCTTCTCTTCATGTCTTATGACTATCACGACTTTGACGCTTCGATGACATGACCAGCTCGAAAGCCTAATGATGTCCCTACCCACCGGTGGCTTCTCTGCCCTACCCTACTCCACTACCAGAACGACACCACCACACAGCGCGCACCATGATAACTTTGAATGAACTACAAGGCTGGAATAATGCTCGATGATTGCAAGAAGTAGCACTTCATCTCCCAAAATGGCGGAAGCAAGCATGTGTTTGCAGTTTGCTAGCGGAAGCAGGCTTTGGACTTGCTATTTTGCATAGCGCTATACCAATTTCGTTATGTGATTGCAGCGACGATAGCGACAAGAAATGAAAGCGATGCAGACTTACCAACACGTCTCTTTGACGCACGACACATTTCCAGAATATTTTGAGTACCGATATGTTGCTCTCAAGCCATGATGTGACGTAACAAGCACGCCTCCTTCGCCATCTTTGCAATCCCAGAACACCATATACCAATTCCCTTGTCCGAAGTGCACCGTACCAATCCACACCAACGCCATTACCTGCCCAGTCCGAGTCCGAGCGTATGCCACGCGCAACGTATCTCAGTGGTGATATCCCGAGGCCGGATGTCAATTGACATAGCACAGCAACTCCTGCTCCAGAATGTATTTCCCTTCCTTATACTTCTCCGTGCTCTCATAGGCACGATCGTATTTCCAGCCCACAATCTCTTTGCACTGTCTACACCACACATCTCTCACGACGTGGCGGCCTGTCGTCATATTGCGTTCTCCGGCTTCGCCTTGCTGCACATTGACGACGCTGTTGAAGAGGTAGGCTTTGCCATGTTGGCCTCGGAAATTCTGCGTTTTGCCGCATGTTGAGTTAGTGGAAAGCGTTTCAGGATGGGAATTTAGAGAGAGGTGTTGGGGATGGGGATGGGGATGTGGACTCACCCTACTTATTATCTCGTCGTGGTCGGCGAGGTGGGTTTTGCAGTTTTTGCAGCCGTAGATTTTCTTGGCGTTCAGGTAGACGTTGTATGCGAGGCCCATCTTTGAGGAGGATGGGCGCTCGGCCTAGGGAGTTGAGAGAGTGTGTTGTGCAGGTTGTCTAGGCGCGGGTGCGGAGGGCGGGGTGGTCTGGTGTCGTTGTCGTCGCCTTCGGAATTCCTGCTTTTGGTTTCAGACTTTCGTTGCAGGCTTGCTAGTTGACCACGGATGATGTTCTTCTTCCTCTTCTTCTTCAGTTTGCCCGTTGTCGTTATCGTCAGCTGGAGAGGTCACGAGTGAGCTGAAGTATGAAAGAAGGCGGAGATGGGCTCTGGCAGGATGTGGATCAGAGTGAAGTAGGCAGAACACGATGCGGTTGTAGCAATTGAGTGAGTCCGGAGTTCAGGTACTGGGTTGGCATCTATGTACATACAGGGAACCGAAACTCTCACGCTGCTGCCCGTAGCCCGCGCGCACATGAAGTCAGTAGTACTAGTCAGCAGCAGCGATGAGGGACTGCTCCGCTCCAGAGTGGCCAGTGCGCCACTGTGGGGGGCTCGGCAGAGATCGGCGACTGCCGATGAACCACCCTTCCGAACACCACCACCTGTGCGGCGATACCAACCGATTTCTGGTTGGTCCACGAACACGCAGAATCATGTCTCTTTCATTCACCTACCACTGCTGTAGCATGCGAGCACACGGTCAAGTACATCGAAAAGGTCGATGTACCAGATAGCGCGTACGAGAAACGTGATACAGCTCAGCGCTGAAACCAATGGTGCTGGCCCAACGCAAATCCGAACGCCGCATCGGTGCCATATACGACGTTATTGCGGAACATACGATGTTATGTGCCAGGTAGGTCACCGTCATTGCGTCTTCTCCTCTTCCAAATCTGAGGGATTTGCTCACTGCTCAGATACTGAGCATAGAGGGGCAGCCAACAACGCAACTGCAAGTGGCATGAACATGGGACAGGTAGACGCATACATCGCGGTGCCGGCGAAGGATATCTATGCCGCCGATAGTACTTATCAAACAAGGTCACGTCACAAACATGCCATTTCTCACGAGCAGAGAGGACGACGAAGGCTGCCTGTTCACCAACATGACCGAAGAGGAATAACAGCTGCGGGTTGACCAGAACGTTGGAGAACGTATTTCCATACGCCAAAAAGTCATTATTCAGTCGATTTTTCCAGCTCCACCTTCGAGAGGACTACAACTCGAGAATCCACAGTGGCGGCAATCTCTACAACTGCTAGAGATGTTTCTTGATCATGGCGCATATGGCGAACCAGTGGAGATGGGGTATGTTACCGCCGCCAGCCATCTCGATCGCCAAGCTGTCAGGCTCCTGTGGGATCATATCGAGAACACCACGGCGGACGACCTGGCATTCGCCGCCGCGACTGGAGCTGATTCTTGGCTCTCGCCAGGTAGTTATGATCTCATAGCGCTTCTGTGTAGCCGCAAGATCTCTGCGAGCGTGGTTGCGCCTGCTTTGACTAAAGCTGCTGCAGCACACAACGTCGCACTGGTCAGCCTTCTCTGCAAAGGTGCCAGCAAGAGCCTAGCATCGCAGGCATTCGAAGCAGCTACCAAAACCGTCAGCAAGCTAGCCTTTGATTATGGGACAACTATCTTGACCATGCTCGCTAGCGCCGGAGCGAGAGGCAAGGCTGTTAATGCAGCTCTCATAAAGAGCGCTGGAGCTCATTGTCTCGACCTTGTCTGCGCCTATTGCCCGAATGTGCCAAAATCTAACTCGTCCTGCTTCTCTTCTGCATTCGATGCTGTCGTTCGGTCCAGCAATGACTGGCTCACGAACCCCGATGCGTTGCAAATTCTGCAGATGGTGATTGATCGAGGAGCTCAGGGAGAGACACCAGCGTTTGCGCTTGTGCAAGCAGCGCTAAGTGGCAATGAAAGAGCTACGCAAGTACTTTTCTGTGCTGTTGAGGATCCCCTTGCTTACACCGAGGCGTTCAACACCATGAACCAGTCTGACCAGCGGTGGCTGCAGTCAACAAGCACCGGTCTTGTGGAATTCATACTCGCGCGCGCCGCCAGCGACAATGGTCTGCATGAGGCGCTGATGAGAGCGACCGTCGAGGTTGTGCATGATAATGCATCCATGGAGTTACTGCACCTGCTCCTGAAGTATGGAGCCGACGTGAGCTATGTCAACGACGGTGCGCAAGCACTACAAGTTGCTGCAGCATTTGTACGAGAGGCTATTTTCGAGCTTCTCCTTGAATATAAGCCGGACATGATCACTATCTATGTCGCGATGCAGGAGACGCTTCGCAATGACCATGAAGAGTCCACGGTTCTCTCGATTATAGAGCTCCTAGCAGGTCCCAACTCTTCAGCTACCAGACAGGGCCTCAACCATACTAGTGCGAAGAATACCCTCTTGTTCGACAGCATACAATACTATCCAGAATCCGTGTCCTTGGCAGCTGCTTTCTTCGATCTCGGAGCTGACGTAAATGCCACGCACGCCTGCAACATACGTGGACGAGCCTGGATACGGTGGTCCAGAGCAGGCATCGCCTTTGCTCTATGTTAGAATGTTGCTTTTCACGAGTGAGGCTTCCAATGCTGATCAGTGCAGGTGATATTGACTATGTTGCTCCAGCTACACAAGCAACCGCCCTGATTCTTGCTGCTCGGCTCAATAGGCACGACATGATTTCGACTTTGATAGATTGTGGTGCCAATGTGTCCGCCCAGGACGCTCTCGAACGCACGCCTCCATTCTATGCCGCACGGAACGGTAATACCTCAGCCATCACATCCCTTCTGCGAAAGAAGCCACCAATCAACGACGGGAGCCTCCATGAGGCCTCCGCGATGCTGTGTGTCGATGCGACCAAAATGCTCATTGCAGCCGGGTATGATGCCAACTTTACCTCTATTAAACATGATGGTCGCAATGCGCTGTGTGAGCTCTGCTTCAATTGCAGTGGAGATGATCTAGTGCGACTGTCTTCGACGCTGTTGGAACTTCATAGGGCCAAGGCAGCCCCTCTGAAAAAAATGTCGAGGACGCACGCCATTGTTCTGGGCTATTGAGAACGCCAACCCGATGCCGGTTGTGCAACATATCAACTCAAATCGGGACATGACTTCCAGACGCGAATGACACAATCTGCTCATGATGACAACCAAAACAGGCGACACTTGAATTATTTGGGAGACCAACAGAATATGAAGCTGGAAGGTGCCCAGCAGCAGCAAACTCTTAGGCTGACTGGAATGACGGCGGAGAATACCATAACGCACGAGCACGAGATGGACAAATTGCAAATCGGCGCGTTGCGTAGCATGCAAGAACGGTCGGATATGGACTATAAACTCCAACATGCTGTCGATTTAAACGACACGAAGGTCTCAACCCAACGTCGCATGGAAGATGTAGCCCAAGAATCGCGTTCCAACCAACTGCGACATCAAGAAAACAGCGATGACGCTCGCCTCAGAAATGAGAGCGCCATGAACGAGCATCGGCGACAGAATGATGATGAGACGATCCGGAAGCTGGAGAGACTCGGTCAAATCGAGCGTAACCTGTTGGAAGACAAGGCAAACATATCCGATATGGACCGCCAGAAACAGCTTTACAGCATGCCAGCTCAAAACCAAGAGAAGCCGCGGACTTTGTCACAGCAAGGTCGTATTCAGAACGATACCTTGTTTGAGAAAGGCCGAGTTGAGAACAGAAGTCTTGGCGAGAAAAATGGAATTCTTAACCTAGGTCGGATGGATGAGCAAAGGCACACATTCAACATGGGAAGGATCCGCTACCACAATGAAGAAGCCATGGGTCAAATCCGTACCAAGAATGAATATGACATGGGCCAAAGTATCGAATGAGTATGAAATGGGCAGCGCGAAAGTCTACAACGAAGACTGCTTGGGTGACGCGAAGTCACGCACTATCGACAAATCCAATGCTGCTCAGCACCGAGGCGCAGAACAACGTCGCTTGGATACTAGAGCGCAACAGGCTGACCTTGAGTCAAAAAGTCCACAATGCTATCCAAGAACAGTCGCACCTCTTCCGAATTTGATCTTGACGAAGGCCCATAGCGATCATTCAGCCTCGTCTCGTCTTGCTCGTGTTCGTGTCCGTGTTCGCTGCGGGCTGTCTACAGTCAAAGGAGGCTCCACACAGAGGAGGCTCGTGCTAGCTGCGCAGAGTGCAGCAATGCCCACAGCCCAGACGAACATTCCTTAGCGTAAGATGTAGCAAGTCCAATGATCGATCGTGCTTGTGATTTGCTTGTGGGGCGATCCTTGATCTGCAGTCATCAAAGGAGGCTCTACGCAGAGGAGGCTCGTGCTAGCTGCGCAGAGTGCAGCAATACCCACAGCCAAGACGAACATTCCTTAGCGTAAGATGTAGTAAGTCCAATGATCGATCGTGCTTGTGATTTGCCTGTAGGGCGGGGCGATCTTTGATCTGGTCCGGCAGAGAGACCCAAAGCCAAAGATGCAGTGCTCACCAGACAGACCTTGTATGATCCATCAACCGGTCATTGGAAAGCAAAGGCAAAGCTCATCCCGTTTCTATATACCTGTTCCCCAAAATCACGGCCCAGCACAACACCGGCCTTCACCGGGAATATGCCTCTTCAATCTCTTTCGGCAGGTCGGATTCTCATGATTCTGGGCAATCTCTCTTATTCCTTGGGCGCCTTCCTGGCAGACTACAACGAGACACACGTGCTGAATCCAAGATGGCCGCCTCACGCAAAGTTCCATAACGGTCAGACCATGTCCTTGGGCCTCTGTCTTGCTGCAATGTCATTGTATCTTGCCTTCCGTCCTGAGGCCAGGCCAAGCCAGGTCAGAGACAATTTGTTCAATGCCGCTCTCCTTGGTAGCTTCTACTGCGGAGCCGGACTGTGTGCAATCCTCTACCCAGGAACTGCCTGGCAAGAGTAAGATTGAGCATGTCCCTTTGCGAGGCTGTTTTGTAGCTGACGTTTGTCTGCAGTCCCGAGTTCGAAGGCAATGGCGAGCAACGATACATCTTTGTCGCCGTCTGTGTTCTCATGGCCGTAGGATATTGGATTGATGCTAGCAAACTGACGAATGAGAAGCCTGCATGAAGAAATCGACAGTATCAGATCAACAGTAAAAATAAAGAAACAGATGCAACGCAGTCCACAGTCCATGTCTGCACTGCGTCGACTTCTGCACCTCAGTGTAAAGCCAAGCCAATAATCTAGCCTTTCGTTGATAGCATTCTTCCTCGTCTTTTTTGATTACTCGACCGAAACTCTCTCACTGCAGTCGTAAATATGCCTGGACGAGGTGGAGCGGGCAATATTCTCGTGCAACAACAGCAAGCCAAGCGTGGCGCTGACGACCTCGAGGCAAATCAGCAAATTATCGCTACCTCGGCAGACAGTTCGCTTCCGCGAGAGAAGCAGCAATATGCCCACACTGGACGTGGAGGCGCTGGCAATTGGTACAGCCCTCAAGAGCTGAAGCAAACCGGCACATACGATGATGGATTGCCAGCAGCAGCAGCCTCGGCTCAAGCCCAGCAAACAGCAGCTGAGCCTGTTCGGAGGTATGGACGCGGTGGAGCTGGCAACATGTCCTTTGGCGTGAGCGAAGATGAAGAGCATGCGATCGGAAACAGAATGGCGGAAGAGGAAGCCAAGCGAGAGAAAGTCGCGGCTGACGTCGAGGCCAACGTCAACGCGATGCTAGCAGAGCCACCAAAGGCTAGGCTCTCTGGTCCTCCCTGAAGGGCTGGGATCAGACCTCTAAAGGCATTGAAGAGAAAGAGACACAAACGGTACTAAGCAATAAGCTCAGTATATCTGATCAGAAGTAGCGCGCGAAGAGCATGGCTCGCGCCTCGAAAGCAGTGAAGCACAATGCATCCATGCACGCATAGTGTCTGATTGGTTTCGATTCGAGTCTACCGAGTACGCCTACTTGAGAATCCTGCCAGGACGCCAACCGTTCCACATTTGTCGCAAAAGACCAAAGCAGCATCATCTCGTATTCTGTCTCTGAATCTGAGGTGGAGTCGGAGTATACAAAGGCAGCTCTTCTAAGATTCCCAAAGGCGGCATTTGAGCCTGTCCAATCGTCTTATGAATCAACGTCGCAGTGGTATCGAGGAGCCCGGCGAGGACATTCGACCAAGGCACAGCCGTCGACCATGCTTGGCCTTTGATCAGAGGTGTATAGCTTCCGTTCTGGTTCTTGCGCACGATCATGGCATATTGCTGTCATAAAGGTCAGAAATCTGAGATCGCGGTTTGAATTGGTGGAAGGTAGTTACCCACCCAAGGTGGTTCATCACTATCCTTGTCATTTCGCGGTTTCGTTCCGTAGACGATTTCGAAAGGGCTGCTGCCGTCTGAGAGTATGTTGCCTGAAGGGAAGAGGACTGAAGTATTTGCTAAAGCTGTTTTAGCGTAGCACGCGAGCAATACAGACACGAATACAACGGACCAAATATTCTCTTTCTCAACTCATCATCGCTCAGTTGAGGCGGATTAGGCTTTCGAGGTTTTGATGTATTACTGACTGGCCACCGTGCGCTTTGAAGCATTTCATAGACGATCAGATCGGAATTGGTAGGAGGCAAGTGAGTGAGGATATATGAGCTGAAGCCGATAAGCTTCAGAATATATGTTGGCTACATAGCTACACACTATATCTGCTCGGGCAGCCAGCCGACTCCTTCACACGGGCGACGGCACGAGTACATGCGCATTAGCGCATAGCTGCATGACTGCATGCATCCCACGTTCGTGGTGTGATACGTACTATTTTCTGGTTCTCGTTCCACCTCCACGGTATATTCCCCAGAGATAAGCGTTTGTCGTTCGGTAATGTAGGAGAAATGTGCTAGGGATGATTGTCTGGTGGGTGTGGCTTGTTTGTGTGCAAGATAAGATAAGTGCTTTGTGGTGGCCGACGGCTTCCCTCGATGTATCTTTTCAAGGTACCTTTGTCAGGCCTTATGTGGGATAGAAGTGCCTGAAGCAGCGATTTCTGGTTGCAGCCATCTCTGGTGTCCAGACAGCTCAGATGAATATTTGCAGCAATGAGACGTCTGCAGGTCCCAACGCGCAGCACGATTGATCATCTTGCCCACGCAAGAGCTCCATCCCCTCGAGTTCGCCATTGCGATCGGAGATCAATAAGGTCCAACATCAATCAGATTTGGATGGCAATGCACCGATGTTGCGAGTTGGAACATCCAGCATCCACCTTTCTGCGAATTATTGCTTTTGCAGTTGCACACGTTCGAGATGATCGTATTCAGGGCCAGACTCTGCAAACTCGGTCCAGGACCGTCTTCCATCGTCACGGCTGGGATAGCCATGGCCGTTCAGAGTCACGCAGACTCTCTTCAAGCAATTTGACGCGCGCACTTCCCATGTATCACTCCTCGAGTCCGAATATGAGATGATCAGCCTCTCCAAACCATGAGATGATGAGCACTGTGCAGGCTTTCCTTGCAGATCGGCGCGTATCGAAGATAGTTTCGACAGAAAGGTAGACGTTGCCTGGGCAAGATGTTCGTGAAGTCGAAATTGGGTCGAGAATGCACGCATTTGGAAGCATGGCTCCGATGTCTGGTCCAATGTATGCTCAAATTCGGTCGGTAAATGAAGCTTGATCACAAGTGACTTTAGCCTTATGTCGGAAACATGGTTCGATATCGAGAAGATCGTCGGACAAATATTGATTATTCGCAGACGTACGTCTTGAATGTAAGGAATCACATTGGCAAGCTCTTCGCAGAGGTGGAAGTTGCCATTGTCGCCTTTCAATCGCGTGCCGCACAGGTCCAATGTGAGAGACTTGAGGTCGTGACAGCATGGCAGGTTCCTAACGAGTCGCATTACCGTGGAAAGATGAATGTAGTCCCAATCTTGGCCACGACCGTCTGGATCAGAGCTTGCAGTGAAATCCAATTGTTCGAGAGCTGTGAAGTTGTGTATATCACCGAAAAGCTCGTCGAGACGAGGCTGTAAGTCAACATCGCGCCACCTCACCATTGCGGCTTGACATTCGGGTTTCTTCAGATTGAATCCGATGGGCATTTCGTTCTGTCTGTCTTCTCGTTCATCCCACCCGTCTTCGCCTCTGGCAAGATGCTCACATTCGGACGCGAAATTATCATCCCAGAAGTGGCCAAGAAGTCGAATGCTCATCGATCGCGTGTTCTTGTGCATGAGCTTGCGATGTCCAGCATGTCCGAGCTTGTCGTCAAGCTGCTTAAGGTTGCTCGCATACAGTCGTACCGCCGACGTGCCAAGGCCAGACAGATATACTGGTCGAGCTAAAGCATACCACTCTCGACATATGGACAGCCTCTGATGCGCGCGCCACCTTGCTCCATCTCCAGTCTGTCTGCTCCGCCTGAGCTCGCGACCACCAACTTCTTCGAGGATCAGATTCAGCAGTTCGGTAGGTATGGTCAGCAGGGCAGACATAGCTGGCCTTCGAGGTCATGGACAAACGGGAAGTGCAGATGTGAGTGACTATAAAAGGTCAGTCAGGAGGGGATCCTTTCAACAGCCTTTTCTGCCCGATGGCAAGCCGACACGACAAGCAGCTCATCGCAAGTTATTGCCGATCTGGCCTGTTCGCCCAGGAGCAGGAGCAGGAGCAGGAGCAGGAGCAGGAGCCGTCGTAGGCCTTCCCGCCTGCCATTACGAATGGCGCGTCGGTGACTCCGGTGCTTGGGAGGAAGAGTTGCAGGTGAGGATCAAAGAGTTCGGAACTTCCATGATTGGCGAGGCCGGCTCACTCGTGTCGGCCGGGCTGATCTGCAGCGGCAAGGCACCGACATTTTGGTTTCGGAGTTCAGACCCCACAACCTTGAAGTGGCTTGCGACGACAGCGTAGTAGTAAAGCTCGAACGTCACTTGCATCCAGGCACCACAGCTTTCACCACTGCACACTGAGTGCGGCATTGGGCATAGCAGGCGGCGGCACCCTTTTCGACAACAACACCACTCAGAACTTCAGTCAATGTGGTAGACCGACGAGAGGCCAAGATGGTGCGGTCGAGTGTCCCACACTTTCTATTCCAAAGCTGACCCAGAACAGTCGCAATCACTGCGCCCGTATCTGTCCTGCGTGCGGCAGACGCTGACCGCCGCGCTCTCATTATCGAACTTCGCATCGCAAGCCTCTGAGCGACACAACGTCCCCGAGATCGAGGCAAAGACCTCGCCCGAGGTCCTGCTGAACCCACTTACCGTCTCGAGGAACCAAGAAGAGCGCGTTCTGGTCGAGCCTTCGGTCAACAGCGTCAGGGTCAGCATACGGATAAAACAGGCAGACGAGATTGAGCACATCCTCGTGCACAAGTTCACGAGATTCTTGACGCAGAGAGCAGAGGCCTTCTTCATCCTGCGAAGAAAGCCGGTGCCTGTATGCCTCAAAGCGCGCCGTGCCCAAGACATCCTTGCTGATCAGATCTAGGGATATGACATCTCCTTCCTCATCACCAATTTCCACACGGAGGAAATGTTGAAGCACAAGCTGGTGGACTTCATTATCCAGTTTATGGAGGAGGTGGACAAGGAGATATCAGAGATGAAGCTCTTCGTAAGCTTCCATTATAGCTGTGTGTGCTTTGCGCTGACCGATCATGCAGTTGAACGCCCGAGCACGTTTTGTGGCCGAGAGCTTCCTGACTCCAGTAAGATTTGTCAACCTTCTGCTTGATTCGACGCGCGACTGACTCTTGCCGCAGTTCGACTAGAGCATTTTTTGGTTCGGTATATTGTGCACCCGATCCTAGGGAAAGAGAGGCATCTGCCTGACTGCTCTCCGAGCCTTTTCCTGAACTAAGGCCGCCATCCCGGAACGACATCATGACTGGACGAGCAGTTGCGTCCCTTGGCTATGATGGACACTCAACAGGCCGCTATAGATATAAAAGCTCAAAATTCAGTTGAAAGGACGCTTTATCGGCGTCAAGAATGAATCTTCGGCCAATGAGAGCTTCAATATACCTGGTCGTGCTATTCGCTGCTCTTTCACGGAATTGTACGACTAACGGAGCAATGCAGAGTAGCATAGACCGATCCAATCCGGAAAGGGAAGCTCGATGTGCTGACAGTATATCCTGCTGGCTGCGTATACAAGTCGTTGTAATGCTGGTTGGCGCGGGGACTGGCTGCAGGTTGCAACGCTCACGGCTGTGTTAAGCAAGAGCTTATACCGGCCCGTCAAAACAAACAGTCCTGCTTTTTCACCCTTCTCTCTCGTTCAGCCCGATCATACGACCACAAGACCCGGGCACAGTATTGCTGTGCACAAACTGATCACAACAAGCACAGCGTAAGCAGCATATCCTTGAGCCATTGCCCTTCCCATTGCCACTGCCACTGCCGCTGCCAACGCCGTCGCCGTCGCCTATGCCTTTCCTTGGTCTGGACCGGATATCTTCCACCTTTCTTTATGAGGCTTCTCTACACAGCGGCTCCTGGCTCCTCGGATACCTGGCCTCCCAGATATATCCATTCACTCATGTCCAAGAGACTGCGGAGAGCGTTAGCGCTGACACGTTCCCAGGAGCGAACAGCAGCCATGGGCGTGGCGGGCCCCCCAATCGCCTGCGAGAGGTGAGTGAGCAGCACTGCAAACGACTCTGCTCTACTCGTATAGCTGTGGTCTTGTTGTCGGATCTCGAGGCGCTATCTTGACTGCCCGGTGTGGAAGGAAAGCGAGGTGAACCAGTAGCAGAGGCTAACTTGTTCATTCTTTGCTTCCAGATGCATGTGGCTCCCGAGCCACTGGTTGCCAGACTGTGGGCACACAGTCTGTATAAACCACTGGAGCGGACAGGCACGTACTTAGATGAATCTTCTCCTCGAGAATGTGCTAACAATGCTGTATAGTGGTCGGGCATTGCGCTGGACTCCTCCACGCATTGCCCACACTGCAACAAGGTACGTGCCTTCCCTCTACGCGTATTTCGCGCTCACTGCCATGACGCAACTTCCAAAAAAGCTCACTTTTGGTGGCTTGACCGCTTTCTCAATCCAGCACGTGCTCTCCTTCATTTTCCGCGAAAACTTCAACCGCGACATTTGGTAGAACTTTGCGCACTCGTTGTTTGCTTGCTCTACAACCTTCTCGTGTTGGCCATCGCTGACACCTGCTTTCTCTCTTGTCAGCCGTACAACAGCGAGCTGCCTCCAATCGAGCTGGCAGACATCCCTTCGCAGCATCCACTCGACCGCACTTGGTCAGCTCAGCCTACCGACAGCGACTCGGCGTGGCCCATCCTCAGCATGCAAGGCCTCGGCGGCGCATACGGTGGTGGTCGCTTCGTGTACGATACCCCTGAAGAGGCGGTCGTCCAGAACCCACAGTCGAACGACGCTGTTCCGCGTCTCGTGCACAAGAACAGCGAAGGCGCGTACCTCAGCGGCCTTGGCCTTCCAACGCCTGGTGCGCACTTGAGCGGCCTCGAACACGGCAACTACGAGAGCTCATCCTCCAGCACCATGAATAGCGCTGGCGGCGGCGGCGGCGGCTTCGGCCAGCAAAAGCGCGCCTTCAATCCGATGGCAGCAGAGCGTCATTTCAACCCCTACCCTGCCTTCGACCCAACTGCTGTCTATCAGGTGCCACAGCGCCGTGCCAACGAGCCAATTGCTCGTCCTGAGTCGTCCTTGTCCAACGGCACTTTCGCTACACAGCCAGACTACACCTTGGCGAGCCAGTATCGTCCGCAATCGCAATTCTATGGCGGCGGCATGCATGAGACGTACAACGGTCACGGTCAGATCTACAACAAGATGACATCCTCCAACGGCCATTTCTTCACATCGCAGCAAGACAGCGCTCCAACGCACAACAACGACGCGTCCTCATACACCACTCTTGGCGCAGGCATGGCGAACATGAAGATTGGCGAAGCCGATCTCATCATTCCATCTTCTCGCGCCCTCGTCACCATTCCTGAGTACCCTGAGTCCAGTTTCGACGCCTACCCGAACGCATATGTCAATGGTGATCGCAATAGCGATCAGTCCCGCAACGACTCCATGTCCATGGTGAGCGCTCGATACGGACCAAGCGCTTTCGCTCTTGCGCAAGACATTAAGATGGGACGTGCTGAGGATCCATTTGATCGCTCTCTGTCTCGACTTGACACACCATCTAAGCTTCCAAACCCATCTCTGGGACCTGCGCGCTTCAAGGACAGCAAGATGTTCAGCACCGCCGACGAGATTGATGCATCTCGCTCGACTGGTTCTTCGAACAGCACCCCTCGGCTGGCAATCATGCCGGCTCCAAAAGCCCCCTTTCCAGACTGGCTCCAGCTTGCACTTGAGGGCAACATGATCCCAACTATCGAAGAGGCTTTCGACGCTCTCCCACTCATTGAGTCATGCCGCATGACGCACCCAAGCATTGCAGGTGTCGTCCGTGTCAAGGACATTCCTTATGGCACTACCCGTCAAGAGATGATCGCATTTGTCGGCCGCAACGCACAGATTCTCCGTCAGCCAGAAGGTTCTCCTTACCATGCTGTACATATTCTGATGGAGCGCGAGAGTGGTAAGACCATGGACTGCTTCCTCGAGGTCTCCACCCCGAACGAGGCTGCTTGGGTCGTCCGCCAATTTGCCAAGCGAGTTGAGCAACGCCGTCCACCAAAGGTGGGCGACCGTATCGTCGAGGTGCTCTACAGCTCTCAGGACGAGCTCATGGCAGAGCTCTTCCCGCGCGCTAAGCACGTTCGGTGGAGCGACGGCAAGCCTGTGGTCGACAAGACTCCGCGTAACTACTATCCAGGACAGAAAGCTGCTGGCTTCCAGGGCTTTCTGCACGCAGAGGAACTTGTGGCTATGACGAAGCACGCCAATCTGTCTGAGCGCGTAAGTGCTAAGAAGCAACATGCCCTTTCTTTCTTGAACACTTACTGACGATCTACAGTCCCCGTTCGCGTCCAAGAGCCCTTGCCGTGTCTACGAAGCCATGATTGTTCTTTTGTACAAGTATCCATGGTATGATACCGATCACGTCACCGTCTTCGAGCGTCGCGCTATCTATGACTGCGCCATCGGTCTCGTCAAGACCTTGATCAACGAACTTCGCCGCGGCACCAACAAGCCGAACCCACTTCAACCAACCCCTGCACTCCTCCAGGAGTTGGCTGTTGCTATGCTTTCTTGCCCGGGCTTCACCGAGAAGCAGAAGGCTACAATTGTGACAGCGCTCTATCAAGGTGGCTACCAGGGCATGGCAGATGGCCGTGGTGTCAACGTGCAGCTTGGCGGTCGTCACGAGTTCAGTGCTGTCTGGCCATTCTCCGCGCTGTCAATGCTGCCGGACGCGGACCCTCGTCTCATGCGCTACTACGCTGGCTTGTTCCGTCAAGCCACAGGCAAGCCCAGCAACGGTTCACTTGCGGATCGTCAAGCTGCCAAGGCCACTGGTTACGAGGAGAAGCCGATGGGCAACATCAAGGTCAACTACGGTGACAACCCAAAGGATTTGTCGCTTGCCGAAGTCGCCAAGATGGAGTACGATGAGATCGAGAATATGCTGGGTCGTGTGCTTGCCCGTGCTCCTCAGTTCGGCCACGGCTTCAGTGCACCAGCCACGCGTCGCAACAGCGGAGGACCTGGTAGCAGCAGCAGCAGCCAGAGTGGCGGCTCGATTCGCTCAGCTTTCATGTAAGAGGCTGCATGTCTATGTGGGCTCCACTTCCATCGAGCGGGCGTTGAGCATTCTTGCGATCAGCAGTGCATTGGCTGGGAATGGTTACCATGGATATCAGGCGTTGTAGAGAGTTGCACGCATGGGAAAGAACGACGATACAGCATAAGAGCACGAGGATGAGGCATGATGAGCACCAACACCTGCGTTGGAGTTTCTGCTGAGGATATCTTTGTGAGAAGAAAAGCAGTCAGGGCACACTGGTTGGCATCTGCAGCTCCATGTGGATTGGCGAGCGATTGTTTTGTCTCATTTTGTACTACCAGAAAGCCAGATGTGTGTCTTGCATCCTTCCTTTTCCTTACTCATGGCGCTTGATATACATATACAGCCCAGCGTCACCTTGAAGAGGCCAAGGGTGAGTTCATCGAGCTGCGGCACAGTTATTGCGCTCGCTACAAGATCGACAGCGAATGCCGTACAGTAATGGCGATGTCAGCCTCGTAGCCCTTTCGCACATAACATGGCCGCTGAACTGGTCGTGATGGCGTGTATGGGGGTGGTCTCTTTGGCTTGGCAGTCTCCGCAGAAGAACACGCGTGTCTTCTCGCTGTCTCACGACATGTCGATGACGATGTCTACATTCTGCCACTGTATGTGCCTGGTCAGCCCGTCTCACGACCGAGATGTGCGTGATTGAAGGAATGGGGCCAGGTCGATCGATGGGATGCACTCCTTCCCGCCCAACCCACTGCCGAAGGCTCCGCTTTTGCCAAGAAACTGCGTCCTCGAGGCGTGATTGGATGTGACCAGCACATCACGGCGCTTGGAGCTGAGCTCTCCTTCGTGGACAGCAGGATTCTTGCTCCCACTGGCTCGGAGAGGCTGCGTGCGAGTGACATCGCGCGCGCCAGACTACCGTCGCCGTGCATGGAGAAGTGTGCGATATTGGATGCCACCACTTCCGCCCCTGCAGATTCGTCTCTGTTCACTGACATGACATGAGCCCAATGTGAGCGCGACTGTGCGAGTCCACGACTCCGGCGAACAACGACAGCGACCTATGGTATAGCGAAAGCGGCGGCTGAAGAGGCGGGTAGAACACGACGTACACCAGAATCTACATCCAGAAGAGTCCGCAATATCGATCGCGAATTAGCGAGAGGAACATCAGATAAGCGGCCGCAAAGATGAGGTTCTGGTTCGCGAGAGAATGGCGCATACCGAAGATCTTCATCGGATTGATGATCTTGGAGTTCCCCTTGACTGTAGCAATGCTTGCGCTCATGGGCATCGCGCACCCGAACACATACCGCACGAAGCTATGGCAGAATGGCTTCGATGCAAATTTCAACAGCGCGCCCAACTCGATCCTCTACGACTATGCGAACTGGAGACCAGCACATATTCCTCTCATATGGAGCCGCTAGTACGTGGTGCAGATAACTTTCTTGTCAAAGGAATGAGACACTAACGCATGTACAGCATGACACAGTTCAATGTTGTCATATCCATCCTCAGCATGTTCGTTTTACTGGCGAAGAGTGCCATGTATGTGATGCACATTTTCATTCCGGCTTTGAGCGTCTTCTGTCATGCTTTGCTGGTGGCACTATACTCTGTCAGCGTGTACAACCAATCCAGACCGGACACGAGCGACAAGGATCTTCCTTCACTTAGCATGCCGTGGTATCTCAGCAAAGGCTGCAAACATGCAGAGCCAGGCAACAAGGGCTATTGTCTACAAGCTCGAGCGAGCTTCGCCGTCACAATTGTCATGCTGTAAGTGTCTCTAATACGGGATCAGACTGATCCAGCACTCACACGAATGCAGCGTCCTCTTCATAGCATATCTTGGCTATTCAGCATGGAATTGTATTCCAACACAACGCGAGAAGATCGAACGTGAAGCGGAATATCAATCGAACTTGGAGATGAAGAAGCTATCGATGTACAGCGACGACGAGGGTCTAACGAAGGACGAACGAAGAGAGAAGAATCGACAACTCTTCCTCAATCTCCCAAAGACGCCTAACACGCCTGGTTTTGGCGTGCATAATCCGATGACGCCCCGGACAGTGGCGTTCACTCAACTTAATGGAGGCGTCTCGTCAGCGGGGCCTAGCAGGTCATTACCATTCCGAGAGCTGAGCTATGAGCTGCAGAGCGTGCAGGTGAGATCGAAAGGAATGCCTGATGCCAGATGAAAAGCTATAATGTCAATGGGGGTTTGGGGCATTCATGATCACGGCTGTTTCTGCGATACCCACAGGAGATGGCACTCTCCGCGAATGTACATAAATCATCACGACTCTCGTAGCTGTTCATTCGTATTGGCTCACTGCTAGCAATCTGACTGATCCCCGTACACGCATGTGAACATGTGACATGATGCAAGCTCTCTTCCGGCTCCTGTCAAAGTGGGGCTTGCATCTGAGAAAGTTTCAAAGCACACGACAGCGTAGCTGTAACAAGTGAAGACATAATCCAAACCACCATTCCATCACTGCCATTCGACGACCTGCCGAACCTCTCCCGTACCGCCGCTTTGCAATCTCCACGTCACGGCCGACAACACATTGCAGTCCTATCGCAGCGAAGTCCGACATCGAAAGCACCTTGCTTGACTCACCGCCGCATAGACACGCCGACATAAATTGAAAGCTACGAACAAAGAAGAGCATAGCGAGACGAGGAATATGAAGGCATAGAGTCACTTCCACTCCTAGCGCGGGCACAAGCTGCCATGTTCAATTCAGCACACGACCATAACATCAATTCGCGGTGACTTGGCTTGGACCAAACATGGAGTCGCAGGTCGAGAGCGCCATTGAGCTCGCTTTCAGGCCAGAAATCGACGGGAATCTTAAGGCACAGGCCTACCAATTCCTCACCGTATTGCGCGAAGACCCGAACGCCTGGCAAGTCTGTCTGGCCTTGTTCACGCGCGATCCGTCGCCTTCAGAAGTGGTGCGGCTAGTCTGCTTGGAGATTGTGAACAATGCCGTGCAGATGCAGCGCCTGGATCAGACGGGCCTGAACCAGGTGCGGCAGCGTTTGATGGAGTATATTGGTCGCTTCTACGCTCCAGGCTCCACGGACGTCGACACGCCCTCCATTCAGAACAAACTCACCCAGACCATCACATACCTCTTCACTTCCCTCTATGCCTCGGACTGGTCCAACTTCTTCGATGACTTCATAGCTTTGGCTGGCACGGATGCGGGCAATGGAGCTTCACGGGCGGGAATGGTCATGCTCCTACGCATCCTGGGCTCGATTCATGACGAGATTGCGGATCTGATAATTCCCAGGACACAAGAAGAACAGAGACGCAGTATGGAGCTGAAGGATATGGTCAGGGCAAGAGATGTCGACAAGATCGCAAACATATGGCAAGGCATCTTGGCCAACTGGAGACAATTTGATCTCACGCTGGTGGATATGTGTCTCAGGACAATTGCAAAATGGGTGAGCTGGATCGACATTTGGCTTGTCGTCAACGAGCGTATCCAGGGCGCTCTGCTCGAAATTGCTGGCCAGCAAGGCACCTTCTCTGCAGATAGCAAGGAGGCTAAGGCGCGAGACGCAGCTATCGACACCTTTACGGAAACGGTTGGCAAGAAGATGCGGCCAAACGACAAAGTGGAGTTGATCAATTACCTCAATCTTGGTACGATCGTAGATCAGCTTGTTGCTAGCCCAGCCCTGGCAGATCTTCGAACCACGGCCGAATACGACACTGACTTGGCCGAGACGGTTGCCAAGCTTGTCAACAATGTCGTCTTCGATGTGGTCAAGATTCTTGATACAGAAGGCGTCGACGAGCAGACTCGGACTAAAGCCGACCAGCAGTTGCAGACATTCGTGCCATTTCTGTTACGCTTCTTCGGCGACGATTATGACGAAATCTCTGCTACAGTCATTCCATCGCTGACCGACCTCCTCACAATGTTCCGGAAGATGAAGAAGGCGAAAGGGAGCTTGCCGGAGCATTATAAGAGCATGCTTCAGCCGATTCTGGACACCATCATTGCAAAGATGAAGTACGACGATACAGCTTCTTGGGGCGATGAAGATGAGCAGACGGATGAGGCTGAGTTTCAGGAACTTCGTAAGCGCCTTCACGTTCTTCAGCAAACAGTGGCTGCTGTTGATGAACAGATTTACATGGACACACTGAGCAGAGTCATGGCGAACACCTTGAGTCGGCTTGGCACATCCGACAGCCCGAACTGGAGAGACCTGGACCTCGCACTTTTAGAGATGCATCACTTTGGTGAGCTCGCTATCAAAAATGGCGGACTTTATGCAAAGACCCGGCCGTCTTCAGAAGCAGCGACACGTCTTGTGGAAATGATGTCGACCCTCGTGGCATCTGAGCTTGCCTATTATCCCCACCCTGCAGTACAGCTTCAGTACATGGAGATTTGCGTACGATACGTTCAATTCTTCGAGCAGAACTCTGCGAACATACCTCGAGTCCTGGAGAACTTTGTCCAATTTGTGCACAGCGACCATACCAAGATAAAGTTGCGGTCGTGGTATTTGCTGCAACGTTTTGCCAAGCATCTGAGGGCTCAATTGGGAGAGTACGCCCAGACGGTCGTTCAAGCCATTTCTGACCTCTTACCCATCAAGGCAGAGCTACAGAGTGGTAGGGATGATGACGATGCCTCTTCCGAGGAGAATGCCCAGTCCGCTGATGCTGCTTTCCAAAGCCAGCTATACCTGTTCGAGGCCATTGGCCTGGTATCCTCCACCCAAAATGTGCCTACGCCGAACAAGGTAGCAATCGCACAAACGGTCATCAATCCATTGTCTGCAGACTTGTCTAATCATCTTCAAGCTGCGAAGAACGGAGATGAGAGAAGTGTCCTACAAATCCATCACGTCATTATGGCACTTGGGTCACTTGCAAATGGCTTTTCGGACTGGACACCAGGGCTCACGCATGGCGGTCCGCCCTCTACCGAAGTCTCACAAGAGTTCGTTGGAGCTAGTGACAGCATTCTTATTGCACTGGAGAACCTCAAGCAGCACTCAGATCTTCGAGCTGCTGCCCGTCACGCCTTTTCGCGGTTTCTCGGTGTGCTAGGCGCGCAAGTCCTCCCTCAGCTACCGAGATGGATTGAAGGTCTTCTGTCATCAGCGTCTTCGAACGACGAGATGGCAATGTTTCTTCGCACGCTGGGCCAAGTGGTCTATGGGTTCAAGACAGAGATCGCGGACATTCTCGATCAATTGCTGTCGCCACTCCTCCAACGTGTGTTTTCCGGTCTGTCGATACAGGCGTCTGGCACAGACGATGAAATACAGCTGCGAGAACTGCAGCGCGAATACCTGAACTTCATCCTGGTCATCCTGAATAATGAATTAGGGTCAGTTCTGGTCAGTCCTGCCAACCAAGGCACATTCGACGCATTCATCTCTTCGATCACACGCTTCTCCACTGATGTCTCCGATCCGCAGAGTGCACGACTTGCCTTTTCAGTTCTCACCAAGCTGACCAGCATCTGGGGTGGTCCAGATGTGGCAGTCGACGCCACCCCGCAACCCACTCTACCTGGTTTCGACAACTTCATTCTTGCGCAATTCGCTCCTCTTCCGTGGACGTTGATCTCGTCTCTGACGGCAAGGACTGCACAAGACGCACAGATGCGAAGCGTACTGCAAGAAGCCGCAAGCTTGCAATGGACGATCCTTCGCAAGAATGGTGTCACATACCAATCGCAGCTTCAGAATGAGCTTCGCAGTCTAGGCGCAAGTGACGATGGAATTCAGTCATATTTCGGAAGCATTGGTGGCGACGTCCTCGGGTTCCGCAAATTCTTCGCCTCATTCGTCCAGCAAGCAAAGCGGTAGAAGGTGATGATTGAAATGGCTCATGATAATAGAAAGGGGGGGAAAGTGCTCTCTAGCGAGCAAGCAATGATTGGAGTATGATCGAGCGGTGAGCCGCATGACCCAGCTGGCTGGTTGAAGATACCCTAGCATACCATTTGGAGACCCGTTACAACAACTTGCCTTTCCACCAAGCCACACCAGATCCAACTTCAGAATCCCTACTCTACTATGATTTGCCTTGCCAGCAAAAATAGGCCTCCGGCGGCACAGAGGTTGATGCAGATGCAGACGTGAAAGTTCTACTCAGAAGACGTAAAGCGTTACATCCGCCGCGTGCACGGACGCCATGGTGTATCATTTGCCTTTCTATCTATGCAACGGTTTCACGGTTGGTGAATGAAGGTAAACGAATCAGGTACGGAATAGGGGATCGCAGGCCGCTGTAGTATATGCCTGCTGCCAACCGTTCGCAGATGCAGGCCCTGGCCACGTCAATGTTACAATGTGCACGAACAAGCGTTTCTTCCGGTGCTGGCGACGTTTCGTCAACGTACCGGTTTGACTGGATGGCGCCTGTTTGATTAGTATTTCATTTGGTATTTGACGAAAGAGCGGCTCTTATGGCACTGCACTTCGCTAAATCCACCCTCCATATGCTTGGTATACTTGGTATAGCTTGGTATGCTGCAATGCGCTTGCTGTCGTATGCGGACTGAACTCCGCTCTATCTCCTGGCAAGGAATTTGGTAAGAAACATGGTTGAATGGTTTCCTTAGCGTATATATATGGACAGGGGGTAAGGTCTGAATTCGAAGGGGGACAACGGCTGTTGAATAGACTCTGCTTAGTACCTTGTAGAACTAACCCTTTGCCCAGCGGCTCTTGCTCTCGCTCTTCGATAACCGGACCTTCTTAGTTAGCTTCGGCAAAGAACACTACTGTTATTGCTCCGACGTAATTGTCGCTATACCTAGGCATATTGTTTCGGCAAAATGAAGGTGGCAAGGATTGCCTTCTGTGTCCTTGGTAGGCGGCTTGAAAATCTAGTTTGTACGGTATACGGACTTGCCTTTGGCTGAACAACGCCTTCTGTGGCCAAACAACACCTGAAACTTAAGCAAATTGCGCTATTTTAATGAACAGGCATGCGATGTTCTAGAAGGGCTTATTTGATCAAATCTGACTGACTAAACAGGCTTGTTTAGCCAAAGCGACGTAGACCCAATCAGCTACCAAGTACCAACGGGCGTCAACAGGTGTTACCGGCAACAACCTTTCTTCCTTCTACCTACGCTCGTTGCTACTGCCGTAAGTAGTCTCAGCTACGCCCATACGTGCACTATGTTACATATCGGGGTCTATGCACGGCCGGCATATACAATTCCTACTGTGCAATACTGCAATTTGCCTTTTCTGTTGTGTTGGATCAAATTTTAAAATCCTCAAGAACACTCTAGACTACCAGACAGATACCCACTGTAGGATATATAAAGGAACACGTTTCCATCCAGACATCAGATCAAGACATCCGTCCTACATCGAAACTACCCCATCCTTATCCTACAACACTATTCGACCCCAACTCGACGGTTTGCGAAACACCAACCTAGAGACTCTGGACGAAATTCGACATCCGATTTCAAAGATGCATTACGCAGTTATCTTTGCAGCTGTTATCCCAACAGCGTATGCCCACTTCGTTAAGGTATATGGCGGAATTGGATGTACAAACCCTCAAGTCGGTGTATTCAACTTCGGAACCAACTCGCCAGGCTGGGAGAGCAGATGTTGGTCCGTTTCTCCTAGCGGAATCTCAGTCTATGTACACTTCGATGGGACAGAGGGTGTACCATGCAATGTATATGTCTACAACGACAACCGATGTGGGTCCCAAGTCGCCTTCTTCGACGGAGAGACGTCGGGTCGCAACGGCTGCTTTGACGATTATTCGTGGGGAAGGAAGGCTATCAATTCCTACAGGGTTACATGTCGCCACCCTATATAATGGCGAAGTCAAGGGTCAGGCGAGCAAGGAATCACGTGTCTGATCAACAAGAAGTGTTTCCTTTTGTATTTATGTGTTTTGTTACCTTCGGAAGACCAGGAAACAATACAGACAACAGGCGGTAGTGCAGGGAGAGAGGGACTTTAGCATTTATCGCCTTTTTCTTCTTGGGTCGGGATCAACCAGGCGTCACTGGGTGATAGAAAAGAGTGAAAAACAAACAAAAAAACGTTGTCTGTATTTAGAGTTGGAATGGTATTCACTTCAAAGGCGGTAGATGTGTTTTGTATTTAGGAAACGTCGAGATGCAAAGCGCCCCTTCAACAACAGAGGTATCAAGGTCCACAAATCCTATCTAAGAAAAGTCGAAAATCTCTCCCGAATGTCGACCTTGTAGAGTTATAGCAAGGCTAATCAGAATCGCAGAGAGCCTTCCGAATGTGGTTGAAGAAATCCACCTGTGTTGAGGTTGCAGAACGGTTGCAAAAATAACCTCTACTCATGTTACTATCTCACTGATTGGAATTCAAGCTTGGGACTATTCGGATTGGATCGTTCCCGTTTACTGTTGCCTCTCCGAAGAAGCTTGCAAGGTGACTTGATCATCTCTTTTTTGGTTTAGTCGGCACGTGGGAGGAATCTCATTCGAACAGAGACGACGGGATGCAGGAAGAGGCATGCACGGGGGTGGACAGGATGGATTCTGCAGATTTGGAGCATAATATAGCCATGAGTATCAATCATATCAAATACTTCTCAAAGTAATACATTCGCACCTTTCCTCACGCCCAAACACTAACCAATCCTCTACCATCCGCAACAGCTCGTACTTGACCATTGATCGTGAGAGGATTGCCATCAAACACGACAAACTCCCCAAGATCCGAACCCTTCTCTTCAAGTCCCTCCAAACCCAGAATCTCACAAATGTTCCTCGAAGCCAAAGCCAAAGCCTCTTTCTCGTCAATCTTCCCACCAGAATTAATTTGCACAATCCCAGCCTGCAGAAACAAATCTCTCGCTTCCCAATCTTCGTCGACGCCAATGGCAACTTTCACTCCTGCAGCGTGAAGCACGTCGATTGCCGTGCCATTCGTGAGTGGAGCTCCCGTCAATGCCCTGCGTTGATCCCAGGTTGCTGCGTAGCTGAAGAGTGGTGCTAAGATTACGCCTACGTCTGCTGCGGCGAGTTCGTTTGCGAGGATGTAGGATTCCGCGCCTCCGAGGATTGCGAGGCGGAGGGTGGAGTTGGTGGCGGTGTCGATCTCGCTCTTGAGCCGGAGAATGGAGGCGATTGTGTCTGCTGAGTGGATGCCGAGGACGAGGGGTAGGCTGCCGTTCACGACTTTGGAAAGAGCGACTTCTTCTGCGGGTTGAATTTCGCCTTCTTTCTGGGAGGTGGTGATGGCTTTGAGAAGCTTAGATCTTAATTCTGCGATTGCACTGGAGATTGAAGGAGTCTTGGCGCTTTTTACATCAGATGTCAAGGTATAGTGCAGAGCGATGTGTGGGTTGAAAATAGCACCTTTTTCCAGAGCGTGCTTCGCGCCGACGCGGAAACCCGCTGAGATGCCCTTGTGGTCTGCGTAGGCGAATTTCGGTGCTGTGATGGCTTTCGTCACGCCGTGTCTGTATGCTGCGGCCAGATTCTTGCCTTCGAATCTGAGACCATCGATAGCCGCAGAGAAGGATGATTCGTCGAGAGATCCATCGGAGGTGGTGCTTTCTGCTGTGATTTCCTCTATGCCCAACAATGAGCCAAATGCTGTGAGTGGAGGGGCTATGTGACCATCTTGCAAATTGATGATATCGGCAGCAGAAAGCGATGAGACATCCTCGTGACATTTTCCGATGCAACTGATTCGCCCATCTTCAACGACAACGTTGCTGTATTCCTCGGCCAGTATCTGTTCATGGCCTGGCAGAAGGATCTTCGATACCCCTGTGAATCCAATACGACTCTTCGCTGTTGGCTGATCTTGCACCTCCTGGCTCACGAAATGCTTGATTGGAGCAGTAAAGGGTTTATCCAGAACCACAGGATCTTCAAATTGAGGCACTCCATCGATGAAGACCTGCAAAGGAGTTGCACCGACAGCGAGAGGATCCGAGTCCCAGATGACCACATCAGCATCGAAATTGGGCCTGAGCTTGCCAATTCTGTTTCCAAGACCGAGAAGCTCGGCAGAAGCGCTGGTCACGCCGGCCAATGCTGCATGATATGGTAACCCAGCCCGATATGCCTTGGCGGCCTCGAATACAACGTGCTGTGCATTGAGAACCGGATTGTCGGAAACATATACCGGAGTGATACCATTCTCAAAGAGAATCTTTCCGGCCTGCTCAGATGCCACATATGCTTCGGTCTTGTAATTCATATTGTCGGCGAAGAGAGCAGCCGCAGGCGCTCGTCCGCCGTATGCCCTTTTCAGAACTTCTGGAATCAGATAGGTGGAATGAGCATGATGAAATGCTCGGACGGAGAAATTGAACTCATTAGTGTAGCCAATAAAAGACTCCAGGTCTGGAATGGTGTAGCAGTGTGTGTTTACCAGGACCTGACCTCGTAACACTGCTGACAAGCTTTCCCATCGCAGGTCCGAAGGAAGATAGGACTGCATATTCTGAGCCCCGATACGGTCTGCAGTGGCACACCACTCGTCTTGAGAATTTTTGTATTTTGCAGCTTGTTCAAAAGCATGCCGAAACTCCCATGCTTCGCCAAGTCTGCTTACCGGTCCATGTTCGCCAACCTTTCCGTATACATTCTTCGCATTTTCACCACAAGCCATTTTCATGTATCGCCAGGTCTTATCGGGGTCTGCTATAAGGCTTTCAATGCTGAGCTCAGGCCGACCATTACTTTGACCAACAGCATGCTTGATGACGAAGGCCTCTCCGCCGATGTTATTGCCACTGCCGGGCAAGATCAAGGACGTAGTTACACCTCCGCTCTTGATGACCCGGATTTGTGGATCCAGTGGATTCAGACCATCAAGAGATCTCACATAAGGAGTTATGTCGCTCGATAGCTCATTCGTGTCTTGTGCGCCGTCCAAGGCAGGCAAACTATCTACTCCTGTATGAGAATGCATATCAATGATTCCAGCGGTCACTTGCCGTCCCCCAGCGTCAATAATCTTCACATTCTTAGGCAGGCTCTCATCTACGATGTGGTGGCCAACTTTCTTGATCAGACCATCTTCAAGAAGCAGATCGGCATGAGACCATGTGTAAGCTTTGCCAGTCCTGATATCTTCAATACTGCTTTTCGCTCTCGGCTCTCCCGTCCAGACTGTGGCATTCCTGATCAAGATGGGCTGTTGACTTTCAGAGTGTCTCATGCTTTTTGTTCGAGATGACTGTGGGTCTTGAGGAATGTGCTGCAGCCGACTACATTTTGCGTGTTCAGCGTGGAGGCGCTCGATAGACAAGATTTGTGTAGATCCCTCAGTATTGGGCGTCCAGTTCAAATAGATCAAAGTTCCGATCAAGCCTAGGACAAATACTCGCATCAAGCGGCGTCGAAAGCGTCTACGGTGGCGTATGTTGGCATACTGATCGGCCGTACTATATTGTGGAAGCTCCTCTGGGTATGGAAGCTTATCCATTGTGACCAGACCGGGGTTGGTAAAGGTGTTCACATTCACGGATGAGGCACATTGAGTTGCCTTGAATCGTGTTGTGCTGCGATGTATATGACTCTGGATTGAGACGTGGAAGGAGGTTAGGTGTGCACGGACATCTTGAAGCATGTCCCCTGCTCATCGCAAGTCCCACCTTGTTGTGTCACCTTATCAGGAAACAATTCGACTGTCTACCTTCATCTTGCAGACTCCACGCGCGGAACGCGAAGCTGGTCTCACAAGTTTGGCAATCAAATCTTGTGGTACTGAGTGGCCGCTATCTCATCGCTGCGATCCATCTCACGCAACTATCTACTCGCATCCGCCGAGGGAGTGGTCTTGGCATTGGCTCCTGGGAGAATTAAGGTGGCTGGCCCGCCGATGAACTTCCTAAGTCTCGATACGATTAAGCATCGTCACTAACTGGCTCCGGAAGCAGAAGATTGCGCTCTCATGTGACGGCGACTTCTGAAGCGTATTCTATCCTTCGGTGTTATCCAGCTAGCGCGTGCAAATGTCGGCATGAGCTTCGAATGCGATCTGGGCAACTTTGCTGAGCATGGCAAGGCGTCTCCTTTATGTTGGAACAAAAACGCTGGAATGCACTCTTCAGCAAGAGGCTTGATTGAAATCCCATCAAGAGACGACTTCGACGGAAGTGAATGTAATCCGGCATTTCAGAGACGAGCGATTGTACGTGATGGAGTTTTAAGACAATAATGTATCCATCTGGACCTCGACCTGAGAAAAGCGGTCGCGAAGCAGTCTTGCACGTTGCTCAAACAGAACATCGAGCTCCGTGATGGCATGGCTCAGCATGTGCCTGCGGGCATCCTTCGAAAGCCACCTTGACATCATTGGAACGCCTACGGATGAAGGATACAGTAAAGGCACGATCCACAGAAAATCCAGCCGAGACCGGATGTGACAAGACCATGTCCTCCCTCCCATGCTGCCATGCAAGGACTTTCACGACTCGATGCTAGAAGAGGCAGAGTGCAATATCCATTATGTGTCATCCTGTGCCGGGCCGCACGCACGAATGTAGCACAGAACAATCTTTCTCAAGACAAGCTGCAGATCCTGCAGCTTAACCGTTGTGCTACAGCTGCCACGTTGGAAGAACGTGACATAAATTGCCAGCTGCGGCAGATCGTCCATGTAGTCATGTCGCCGATCAAGCATGGCAAGATCCCTGCGTGCATGAGATGTGAGTACTTGATACATCGAGCGCGAGCGAGGTTGCACAATCTGGGACTGCGGTGTTTCACTCTAGGCACTGCGCATCGAAACGACGCGATCATTCAAGCGAGGGTCTGCTCCGGCGTGCAGCACAGAGGGAGGATACGTACTCTGAATCGATTTCATCGTCGTCCTGCGTGTCGTAACGGTCAGCTTGAAGACTCGCGCACGGAAGGGATCTGCAACCGAAGCGATTTTTTGAATAAACACGCCGAGGTACCCTTGATGACGATTAATATGTCCACAGAAATGCATATGGACACGAGGAGCACGAGAGGGAAGGACTCGGAGTTGAGTTGATGGTGCCACTAACAGTGCTACCTACCATCCCACTACTATCTGTCTGCAGTGAGACGCGCTTGATCATCAGCCCGAATGTGAGTAGCCGCCCGGTGAGGATCAAATTTTAGCTGCGCATCAATGATGTGCGTTAACATCGCAGATGATGTGTACAGGTGCGTGGCTGAAGTCGAGGTAGAGAGCGGACGCTTGTCAGATTGTACCCGACCGACACTAGTAGATATGTAGCTCACACATTGTCATTTACATGAGCCCGCTCTCATTTCTAGCTGCCATTTTGCAGCCCACAGTATCTCTTGAGCCTTGTCGGCATCAATTTCGCGGACACTAGAGTCCGCACCGCTACGTACGCATGTGGTTTGTTGGCTGCTTCAGGGGATGGACGGACGCGTGTTTCTCGGCATCTGCGCCTGTGCCGCCTGAAGCAATCTCGGCCCCCATACAGTATAGCCGTGAACCGCACTCTCGGCGAACGGGTAAATTGATCTGTCGCGCGTCCATTCTTGATCTAAATAACGGCGGAGCAGCGTGCTTGGAGTATAGTAGTGCATGGTTTGGGTCAGCTATACGCGCAGTTGTTCGGTACGGGAAGGCACCAACGGATGATGCGCTGTCGTGGAAGACGACGAGTTGCCCCAAAGGTTGCTCTTATTATGATATGATGAGCGATGATTGTGTAGCTCAGTACACTCGAGGCTGATCGTGAAATCCCATTGCCGCATCGAAGAAGGAGGAGGAAGAGCAGCGGAAGAAGTGGAGGACAGGGCAGTCTTGGCAAAGCCAGACTGTAGCCGGACGATCTCGCGGCTCGGCTAACCAGATACGTCGAGATGCTTGCTTTAGAGTTAAGCGAGCTCACGAGGGCGCCGTTTCACAAAATCGCGGCATCCTTGTGGAAAAGCATGGGAGCCATGGATAAGTCATGATTATTGGCAGTGCAGGGTGCGAGCGCGAAGGATCTCGGGCAACGGGCAACCTTCTGCCATGCAATCCGAGACCGAAGTCTACGGGGGCGCGGAGGAACAGAAGCAAGATGGCAGGATTGTAGGCTGCGTCGGTGTTACAGTACAATTGTGAATCATGATAAGAAGGATGACAGTGCTGCATATTGCAACAATGGTCGTGGGTCTGATAGAATAGTAGTGGTGACGAAGGGATCTACGCAGCCGGCGCTTCTCTGACAAGACGTGGTTCCGAGCCCGGCCTGTGGAGTGTGGACCTACAGTAACTTTTAACAAGCGGCAGGCCCTGAACAGCTAAGGATAGCGTGGCCAGGAGTGCCGAAGCGGCATGGACATGGTGCGGGAATCTTGCATGAAAACAGCAGTATCGCCGACTAGACCATCCTGGAATAGCTTTGACCAGACGTGAGAAGCATTGAAAGCATCGGGCAGGCGGGATTCTTCCAGAAATGCCCATGCTGTCGGGAGTGCGTACCGTCAGGAATCACATCAGTAGCACGGTAAGGTAGGCTGATTAGCGGTACGCTGCTCGGCGCTGTGTGACGGCCCATGGGTTTCATCGGACATTTAATTATCTCGAGCTGGGGCTTCTGCGTGCATCAGTGGGTGTGTGTGCACTGTCTCTCTGCGGGTGAGGCATGCCGCTTGCTATGCGATAGTTTCACGTTATTACTGCTCGCATGTGCAGCAGCCCCCGTCCACGCTGCGCTGCGCCGCGCACCTGTCAGGCAAAAATAATGTGGCTGCATAGCATGCAGGTTGGCAGTTGGCAGAATGCTGGAGGTGGAGGTGGAAGGGATCACGATGAGGTCAAGGTTCAGAGGCAAGCCTGAGTCTGACAGGATGATTGTCAGGATGCGAGCGTTGCGAGAGACTCTGGAAGAGATCGTCGTCTAACAGAGTTTACTTTAGCCCACGAGAGCATGCCTGTTGCCATGCGTGCCTCACGGGCTGATCGACGGCAGTGTTGATCCACTACTGCGCTTCGGCTACACTCTTCACGCACCATCCCTTCTTCCTTTCACGCGCAATCTCTCGAAACGATCAACGCTGCAGATCCGCCTTCCCGGCAGTCTCAAGCGCTGAGATGCCATGTGTGGTGGGGGGTGGGCGGTGCATTGGATGTCATGTCTCGCAGCAACATGCCCTTTGCGGCGCTCTGTCATGTACTGCACTGGATCAGAAGCTTGCAGACTGACCGCCTGCTTGTGCTTGTGCATCCCTTGGAGTGACAGGCTGGCAGCCCGCAGTCCGCAGTTCGCAGTCCGCAGTCCGCAGTCCGGCACAGTAGGCGAAATGAAGACGTCTAGCGCTGCAGCGCATGGTCCAATGACAGAATACCACCTCGCCCACCAGCACCCGCAGGCCGGACGTCGATCGCTGGCACTGGCAGTGAATCTTCCTGATCACTGATCACGCTTGAGTAGCTGGATCTGCACGGCGCGGCTGGCACTGCGAGCGCGCATGCAATCTTATTCCAGCACGGCAGTCCAGCCACGAGGACACATCAGCGCGTACACGGAAAAACGCTGCCCGTATAGACGATATCAGCTGATAGAGGGGCACCCGGTGAAGCGGATGCTATCCTCACATTCGTTGTCCGTCGTTGTGGTGAGCCAACGTCGCGAAAAGAGTCTTGGGCGGGAAGCCGTACAGCGTCCGGCGTGGCCTCATTGGTCACATGCGCTATAAGACTTCTTCGCGGGCACGGACTGTGGGCGGCATGCCTAGTAGCCATACTGTAGCCAGAGCCATAGATAGGCGTAGCGTAGCGTAGCGTGGAGCGGGAAGGCTGGTGCGCGTAGAGTTCAACGACCAGCTCCACTCTGGTCCGAGTGTCAAGACCCTGCACGCCTGCACGATTTCGCACGGCACTGACCGCTAAGGCACCCTTTGGGACTCTCCGCCGAGTCGACGCCTGTCGGTCCAATGCTAGCCTAGCCACCGCACACTCCACATCCCAGGCCTCTGCAGTCTGTGTCGCAGATTGAATAATGACGGGAGAGAGACAACCACCGAGCGCAGCATCGTGTACCAACTGCTCCCCATGCCATGCCAGAACACCGGCCTGTGCACCCGACCGCCTACGCTGCCCCCAACACCAACCTGCAGCGCCCCCTTCATCGTCAGGCGTTCGCTGGCAAAGGGAGATCGCTGTGCTGTGCCGTCCAGAGCACTTCACCAGCTCGCCAAAGTCGTCATCCGTCGTGCCCCCTGCACTTTCCACCCGTCGATCCTCATAGCTCCTTCTAGCGGAGAAGACGTCCAGAGTCCATTGCTGCTCCCTGCTCCCTGGTCGACCTCGTCCACGCTGCCGCGAATGGTGCTGCTCCCGCGCCGCGCCCGTCCATTTATATTAACACCCACCAGCATTCTCCCGCCACGCAGCGCTTTTCGCCTCGCCTCGCCTCGCCTCGCCTCGCACAAAGCACCTTCCTTTGCATTGTTGTGCCTGCCCTGCGGAACATTCTCAGCCGACGCCAACGCCAACGCCCACGCACACGCCCACGCCCACGCCGCGACCCCTCGTCGCCGCCGACCAGGGGCCCATCCTTCTGCCTTCTGGTGCTCCTACACCAAAGCGAGCCTGCCTCCCGCTCTTTCCACCTTGACGCTGCCGGGTGGTTCAATTTACGCCAGCGCTGGACACGGTCCCTTCCTTCTGCGTTGACGCCGCCGCCGCGCTTTATCATCCACACACCACTCAACGCCGTCTGCATATCAATTCGCCCTACTGGCACATCCTCCTTGGTGGCTGATCTGCCTAGCAACCTCCAACGACCGCACAACATCATTCAGCACACGCAACGACAATCGTGAAAGCGAGAACTTTCCTGAGCAACAGCGTCAACTTCTCCAGAGAGACAACGACCGTAGAATCTGGTGTAACCGACGTCTCAATGGCAGCAGTCAACATGATGGCATACCCTCCTCGCGACGCTTTTCAGAACTACCCACCGCATTACGCCATGTATCAACCCCGAGCGCCCACGCAACTTGATCTGGGAAACACCGTCAATGTCAATCCATATGCTTACCCTGCTGTGGCACAACAACAGCCATACCAACATCAGCAGCCTCGCTCACCTCAATCCGCGGGCTCGCCAATGTCGGATGATGGGTTCAAGCCGTCCCTCCCATCGATATCCAATCTTCTCAGGCTCTCAGATCGACCATCCGCAGATATCTGTAAGCATCCTTGGTGCGACGAAACAAGATGAGGCTAACATGAACAGCATCACAATCCGCACATTTGCCTACGTCGCAACCACGCGAGTCACCGTCACAGCTACAAGCACCAGCACAGACCTCACAGCAGCTTGATGCGGAACAAAGACCGTACACGACAAATGCCGTTCATGATATCTCGACAAGTCCGCGAAGCGTGGTGCCACCTCCGCCGCCGATTCGGACTGACTCTGTCCTCGACCGAACGAATAGCCCGGCGACAATCTCAGCAAGCTCTACGATGTCTGGAAACCCATACTACGTCGGTTCAGCCATCAACAACATCGACCCCACCGACCAACGGACAGCTCAAGCACAGGCAATGAAGCGACCGTCCGTTCCATCACAGCCACATGCTTCACCTTACGGAGATGCTCGATACACCACATCACCTTATGCTACATCTCCTGGGACGATATCGGCCCCTTCTTACTGCTCGCCCCCTCATCCGAACTATCCAGTGTCGTCCGCGATGTATCAACAGCGACCGTTGCCATCAAATTTCCCACCTGTACCACCAGTCGTGCCGGTGCAATCGACACCAGGTCTCCAAACCAGCAACCCATGGGAACATCACCACTACATCAGCCCCTCGTCACAGGCCACCTTCCCGCAGTCACAAGATCGATACATTTGCCCCACCTGTAATAAGGCTTTCAGCAGGCCCTCGAGCCTGAAAATCCACTCTCACAGCCATACAGGAGAGAAGCCTTTCCGATGCCCGCACAACGGCTGCGGCAAGGCCTTCTCAGTGCGGAGTAACATGAAGCGACACGAACGAGGCTGCCACAGTGGCATGGCCGGTCATCATATTCCTCACGCACATATGATTTGACGTTGCACGTCTTTGAGTTTCGCGATCGCACAGTCTGTCATGCAATCCAAGCGAGGAGTTCCCAGGCGTTCATCTGTGCAGGGAGGGTTTTGCATGGCGTTATTTGACGACAAGGTGTGGCGAGCGAAGCAAGCCCATCCTGGTATGGAACAGGCTTTATTTTGGAATTGGCCTTCGGCCGATTCATCACACTGGCCAATGAGCGCATGTCGTCCTATCTCACACGGTATTGACGCCTATAGAGATGTATGTATTAGTGTCACAAATGAGTCGATGATGACCAACAGTGGCCACAAAGCACACAACAAGAATTCAATTCATCAACCCAGACTCAATCACAGACTCACAGACTCACAGACTCGCAGACTCCCAGAGGATGTGATGAATCATCATAGTCAAAACGTTTCAAGTCTCCCATCCCTATGCCGGTCTACAATCGCCCTGCGCCTGCAAGTCGTCTATTCAGGCATTTGCCTATGTCCCTATTGGGTAACCCTTCTCGGTCTCCTGATGTTTTACACGCGCGAGTCATGAGTGGTCCTTCACAGGGACCAAAAAGACTAAAAGCTGGTAAAACCCCCCTTTGGCCATCGGTTCCATGCCATGCCTCTTTCCAATAAGCTTTGGCTTTCTCACGCCGATCACGTTTAATTTAACGAAGCGGAGCGAAAAACAAAACAAGGTGTTCGAGAATCGAAGGAAGAAGGAAAGAACAACTCCCTTACATAACTCTCTTTTCTGCTTGGACCATTCTACGTGGACTTAGGTTTTCTGGAACTACCTTATTTACTGTCGATGCTGGTCCGTTCTAGGTTTGCCCGGTCGCTCGCACTTTCCAGACCGTGGAACCGTGGAAGACTTCGACTGCCGTGCACATGGATGTGACACACGAAACGTGCAGACAACTGGGCTGATAATGAACCTCTCTCATCAGACTTTCGTTCTTTCGCGAGTTTTGAAGCCTGCCTGACTCTCATCTTACATGCATCGGTATCGCTGTTAGGCGTTGGGGTGAGTGACTGTACGTATGTACATGTAGTTCCAGTCCCGGAGGCTGATACGAGGCGCCGCAGGATGACTTACGAGCATCACCATGGCAAATATTGAGTTGTTCGTATCTCCAAAAAGCGTAACCTCCCTTAATCGTATTCGACAAGGCACCCACGTGCACTGAATCAGTGCCACAGAATGGACGTGCAGTCGAGTTTAACTCAGGTCTAGATGTAGGCCAGAAAATGCGCGACGCTGCTAGAGTGCCAGCGTGGCCAGTTTTGCAGAGGAGGACAAGGCACAGTCTCAGGGACAAAGGAGCTCAGTACGCATATATACAGTTGATTCTATCAAACAACAGCGGCTGGGCTCGCTTATAGTACGGAGAGGTTGCCGAATTTCTCCTATTTCATGGATTAGTCGGAGCTGCGAAAAACAAGAATCACGGAATGCACTCACCTGGTAGCCTGGAACTTGCCAGCGACCCTTCGACACGAGCTGTTCGACGCGCTGTTCGATGTCTGGGCGGGCAGCAAGGACATCATCCTGTAGAATAGTTAGCCGGAACATTTACATCACGTGACAACGCTGCAATTCGGAATTGCTTCTCCCGTATCTTGCCATAACGTACCACAGTGAGATCCTCGAATGGCCTGGCAGTCTCAATGTTCTTGAGAGTCTTGTCCAAGTCCCTCAGCTCTGCATCAACCTTGCTCTTGGTCTCCTCGGCGCTCTTCACGGCCTGGGCCTCAAAAGCCTCAATGGCTTTAATTTGTCTCTGGACATCGTACTTCTTCGGCTGGAAAGCATTGAACTGCTTCTCGATGTCGTTGATCACATCCTGGTTCTTCAAGATGCTGCGGTAGTGGCTGAAGTCGACGGTCGAAGGCTGTTCGGAAAGAACCTGGACCTTGCGGCGTGCGATATCGTTGCGCTGCTTGAAGTTCTGGAGCGCAGCGGCAGTGTTGCCTCGCAGGCCCAGCTTGGCACCAAGGTTGGTCCAGTCGATCTTGAGCGCGGCTGATCGCTGTAGCAGCATCACCGTTAGCAGATGCACAGAAAATGCAGTGGCCCGAGAGCGCCATTGCGGGTCCGGGATGGTAGCAGAGGTATCACTCGGCGCGCAAAAGACATCCAGGGAGAATTTGGGAGTGTGTACGTACTTGAGCCGCCATCTTGATGTGTCGGATGTGAGAGTGGAGTTTGCAATGGCACAAGCTGTGGTGAGGTGATGCCAAAGGGAAGCTTCATCGCGGCTTCCTCCGACTTGCCGCTGTGCCTAAGGCATGAACTTTTATGATGAGGCATTGAACGCAGCCACAACGTTCTTTGAACGCAAAATGGCAATAAAGGTTTCGCAACCAGACCGCACAAGGGACTCAAATGTGACAAAAAAAGACAGAAAAAGATGAGCTTGGGAGGCAGGTACAATATGTGGACTTTTACATCTCACAAGTCATTTCCAGGCTTCGTAATGAGGCTAAAGTGCAGATACATACGCCAGCTAGGTATGCATGGCGTGGGTAGAGACCATCTTGATTCTTTCAAGGAATATCAGGCTAGCACTATATGCTGAGCGCCATGATACTGTTGACAATGTCGTTGTCGTTCTCCTTGAGAGCCTTAACGGCCTTCTTGCGGCTGACATTGGCTTGAGCCATGACGAGCTCGATGTCCTTGGACTCAAGACCGGTGTCATCGACCTCCTCGCCATCGTCCTCTTCCTCCTCAGCCTTCTTGTCCTCGACCGCTTTGCCCTTGCCCTCACCGTCTGCAGCGTGGTTGTGAGAGGCCTCGTGAGCGGACTGTGCGGCAAGCTGCTGAGCGGCAGATGCCTGAGCTTGAGAGTTGAGATCCTCGATCTTAGCCTCGCCAAAGATGCTGTCTCAAAATATTAGTCCTACCCTCACGCGCCAACTTATATGATCTAACTCACATCCAGGTGTTGTTGCTCGATGGGCTCTTGTAGACATCTGGGTTGCTGATGACGAAAAGGATGTTCTTTGGCCTCCGCAGAGTCACACGGGTGATGCCCTCGACGTGCTTCAGTCCGAGCTTTGCAATAGCCTTGCGCGCCTTCTTCTCGTTTCTGCTGTGCACGGCAACCTGAGCACCCGCTGGGATGTTGGCCTCGCCGCCCTCCTCATCAGAATCAGAAGAATCCTCCTCGACCTCTGGGGTGTTCTTCTCTGGCTCATCGGGGAGCTCTTCAACACGTGGGTTGGCCATAGCGACGAGACGAGATTCGATTCGAGAGCTTAGAAGTTTGTTAGAATTTCAGTCCGATCACATGTATTGCTAAGGCGACTGGCGACAGATTCCCAGTCGCGATGACTATAGCTTTGATGCACTTACATGTAGCAGTCGTTCCTGGGCTCGGGTGATGCGCTGGCGTCCAGAAGGTCCTCCTGCAATGGCAATGCACAATTGAAACTGATGAGGTGGTTGCTCGGTACGTGCGATGCGGGCGTCGCCAAGACCTCCAATTTTTGTGCGGAAAGACCCGTACTTTATATTGGAAGTGCATCAAACGTCAAGGAAACATAGCACGAGCATTGAGCATTGGGAAAGCGACATCACGGTATTCAGTTCACGTAACCACATTTCTTGCGCTTTGCAGACTATGCGCAATTCGCTATCAAAGTCTCAAGCAAGCCCTCACATCCCCATTTCGCCAGCCGTGCCTGATGGTTTCTGAACCACCGGCGCCCAGTACAATGCTGAATACATTGGAGATCGGTCGATTTTCATGATGCCCAAAGAGTATGCTGCGATGCCCCCATAGCCTATGCGCTGGCCTTGGCCTGAGCAAGAGCCTTGCGAGTCTCGAAGCGAGCCTGATTTTATGTTAGTTTATGCATTGTTCTAGCCATGCCACATGCAGCCATTCTCTAGACCGCATGAGACCTGAACGCCACATACCTGCTTCCTCAAACGCATGACCTTGAAACGCTCAAAGTCACTGAGCGCCTTTCTCCGGGTCTGCTTCTCAATCTTCTTGGCATATGAGCTCTCCAACCACTTCTTGTCAACCTCATACTCCTCCCACTGCTTCGAGAGAGCGCCGGTACCAGCACCGAATGTGATCTTTGGGATGACGAGACCGGTAAGAGAGAGAGAGCTCAATTGTGCGGCATGGCGTGGGACCTGGAGCTCAGTCTTCTTGGATGGGCCCTCGACGAGAACCTGTAAGCTGTGAGTACTCGTCCAAATAGCTCAATGATCCATCTCTTGCGATTCGAATTTTCGGGGGGGAACGTACGCGCTTGTGGTCGATGATCTGGACAATGGCGGCGATTCTGCCAGTGTATGGGCCGCTGCCGAAGTGAATGACACGGCCAACCTCGACCTGTCTCCAGTGTGGTGCCTCGATACTGACGTCGCCCATTTTGTCGGTAGAAGTGCGTTGGGTGGGTTGTCGCTCGTCGTGAACTGGAGATTGATCTCTGCTGGCTGGAAGTCGATTTTGGCAGGCGGAGGTGCGGCGAGGGGCTTGGCGAAGAAAGCGCGGAAAGAACCGAAGAGCCGCAGCCGCCAGTCGCGACCAGATTTCTCAAGTTCTCTCTCAAATTTCTCTCTCCTTTGCTACACCAACTAAATGCACACGGAGTTCCCAACCACTTGCAAGCACGTGCTCAAGGTAAGTTGTCATTGTACACAAGCTTAAACTGCTCGAATGATGTGATAATTTGCGATTGATGGCTACGAACCGGAGATTCACGCCTGTTTCTCATAACGGCGTAGACCAAATGCGAGTCATTCTTACATATACTGACTATTACCCGCGCGCCCTCTGCCTTATTGTGCTGCTTCCCAGCCAGACGAGTGCTGACGAGTAGAGCAGAAACTGAGCCACGAGACCGACGATTCTACCACTTGAAAGACCCGGCCCGCCTTACTGGTATGCATTCATCATTTTACATCCGCTTTCCAATGATTAAAACCTACACGCACTAGATAGTAATTGAGCCTTCTGGCGTTGATCACTTTTTACACCAAGATCACTGAGGATACCCAAACTATACTTGCAGCCTGAACAAGCAACCTAGGAAGCCATCACTGACCAGGCTATAGGTGTCTTCTCCTCATCATGAGTCTCAACTCAACTATATCCGTATCCAGTCTGTCAGCAGCCAGACACATACTTGGCCTGGGCTTCACCGGATCGTGCCATTAATCTATGGCATCAAGCGCCAACTTCACGCCAGTCAAGGTTCGTGGCAAGAGACGCGCTCTTTATGCTGAAAAGTGGAGGGCTGGAAAATGTCGCAAGCCAGAACTGCAGACGCGCGTCGCACCAGTCTCCACGGCATCCATTTCTAGAGCATCCTCATCGAGACCGCGAAAGCGCCGACTAGAATCCCAGCTCGACAGCCCTTTGGAAGCTCTACCTGCAGAGGTTTTGCAGGAGATCTTCGACTATGCTGCTAACGTCGACCTTGCCGTGGTTTCTCGACAGATGGCATCAAAGTTGTCCAAGAGTCGACACTTACAAATCGAGTTGACCTCTCGTCTTCTTGTGCCTGTGCTTAACAGGAATGGTACCGCGAGTAGTGCAGATCTTGCTGCAGCGACTCGACTTCTCAATAGTCGTTTCATGACGTGGGACTTCTTCAAGAACTGGTTGAAGACCTATAGCACCAATTTGTCGCCAATATCTCTGACAGACAGTGATTCATACTGGCAGAGAGTCTGGGCTGCACTATACCCAGAGCCAGAGCTTCTACCGCCAAAGAAACTCTTCTTGCGACCATTCACGGAACCAAAGTTGGCCTTCTTGAGAACTGTCGCCCAGAATATCACTGATCTGCATGCGCTGGATGCTGCCTATGGTGAACATGCACAAGAAGGTCTGACCCAAGCTGTCACTGACGGCAACGCTCAATTCGTGTCTTTCTTACTCGGCATGGGCGTAAGAACCAATACCGAGCTTCTGCGTGTTGCTGTTTCGGACTGCGGCTGCCCCCAAACTATTGTGGAGAATCTTGTTCGGCATGTCAACACAGGTGATGAATCTTGTATAGGGGTAGACGTACTTGATCCGGTCTTGTGGCAGTGGGCAGAAAGAGCCCATGAACAGGGCGACTCCAAAGGTAAATGGTTGGTCGCGCTACTGCAGAAAGAGCAGAGACGCAGAGAAATGGTGAGAGCCTAAGGTCCGATAGCAATCGTAAAGAAGAGTTCAACTCTATGGCTGTTCACCTTCCCATCTACTCACTATTGGTCGTGATCCCCTTCAGATCTTGTCGCCTTTCGCGAAAAACTTGAGGGAGCAGGTTGTGTCAATGCACCAGGCGAACGAATAGATTGAGTCGTGCACAAGGCAGGTCACGGTGGTTCTTTCGCGAGACAATGCTTCCCTTCCGGGCTGCAAGAACATGGACCGAATTGATCAGGACTCAATCCACAGATGGCAGCAATTGATCATTTTCAAGATTTTTCGTCAGTCTATAGCTCATCGAATTTTGCAGATCGTGACTTTCGGTGCAAAGTGCAGGCCGAGCATGGATGTCTAGGTCTCAGCGTTGACGAGAACAGCTCCAATCGCATGGTTCGGAGCCATTCCTGGGCAAAGTCTACCTGCGCTGGCAATCTCAAAGACTCTGTGAAGCTTTGTATCCCCATTCCCATTGTCACAGTCTATAGCTCATCGTTCTTGACTGCCTCTGCCTTCTTGCCATTGATTGACACAAGCTCAGTCTCGAAGATCAGCACAGCATTGCCTGGAATTGGTCCAACTCCCGTAGCACCATAGCCATACTCTGGCTGAATGGTAAGCTTCCTCTTGTCGCCAATACACATGCCAATGAGCCCCTCGTCCCAGCCTTTGATGACCTGGCCACTTCCAACTGTGAAAGACAACGGAGTGCCGCGATTGTATGAGGCGTCGAACTCGTAGCCGGTATCTTCTAGTGTACCACGATAGTGCATCTCGACTTTGTCGCCTGCAAGAAAATTAGATGCGCTTCTCCCAGGCCATGAGGAATCTCGGCATACCCTTCTTAGTCTTCTCATCTTCGGCGCATGTCTTGGCCTCAGTAATGTCAATGTTGAGTGGCTTGTCGAGGGCGGAGACGCCGGCGAAAAGCAGCCCTAGAGCGGTCGCGACGGTGGTGAACTTCATTTTCAATTGACTGGAAGGTTCGTTGGCGTGGATGGTACCAGATGTGAGTTATGAGTACCAAACGTGTCCAGAAGGCGGTGTTTCACAGTTGGTCAAGCTTCAATGCAGGGACCGGCGGTACCCCAGCAGATCGCGCAGAGCTCGCTTCTTCCCGAACATTCACTGCACACTTTCACATGCCGATAGCTACTACGAAGTCTACGAATTTAGTCTCAGGCATGACAGACATCAGACGCAAATCAAAGTGCAGCCGAAAGAGCTTTGAAGCTGATACATTTTAAGATGCGGTCACTTCAGACTCTGAGAACAGGTGCACCGACTCCTTTCAGAGTTGTTTCATCCTCAGCAATGTGCTCGCAAGGCAGAAATGCTTTTAACCAGGCTTATAGATCTGATAGACACTCCGTTCAGCCTCAATTTGACAGAACCTCACCTGTATAGACATTATTGACAATGTTATTGTTCCAGCCACCCAAATTTCGCGTGAAGTGAATGAAGGCTGCGCTTCACTACCGAAACCCCAACTTAGGTTCGCCACGCATCTCTAACAATCTTTGACTTCGTACACCAACCTCGGGAAACAGCCACTACTGCACACATTCCCAATTTGTTCCAAGAAACCCAGGAAGAAAGACATCCGCCAAACAGCAGTAGCTTCAGACTTACACTCCGATCTTACACAGACCGCAAACCAAACTCGAGTCCGTCAGCAAGGCTCAGCCTGACCAGATACACCCTACACATCCGAATTTGTGATTCATACCTTTCGTCCTCACGCTAGGCACTCATCATGCCGTCGAAGTCAAAGCTTGGCGCGCGAGCAGTCAGCGCTGCGAAGAAGTCATTCAAGCGCGTCGCAGATAAGTTCGCGCGACCGAAATATGTAGACAAAGAAGAGTTCGACGACGAAGAGGAAGACCAATCTACCTTCGCTAGGCCAGAGACTCGACTGGCCGCGAAGCGACTGAAGGAGCTTGACAGCGAGATTAGTATCGTGACCGATCTTCTCGGCAAAGCTGATCGTTCCTACACCACGGCGCAAAAGAAACACAACGAGAGTCAGCACAAGCAGAGACTCACCCTGTTCCAGCAAGCACAAGCCGATCGAAAGTTGAAAGACCACAAAGAGGCAGTTGCTGGACACAACGCGAGACTTCAAGAGCTCGATAAGAAGCGGAAAGTCCAGCAAGCTCGCTTAGATCAGCTCATGAAACTCGAACCACAGCCAGATACCACAGCCAAGGTTCAGTCATCGGCGCCAAAGCGCGGTGGCGGAAAAGATAGACTCCGTCAACTGTCTGCACTGCCAGCAAAGTCACAACAAGAGAGCGACGTCAAGCGCTCTGCTCCAGCTACAGGTGAAAAACGTAAGATCGTCATTGATGAGGACGAGGCGCACGCTCACAAGAAGCAACGCGTGACATCCGCTCCAGAAGTTCGAAAGGCACCGGGCTCAGCACATCATAGACGAGTCCAGCAACAAACGACTGCTTCCAAGAATGATATCAGCGAGAAATTGTCGACTACCCCTCGAGATGCCTCTGTCGATTCTGGGGTGTCGCTGCCACGGAAATCGAAGCCAGCATGCCAGGGAGCTGCGAGTACTAATGAGCAGCCACTGGTGAAGACCAAATCGGAGGTGGCTACCAGCTCACACACAGCTCCCATGAATAAGAAGCAGTTCGTCAGTGCGATATCCGCTCAGGTTTCCAAGTCAAAGGCCGCGCCAAAAGCAACTATGAAGCGAAAGCGAGATGACGACGTGAGGGTGGATTTCGATGGTGACGGCTACGACGAGCAGAGCGAGGCTAGTGAGTCGATTCCCACAAAGCGTCGCAAAGTCCTCTCGGATAGCAGTGCCATCGGACTGTCGAACTTCGGAAACGCATGCTTTTCGAACGTGGCTATCCAGCTGCTGAACTTGGCGCTCGACGACGAAGATCTCAAAGCCCTCCATAAACAAGAAGCGACGGCGGACGACTTTGGTGTCGACCTCGAGACTGCGAAGGACTTTGACGGCCTTCCGGATAGCCGTGAACAACTTGACTTGGTCTTGGCTCAACTGAGGAAGTCGATCCAGCAGAAGGCCAAGCAGGGAAAGATCAGCATTACGCCATACATTCGAGAGCTGCTCGAAGACATGCGGAAGTCCACGGAGGAACACATCTCGCCTGTATTGGCCCAACAGGCGTTTGCCCACCACAAGACGGCATTCAAAGCATTTGACGGCGAGGCGATGCAGGATGCTTGCGAATATCTGCAGCTCTTGCTGGACTCACTCTTCGAAGAGTGCCCATCGATCCGAGAAGTCTTCCAATTCGAAGTCAAGATCACCCTCAAGTGCAGCACCTGCGGACATAGCGAGACTGCGGGAGCGCACAAGGAGGTGATGCTCAAAGTGCGAGCCCCCTCATCCGACGCATTCTCTCTGGAGGATGTCTTATCTCAGTACCAACAGGCAAAGTCAGATGGTCTGAAGACCTGCGGCAAGTGTAATGCCACTGCCACCATGCAGGCTATCAACGAGATCGATGCCAAGAAGATGCCGGCAAACTTGCTGGTGGAGATCAATCGCGTTCAAGACGATATGAGCACGAACAAGTCTAGACTTCAGCTTGATGGTCGGAGTCTTGTGGTTGGCGGCACGGTCTATCAGATCAAGGCTGTGGTCAAGCATGACTGCCGCGAAGCAACTTCGGGCCATTATTTCCTCTGGCGCCAATGTAAAGGAGCGTGGCTGAAAATCGATGACGAGCTCGTTACCGGCAAGAAGCGCGACACGGACATGGCCGATGGTGTTGGGCGCAAGGCTGCGTACACTTCGATGGTGTTGCTCAAGCGCACGGACATCGATTTGTAAGCTATGCGGAGGCAATGCCATTCCTCGCTCTTGGACGTTTCGACATGTTGTGAATGGGCTGCAGGAGATTGTTTTGGATGGCATTTGCCGTTCTGGTGTGGAAGGATGCGTTGCAATCTTCGGAAGAGGCCCGTCTTGTGGCTTGGTTGTGCCCGATGATACCACAGATTTGTATAGTAGAGCTCTAAGTATTCGAACGAGTTCTAATCGGCTTGCTAATTATGCCTTATTCTCTGTTGTTAATTTTAAGATACGCTAGACAGTGCTACTTATTATAGTTACGGTAGAATAGGTGAGGAGAAGTGCGAGGTATTGTCGAAGTAATTATCTGAGAAGCGAAGTACGGTATGCTATTTCAAGGGTCTTTGTTGACGTGTAACTAGAACAACAGCAGGAGGAGGAGGAGGAGGGAGGACTTTTTTGAAACTTCGGTAACTCCTCGGTAATATCTCGGCGTTTTTTCGGCCTACCGTAGTCTATTGGATGCACGTGGGCAGGCGTGTACTTCCCGTCGCAAGCTGAGTCCGCATCGCGACTACACGCGCAGCAACAACATGTCATGGATGACATATTGCAAGGGCTCAACTCAGCCCAAAGGACGGCCGTAGTCTCGGAAGCATCAGTGCTCCAGGTGCTGGCCCCTCCTGGATCTGGCAAAACGAAGACGCTGACAGCACGCGTTGCACATCTGATCTCAGCACGAGGCTTGCAACCATGGAACATCATCGTCTGCACATTCACCGTGAAGGCCGCCAAGGAAATGAAAGAGCGCATCACGGGGCTTGTTGGCAGTGGCCTCTCGCGACAGCTCAACCTGGGCACATTTCACTCCGTGGCCTTACGTTACCTCAAAGCCTACGGCCACCACATTGCACTGCCCAAGGACTTCGGCATCGCGGACACGAGCGACTGCAAAGCGATTCTCCATCGTCTGATCAAGCAGCATGGTATGGGTATCACGGCGGGCCAGGCTGTGGGCAGAATCTCGCAGAGGAAAGCAAAGGGCGGCTCGACCGATGGCACGACCGAGAAGAGTGTTGAGCAACAAGAATTCAATCTCCTTTTCGCCGAATACGAGGCGTCGCTGCTCGCTTCGAATCTGCTGGACTACGACGACATCCTGCTCAGGTGCACAACGCTGCTCAAATCGCATCCGCAGTGCGTCAAGAATATTCAAGCTGTGCTTATCGACGAATTTCAAGACACGAACAACATCCAGTACGACCTCATGTCCCTGTTGGCTCAACACCAGAATGTGATCACAATCGTTGGCGATCCAGATCAGAGTATTTATGGCTTTCGCAACGCGGAGATCAAAAACCTAGCTCGCATGAGGACTCACTGGCCGGACACGCTCACCATAAACCTCGAGGAGAACTACAGATCTTCGGGTGCAATTCTAAGCGCGGCTCAGAACATAATCGAGCAGGATGAGAGTCGGCCGCCGAAAAAGCTTCAAGCAACACACAGCATCGGATTGCGTCCAGTTTTGCGGAAGCTACCCTCAGCTAAAGCAGAGGCCCAGTGGCTTGTTTCGGAGATCAAGCGCATGCAAACCTTGTCTGGGAGCATGATGATGGGAAGCGACTTCGCAGTTCTGCTGAGATCTGCTGCCCTCTCGCGCGAGATCGAGACAGCTCTTGGAAATTCTGGAATCGCATATCGAATGGTGGGAGGTACGCGCTTCTATGATCGAGCAGAGATCAAATTAGTTGTCGACTATCTACGCGTTATTCATTCGCCGGACAATACCGAAGCCGTGGAGAGGATCTTGAACGTTCCGTCTCGGAAGATTGGCGAGAAGACGATCAAGGAACTTCGAGGTGAAGCGCAGTCGAAGGGAGTCTCGTTGTGGTCGCTTATACTAGGCATCGCCCAGGATCGATGCGGCTCCACAACGAAGCTGACAGCGCCCAATCGAAGCGGTCTAGCCAGCTTCGTGGATGTCATCTTGAGCGGTCACAAGAAAGTCGAGTCCTGGAACAAGGAACAGCCATCGATCGTTGATCTAATCAACGTGATATCCCGAAAGATACAGCTCCAGTCATATTTGAGATCGAAATATGCAGCCGAAATGTCCTACGAAGCACGTTGGACCAACGTCGAGGAGCTCATGGCTCAAGCAGCTGAGTTGACACAGCCAAGCGCGCTGCAGGAATTGGCCGAATTGGACGCACTGCCGGTAGTCGAGGAGATCGAGCAACGATCAGAGTCAGATCAAGACGTCCTTTCGGTCTTTCTTGCCAATATCGCATTGACCGCATCTGCGGAGAAGGCCGCGGACGAAGACGGCGAAAAGGTGCAGCAAGTCACTATCTCGACTATCCATGCTGCCAAAGGCCTGGAGTGGCCGGTGGTGTTCATCCCGGCATGTTACGATGGATCGATACCCCACTCTCGTGCAGACGATCACGATGAAGAGCGAAGATTACTCTACGTTGGAATGACCAGAGCTCAAGCCTTGCTCTACCTCAGTTGCCCGATCAAGGACACGCAGAGGCAGGAGACAAACCTCTCAGCATTTCTCGTACACAAAGGAATGAGCCGATACTTCGAAGAGCATGGTCCCAGCATGTCCATATCTGCGCTCAATGGCCTCTGCATCACACTCAGACGGGAGTGTCCAGTTGAGACGAAAATTGCAGAGCTCAAAGCGACGCTCGAGCGGGACGAGGACAACTACTGGCCTCTGAACGGTGAAGAGCCATTGGAAGAACTCGCCAAGTGGGATCATTCAAGATCTGGGTCTTCATACACGGGTTTCGTCAGCTCACGAACTACCGCGACCACCACCATGCAGCAGAATTTCTCAACAGCCAACGCTACAATACCGGTTCAGCAAGGCTTCCAAAGCGTATCTGCTCGATACGACGAGCTCATGGAACAAGCCCAAATGAAGAAGCTCGACCAAAGAGCTGCAGAGCAAGAGAAGAAAGCTCAGCAGAACCCTGAACAACAGCCAAAAGGCCGGAAGCGGCAGATCGAAGGACAAGGCAGTATTGCGAGCTTCTTCAAGAAACCTCGTCCATCACCAGAACGGGAGGTCGAGCCAGTCCTGCCAAAAAAGCCTACCTTCACTAGATCTGCGCTTCAGCCTCTGCGAAATCCTCAAGAGCTGCGACCGACAGCAGCAGGTTTTATGACAGCAAGTCAGAAAATGCCATCATCACATAAGCCTCGATCTACACCGATTCTCAGTAAACCTAATATCTCGAGATCTGCTAGTCAAGCGGATGGAGAGAATGCCGGCGGCAAATATGTCTTCCTATCGAGTTCACCTCCACCTTTAGATCCAGAGGATGAAGAACCACCTCCGCCGCCACGTCCTGCTCCTCCTGCAATACCTGCTTTGAACGGCTTCAGACCGGCTAGTACGTTTCATACAACCTCGATGCAGCAGCAGAGCTCTGCATCCGTACGGAAGACTTTAGGTGTGAAGCGAAGTATGAATGGATGGCCGCCTCCAAAGCGAGGATAGAATGAATAGACATGGATCGATTGCTCATGAGACACGAAATTCAATTCTTTCCGACGATCAACGTGACCGTCATGTTCGAGGTGTGCATTCAAAGGGTATCACATAATATTCATTACTCCTCTTCATTTTCCTCCTCTTCGTTTTCCTCCTCTCCACTGCTTTCGCCAGGATCTAATGCAATGCCACCAACGGCATCACCATCAGCATCTTCCTCGCTATCCTCGGCATCCTCGTCAAATCCTTCAAAGTCATCGTCGCCTTCTCTATACTCAGCAGCCTCCTTTTCTGCTTCTTCCTTTGCGGCCTCACTCTCTTCAAACTTGCGCTTCTTATGTGTGAACCCCAATTTCTCATCTCGACTGCCATCTTTCTCCGTAGCATCTTCGCCCTCAGCTACAGGTGGAGGCGTGAACCATGGGATTTTGCCTCTCAAAAAGTCATTCAGGACCATCTTCGCCACTCCATCCATGTCTGCCTCGCCACCTTTGAGAAGCCGACCACCTTTTCTCGCCAGTGCCTCCAGGAATGCGATGCCTTCTTGTGTCCGCTCCTTCTCAGCCTTCTCAGAAAAGTCTTTCTCGTCTGGAGACGAGGTCCATTTCATCCCGTACGTCCGTTCCAAATGATGTCGTTTGCATCTTGAAAGTACGGCAGGAATATATTGTGCTGGATTCTCGACATTTTCCACTCGGACCACGCCACGGAGCAGGATATCCTCTGGTGTGTCTGTCACTGATGGAGGAACGATGCCGGGACAATCAATGAGGTAGATGCGCTTCATGAGTGTGATGTATTGCCAGACTTTCGTCTCACCCGGAATCGGTGCTGTTGTGCAGACTTGCTTCTTCCGCAAGGTATTAATGATGGAGGATTTGCCGGTGTTAGGATATCCGATGAAGCCGACTGAAATTTGTTTGCGCGAGCTGTGTAATGAGGAGAATTGTCGAAGGAGAGATATTAAAGTGCCTTTGCCGAAGCTGTTGGTCATGGAGGCATGAAAAGCGAGGGTGGGATATTCTGCTGATAGCATCTTGACCCATTTGGCCTGGAGCAAGTCAGTGTTTTGCTCCTGCAGATATCGACGAGCAATTATGGCATGAAGATGAATGTGTGTCTCATAACTAAGCTGTCCATCAAGGGAAAACATCCGGGTCGCTACTCAAACAAGACACAAAGGCTCCCAGGTGACCATGCCAAAACGGCAGAGGGTCGGGTGGAGTGGAACTCATTCTGCCATCATTGTAACAGAACAACTCCATGACTTGCCAACGAGGGCGGAGCTATTCTTGACTTGAACGATGGCGTGCTGCAATTGGCAGACCGGGGCGAAAGGTTGGGGAACGGGTGTAGCAGGGAGGGGAAAAGAAAGTACGCACCGCAACACTCGTTGGCACCAAATCGCACTTGTTCAGCAAGAACAGCAGGTGCTTGTGTGGCGCCTCCTCCTTGATATACTTTTCGACGCTTCGACATCGCGTGCCAAGCGGATCTCGGGCATCCAAGACATGGATGACAACATCTGAGCTGTCGATGACTTTATAGAGCTCGTTCCATATTCGCTTGCTTTGACCTTTCGAAAAGACCGGTTCTCGGGCGGTGGTCAGCTCACCATTGTTGTCGGTCTGCGTGAAGCCAGTGTCTTCATCTTCCTTGACACCTGCTAATTCACGTGCCTCCTCTTGCCTCTGCTCGAAAGTACTGTAGTCCTGAGTGGTAGCTGAGGCAAGGTCTTCAAGGTTAGCCACAGCTAGTCGTGGCCGCTTCCGTTGTGCCTTGGGTCCAAATGTGTCGCCAAACTTCTCGGCCTCTATTCGAATCTTGGCGCGATGCTGGATGAGGCCGTCCTTTCGCTCCTTGTCCTTGTTGTCGTGGATCAAGCTCATGGGCAGCTTGTTCTGCTTGAGCAGGTAGCTGTATGGGTCTTTGCTTTGCGCATCCACAGCACCACGGAAAGCATTCAGCGCATCCTGCGAGATGACTCGGGTATTGGTGAACCACTTGCGGTTGGGCTCGATGCGCGCGCTCGGCTTTTCTCTGCTCTGGTATGAAGCGGCCTTTGTGATGTCTCCCTTTGCATTGCGCTGGGCCTTGCCATCCTTGTACATATTGAGCGTCTTCACCCGCTTGGCGCTGCGGTAGAAGTTCTCGCCCTTGGTCTTGACGTTGCCCATGCCATCGTTCGTCTTGCCCTGCCGCTCTTTACGGGCGGCCTCCTTCTTGCCTGTACCCATCGTAGATTGTGTGATTCTGCTATGCTCTGGCGTGGAGAGGCACACTCTTGAGTAAAGCAGAAAAGAGGTGGCTGTCGAAATCTCGAATTCGAAGCCGAGCGGCGACTTTTTCGCAAGCCGCCGCGAGACGAGGCTCAAGCACCTCCGACTTGCCGCAACACAGAACCATTGGAGACCACATACACCATCATACATCAACAACGATGCCGCCGAAATCGCCCATACCGTCATTCTCATCATGGAGATGTCCACAATGCACAATTCGATCATTTTCAACAGCAACTAGGCAGCTCGCTGTGGGACCAGAACATCCACGCTATGTCGAAGTCCCTGAGCCACCGCAACAACAAATCCCATACCATCCACCCATCAAAGGTGTATTGCCAGTTCCACGGGATGTATTCCGAGGAAGTCGTGGATCGGATGAAGCTGTCGAGCTCTCCACAAAACGCTCGACGAAGCCCAAGGTCTACGCGATTGGCAGTCGAGAGGAATGGAAGGCAAAGATGAGCGAGATCCGACGACAGAATTTGCGCGAAGGTGTAAGCAGTCTGAGAGTGAGACAACAGAAAGAAACCCGCCAGATGGAGGCTAGATCAGCTGCGAAACGAGCAGATCGCGAAAAGAGATTACATGCGCCGGAGCGAGAGGATGAGCGATTGACGGCGCCAAGCAACAATTTGGATTTGGACGCATTATTCAACAAGCCGATACCCGACCCAACACGAGAAGCCCGTCTGAAAAGAAAGAGAGCAAATGTCGCTGCACGTGCACATCAGAAGCAGAAAGAACGTATGGACTCACTACATACCCTCTACATGAACGCTAGAGACTTCATCGTAACGCCTGAGCAGCTGGACAAGGCTGTCGATGAAGCATTCGGGACTCCCGAAAAGCCTGTCAGGTTCGGGCAGAGCTACGGGCAATGGGATACTTTTTCTCAGGGCAAATCTATTTGGACTCTGGGCAAGCCGATGTCTGTACAAGATATGCTTAATCGTGCCAACCAGGCTCCAAGCTCGAGGGCTGTGGAGGATGCCAGTGGTACTACCGCTATCAGGAAGGAGAGAATCAGAAGGATTGCAGAGATTCTCACGGGTGGAAAGATGGACGAAGAGAGCAGGTAGGCTGCTGGTCTCAAGAGGAGAGTCCTTGCTTCACATCAGTGTAAGAACTCTGCAGTGGCGACGGAATCCGCGCCTGTTGTTAAACATTGTACAACGCGATATGATTGCTCCACCACTGCTCGCTTCGCGGCCAGCATCAGGTCTCACTCGTCATGATGTTCTGCACACTAAAATCGTTATCAATGCTTCTTCTCAAGAATTTCAAAGTCCGCCTATCCTATATCAGTCCGAACACTTCCTTGTTTTCCCAATATGAATCCCGCTAGCATCTTCTCCCAACTTTACCAACTCACACGTCCTCTTCTCATTCAGCCAATCATTCTTTCCCCCTTCTTCCTGAGCCTGGCAAACCTGAAGCATAAGGTCATCAATCATGTCTTGGAACTCGTCACATTCCTTTCCGCCCTTCTTAAAATACGATATCGCCATCATATCAGGACGGGATTTGATCGAGCTGCTGGTACAAACGCAGACTGTGATACTAATCGCGCGTGTGGATGACCGAGCTTTGAAGAATTTCATGTTGTCGGAAGCCCAAGTCATTATCCTGGCCTACCTCCATTCAGGCTCGTGGGCATGAAGAATTGAGTTGCGTAGATGTGTGTATAGGGATCATATTGCGACCGAGTGCACGTGATAGATTAGTAATTAGGGCTAGCTTCCGAACTTACCGACAACCAATTACGAGCACTCTAACCAATTCTTCGCCTACAAGCCTAAGAATAAACTAGGGCAAAACAGCCTATAGAATATAGCTGTTTGCCCTCTAAGGCTATAATACAATAACTCTACGATATTATAACAATATAAAGATACTAAGGCCCTTCTTAATACCTTAGACAACGCTCTCTAAGTCTAAGATTGTATATAATAGTACGTTAATATCGCGTTCTACGACCTACGAGGAAACGCAAATTGCGATAAAAGTCTTAGCATTTGCTCTCGAGGGCAAGACAGTAGTAATAACGTATATACCTCGAGACCTAAGTACCTAGAGGGCCGAGCTATAGATATATAGAAGGGCCTCTTCGTATTATATAAGAGTCGTTAGTACGGAATAGTCGTATTACAGTCTAGAAGCTAAGGAAATCTACGGGAAATCTAGGAATCGTACGGATAACTAGCCTTAGTATATAGAAGATAGAGCCTATAGTACTTATATTAGCGAATGCTTTATATAGGAACATATAATCTTCTTATTATTATATAGAATAGCTTTTTTAGGTTTGTCTATCTAATATATAGTTGTACTTCTATAAATTCGAATTCTCGTTTGTATACCGGACGGTTATATAGGAGCCGTACGGTTTTCTTTTAGGCGCTTCGCTATAGGCTTAGTGTAGACCGCTAACTAGATACATATTAGTACAGATAATGTAAGAACGAGCGAGAATAGAAACAAATACGTATAGAAGGTAGAAGGTAGAAGGTAGAAGGTAGAAGGTAGAAGGTGGAAGGTAGAAGGTACATACAAGCCTACAAAGCGGGGCGCCTGAATGGAGGTAGATCCTGGCCTCGCCTGGCTTGCAACTTGCCTCTTGCTATTCCCTGCAGGAACCTCCGCTAGCGTCCGCTTGGGACTGCCAATCAGCCACAATGTCACATGCTCTCCTAGCAACCCATTTCCACAGTCACTCACTCACTATCACGCTGATACCATAGAAGGCCCATACACACCCGGATGTCTGCTACCGGGCCACGATAAGAATCAACAATCGTCTCGCTCTGACCAGTCCTTCTATCCGCCTGCACTCACATTACCAAAGAGGCACCTGGCGCCCCCATCAACCAACAACGATGGTCGTATGCACACACACCATCACTTTTCAAGACTCCCCAACCCTCGCACTAACACCCTCTCAGCTCGGCCGTATCGCCCACTACACCTTCGACGCAGTCCTAATCTCCGCCTTCCTCGCCGGCGTCAAACGCTCAACAGGTCTCACGTATGTATCTACCAACCAATCAACCAACCCCCGCATAGAAAGATAGATGGAATGGAGATTATGCATGCGTTATGATGGAAGATCTGACATTCTAACATCTTAGTCCTAGCCTGAAACCAGATACGTTTTCAGAGTCGCCGAGTCTCAAGAAGTGGGTTGAGAACTATTTGTGGGTGGGGGAGACGATTATGGATCAGAGTGTTGCGATTATGAGCTCGAGTGGATATTTTGAGAGGAAGAGGTGAGGAGAGACTGGAGTGAAGGAACGCAGGCGCTTGGATGATACTAGATGATATTTGGCTTGCGATTGAGGGATCTCAGCTCCGCACTGCTGTATGTTGAGACGGCGTGAGGTGTGAAAGTCGATGATGGAACGAATCGGATATGGATTTGCAGCAGGGGAATGCGACTGAGCTTCCTTTGGCCGGCATCATTTGCTGTGGTGCACTTTAGATATAGCATATGTATTTATGGAGGGCACGTGAGATACTAAGGTGAGGACGAAGGAAGCCCCAACACCTTCTAATCCAACACCTTTTAATCCAACACCTTCAAGATACGCGCATGTCTCAACAGTATTGTTACAGCGTTCTGTATGCATGGGCACGTGGCTTGATATCTAGCTTTCTTCTGCGATGGTGCCCTAAGGGAATTGTACGAGAGGCAGTGTGTCCCAAGAGGAGAGTTTGTCGGCTCCAAAACCGAAGACTAAGACCAACCGACCTTGTCTGACACGGTGATCGTAGCTGCTTTCACCCCTTCGATACTCTGTCAAATGTAATTACCACAGGCTGGAAGCAGCAATGATCTTCTTGCATGAAACTGTTCGCATTCAATGACATTTGCTACGCCGAGCTATGGACCTGTGCGTATTTCCAGCAAAGCCATGCTTCGAGACTCGTGACCGGCCCAAACAGCCTGTTCTGACCCAACGCCATTTTCAGGATGCATCCGTTTAGGCCCACATTCATAACCTTTGCCGTTGCTTCCTCATAGTTCCCACAAAGCACATGTCTCATCGCTTAAAACTTCTGGAACTTCTTGACGGCCTTGCCAGTTCGTGGCAGGACGCGAAGCACGTTGAAGCGGACCTGTTGTCAATCATTAGTGTCTGCCTTCTTATCCTCCTCGATTCGATCATTCTTACAGTCTTGCTGAGCGGCCGGCACTGACCAACAGTGACCTGGTCACCGTCCTCAACACGGAAAGCTGGAGAGACGTGTGCGGCGAGGTTCTTGTGGCGCTTCTCATAACGGGAGTACTTTGGGATGAAGTGGAGGTACTCGCGGCGGATGATGAGAGTACGGTGCATCTTGGTGGAAACGACGGTGCCAGTGAGGATACGGCCACGGATGGAGACGAGACCAGTGAACGGGCACTTCTTGTCTGTAGCATTATTGTGAGCATTGATCCACTATCTTGGCAAGCAGTTTTGCGCCTCGTTGTATCGCCATATTCCCGCCTCTTCCAGAATCTCAAGGACAGCACATACCGATGTACTTGCCCTCAATGGCAGTTCTTGGGGTCCTGAAGCCCAATCCGACGTCCTTGTACCATCTCCGGCCACCCTTTCCGACTCTGGTGGACTTGGCCTTGCTCTTGGAGTTGAGGAAGATGTGTGGCTGCTTTTGGAAAGCGCGCTCACTCTGGACAGTCAACTCAGTGGCCATGATTGCGGTTCTGGCGGTTCGGTCGCAATCGTCGGTCGTTGAGCGGTGGTGGTATTGTCGTCGGATGCTGCAGCAAGCAAGCCTTGAAATTCGAAGCGTCGGTGTCGATGCCAAGAGTATAAAACGGAGCGGCTCGATCCGTCCTCCGCGCAACCTCAAGACTCAAGAGAGCAGCATTGTTGGAGTAGCAGCAAGTGCAGAACACACACAACGATCGCATCGAAAATGCTCGCCAGACACGCAACAAGATATGTACTCCGGTCTTGGACTGCCGCATACAAATCACCGCTACGAGTATCGCAACGCCAGCTCGGCACATCGACTTCTGTCAACGCATTGATCAGACGGCGGCAACAATCAATCTCAGATGCATTCCAGAACCTGAGTCTTGCTCGTGCAGCGAAAACGCAATCGATAGCTAAGCAGCAGATTCGAGGGATGAAGGTGCGAAGCAGCGTCAAGAAGCTGTGCGAAGGCTGCAAGAGCGTGAGAAGGAAGAAAGGGAAATACGTCTACATTATTTGTAGCAAGAACCCCAAGCATAAGCAAAGGTAGGCGAAGAAATCTTGGAGATTTTTGGATACAATTTTGACCATTCTTTCAGGCAAGGATAGATGAAATATACAAGATTTCAGGGTTTGTGGCACAGCGAGCGGCGTTCAGGCAAGGCATATCGGGATGATACGACTAGAAGGCAAACTGTCATGGGAATATTCGAAACATTGCTGCATTATAGATACCTCTCCATGGAAAGTCTATGCTCTGTACAACGAGTACTTGCCAGAGCGTTGCAAGAAGTCGGATTCTTACGGGCCAAAACAACCCAAATCGAAGGTTGGTCGGTCCCACGTAATCTGGTCGGACTGGAATACGTCGTCATTGCATCTGCAGCTGCTAGGCAGATTGAGTTCGCAGATGAATTGCCGGCAACAGTACTCCGCATTTGACCGTACGATGTTATGCGCTCACTGTACCTCTTGACTATGACTCTACTGTGGAAGATCTACAGTGCCTACTCCAATGCAATGCACTCAGTTCCTGATACATGGCTCATTTACTGAGCGCCTTTTCTCTAATCCCCCAAGCAGCGACCGCCGCACCGAAAACAAGAACAACTTGCAATCCGAACGCCGCGTTCGTGCTTTTCGCAAAACACTGCACAACAACTTCCCGAATTCTTGGATCCAAGTTCTTCAAATACGCCAAACTTTCCCTTACACGCTCGGCGATCTCGACAGCCTGATCTTCAGGCAGTCCTAATGCTGGCAAACGAGACGAAAGGTCTGCGCGCAAAACGTAATTCGCGACGGTTGCTGACATGGCGACTCCAAAGGTACTGCCAAGTGAGCGGAACAAGTAACTACAAGCTGTCGCGACGGCCTGATCCTCATGAGAGGCATTGGCGATGAGACCGATGAGGGTGGTGGTGATACCGTTGCCGTTTCCAAAGCCACCTATACACATTGCAATGATGATTCCGACAGAGCTGTTTATGACTGCACCAGAGGAGAGGAAGATGCCGATGAGACCGAGGGTAAGAGCGGCATAAGAGATGACGGTGAGCCAGTAAAACTTTCCTGCTCTTCTCATATAGTAACCAGCGAAGAGAGACCCCGAGACACTGCACAGGACACTGGGAAGAAGACGAATACCGGCGCCCGTAGCTGTGATGTGGTCGATGGCTTGGAAGTACAATGGCACATAGAACAGGGTGCTTAACCAGCCTGCCTGGCTGAAGAAGTTGCAGACATAGCAGGCAATCATGGTCCGATTGAATATGATGCGGCCTGGAGCGATGGGGTCGATGGCGATTTTCATTTCAACGACGAGGAAGAGGCTCCAAAGCGAAAGACTGCCGACGAGCGAACCGATGGCGATAGGGGAAGTCCAGCTCTCGTTGCTACCAGCATCAAACCCCAAGAGCAGCGTAAAGACAGCGGCGATAATTGTCGCAACACCAAAGAAATCGATGCGGCGCAGCTTCTTACGCCAATCTATCGATTGTGATGCTTTTCGCTGCGGTAAGTTGAGAGTAAAGGCAACAGCAATAAAGGCCAGTGCACACATTGGTACTTGAGCCATAAACGCGAATCTCCAGCCAATATAGTCTGCTGCGAGTCCCCCTAGAGGCGCTCCTGCGCCTGCTCCTGCCGCGAAGATAATATTGATGTAGCCCTGCCACTGTCCTCTCTCTCGAAGTGTGCAGATATCGCTGAACACAATCGAGACAACTGTGGTCATTGCTCCGCCCCCGATGCCAGCGAAGGCTCGAGCTGCGATGAGCTGCGTTATATCCCCAGCCAGTCCACAACCCAGACAGCTAAGCCCGAATATCGTATACCCAAAGAGAAGACATGACTTTCTGCCAAAGATATCGGAGAGTTTGCCGTAAAGAGGCTGAAACGAAGTCAATGTCAGAAAATATGCCGTGGCTATCCAGGACGTTGAAGACAGGGCGTTCAGTTCCGATCCGATTTTGCCATAAGACGAAACTATAATCGTCTGGTCTGCGGCGGAGAGGAAAATACCGATTGCTAGGGCTGGGAAAATGTACTTGAGATTCTTTTTGACTTCTGGTAAGCCTTCGTACTGTCTCTGTCGGATCTCGATAGTGTCTTGAGAGTTCTGGCGTTCGAGTGCACTTTCGTTGACGGCAGGAGTCTTGCCATATGTAAAAGGGTCACGACATGCTTCGAAAGTTCCATTGGAGAGCGGTGCTTCGGGTGCAATGCCATTCCTGGGTGTTACAGCTTGGACCGTGGTCCTTGAAATCAGTGGTGAAGTCTCCGATGGATAGTCGTTCGACCTGGGACCGCCGCTGTCGTCGAAGCCCATCCTGTCTATACGTAAAAGTGCAAATCCAATACGCCGAAAGAGAGTATCACAAGCGCCAGAGAGCACGACGACGGGAGAAATTGAAGAAGCGACAAGAGCATAAGGAAAGAGAAATGCCGCAAGTGATCTTACATGGGTTGATATAGCGTCCTGGATCCCGAACGTTCAACCACCAAAAAAGTGGACTAGTGCTCCAGTACCTGATGTGCCTGCGCCAATGGCTCTCTGCACTGCGTGTGTCCTGCAGTAGATTGTAGGCAAAACCACGGGAGCGAGGATTGACCGCTCTGGAGGCGAAGTGCTCGCTGCCGTCCGGGCGGTAACCGCGTCTGCAGTTGCATCTCGAAAGGTCTGATATGCGCATCAGAGGCGTCACAACAACGCCTCAAATTTGACTTTTCGGATATTTCTGCCGATCAAGTCGACGGAGATTCCGGCTTTTAGTTCTGTGGCCGCGGACAGATCGTCGTGCTATGCACCACCACCTACCAGCCACTGTCGACTACTTCACTTTCTGAGCAATGGAGCATGTCTTCCTCCAGCTCCAGACATGAGAACATCGCCGTCGCCATAACCACCGCTGCTGAACGTGCTGCGGCACAACCTCCACCCAACGCAGGCGAAGCGGGCAGACTCTCCGGCGAAGGTAGGCAGATAGGCAGAAGAGGTCCGATTTCACCGAGTGGATGCTCACGTCGCATAGCATCGCATCAGCCCATAGACGACAATGAGTTTGCCGCGGAGCCACCGCCGAGGCCGGAAGAGGACGACGACGACATCCCATACCCCGAGCCCGAAGACGAGACCCAGCTTCAACCGCCGGCGGACTTCAAGCCATTCTTTACTTTGATCGAAGATCCGGTGACTCGCGAGCACCATCATCCAGTAGTACATTATGTCTTTGCCGATGACGATCAGGACATAATCACGAATGCTGCTCTAGAAACTCTGCCGCCCAAGCGACCGGATGCCAATGAAGTTGAGGATAGATTCGTCGTCGTAGATATGGCTGCAGATGGCAAGGAAGTCGTGAACGCAACCTCTCTGTCAGTGAATTGGCAAGGCTTGACGACCAAGGTAGCACAAGCTCCAAGCTGGGGGGATGACAGCAACCTAGCAGATAGAGGACTGATGCTACACATTTCTGGTCGAGAAGCGAGGGAAGAAAAGAGAAGAACCAAAGGGGATGTACAAGCTTTGCTCACGGCATTTGATGACCATCTTGATGATCTGAATGGCCTGCTCGGAGACGAGGACGCTGGAACGGCCCACGAGCCGCCTGCTCTGCGATGATACTATGAAATGGCATGACTTATGATGAGATGATACAGGGAATAGATGTAGCGCTTGCGATTTGTGGTCGTGACTTCATTCAATGCATGGAGGCTGTTACTCCTTCAATCATGTTGGCCCTGATCACATCGAATCTAACCCTCGCTGATCCTGACGCTTTTCCGCACAGCCCTCTTTGGACGGCCGCCCTCTACTGCCGTCGGAGTTTCCGCAGCGACAAATCCTGTCGGCGTGGAAATGGCGTCCTTGCTCTCTGCCGCGGAAGACGCTTCGGCTGGGCGCGGTGTCGCAGCCAATTTTGCATTGTCAGACGGTGGTACTGCCTCCTTCTGCGCCTTCTCAGCTTCCACAGATTTTGGAGTCGAGGCCACTGGCGCCTTTCTCTTCGGCGCAGGCTTCGGCTTGACTTTCTCCTCAACGATCGGTGTTACATCTTTCGACACGTTCTCGCTGTCGGTGGTCGTGGAGCCCTTGAAAGGAAGCCGTAGGGCTAGATACGCGTTGGAGACCCGTTGACACCGCTCCATAGTTTCTTGCATGTTCTTACGAACGTCATCCGCTGGCTTGACCCATCGCCGAATACAGTTAAGCAGCTCCTCGCGCCCATATGCAACTTCTATCATCATCGTGATGGGTTGCCAATACTCCTGGTCTGGTTCAAGTCCTGTGGGGTCTACAGCGTCGCGCCCTTTGCGGGTCAAGATAAAACTCACGAGTAGATGTTGCGGGGAGAGTGCTTCGAGGATACTGTATTCGGGAAAGAGGAATCTGTCCTCGGTTGCGCCAGAGCCCGTGAATTCGAGTATTACGGGCGAGTTCGTCGCTACGGGTGCTGCAGCCGGCGCTGTCCATGGCTGTTGCTGGCCATACGGAGGGGTGCTTTGAGGCTGCGCAACAAAACTTTGTGGACGTGCTTGTGGTCCGGCGTGCTGCGGATGAGGCTGTATTGGCTGTGGAGTATGCACAGGTCTAGAATCAGATGGCCCATCGTATTGGATCATATTCGACTGCTGCTGAGGCTTGAAGGGCGCTTCCTCTTGTGTCTTCTTTTGATGCGCTATGATCGTGGTGAGCTCGTCTATGTGCTTTTGAAAAATCTTCAACTGGTCTTGATTGGCATTTCCAGTGGCAACCTCCTTCATAAGGGACTTGAGCTCTGGGTCGGAAGAAGCTCGAGTCGCCAGCATGCTGATTACCGGGTCGGGCGAGGCCTTTTGACCAGACAGCCCAGGTGCAGGAGAAGCTTGAGCTCTTGACGGTCCCGGCTGAGGCGCAGGTGGGAGTCGACTAGAGCTTTGCACAGGCGGAAGAGGCCCCAGCCGATGTCCTTGGTAGGATGCGCTGCTCAGTGGAGGGCGAGCCTGGAATTGCTGGATAGGTTGCTGCTGTCGTGGCTGGCTGGCAACCGGCTGCTTATTCTTCGGAGGCAACGCATTATTCTCCACGGTATAGAAGTTCGCAACGAACAAGTGCGGCTCGATGCGTATTCGACATTCTCCTCGCATCTTCATCGTCTTCAGATCTGGATTATTGGGAGGAGGGGGCTTGGCATTCTTGCCAGTGCCCTTCTCAGGCTTCACCCAATATCGCTCCAGTATGCCGTCGCACATCCATCTTGACCTCGACTTCTCCAGCGATGTTGCGAGGACGGCACTCGCAGCGATGGACTGGTACTCTTCATTGGACAGAGTCTGGGGCTGTGGCTCTGGCAGAGTCGGAAGTGGCTTGTTCTCGTTGATTTTGGCGGGCAAGCGCACAACTCTCTTCTCTGGTACAGGCGAGCCTATCGCTGGAGTATGCGCGGCCGAGGCTGCATTTGTTGGCGGCGTTGATATCGACGTTCGTTGTCTCTTGGCTGGTGGCGCGCTCGCAGTCTTGGGAGGACGTCCCGGACGTCGCTTCTCGCCCACCTTCGCCTCTTGGCCTGTTTCCATGTCGCCAGTGATGCTCTCACGATTCTATCGCGGTGTCATGATGCTCCGTGCATTGGCAGTAGCGAAGTGAAGAGCAAAAAGTTGCGATCGATCATCCGGAATCTCCAGATCGGCCGTAGAACTACGCGACGCGCTCAGCCAACCAGCGCCTCAGCACCCGCAACGGCCTCAATGCACCTTTTGCTTTCACGCTGCCACTTTCTTCATCATCTTCCCAACATGGCATTGGAGCGATGACAACGACAACGACAACCAGAATATTGAGCAGGGCGGCTCTTGGGGTCGCCGGCGCTGTGGCTCTCTACGCAGTCCTTCTCGGCGTTCTGCTGAGGCCTTCAATGCAGCGCTTGTGAGACTTAAGCCCACGACTGAATAATATAACGCATGCTGACCTCTGCAAGTGCCTTGTATGCCCACAAGTTTAATACACTCTTCCTACAAGATGTGCATGATGGCGAGGTCTTTGGCTTTTCCACGAACCAAGTCACTCCTTTCAATCTCACCACTCCTGATGGCGAGACTCTTTACGCTTGGCATGTTTTGCCGTTAGATCAGTATGCTTTGCATGAGAAAGCCGTTCGCAACGAGCCTCGGCCTCAGGATGGCGCAATCGAAGACTTCACTTCTACAGCGGCTTTTCAGCTTCTCCAATCGAGTGATGCCAGAGTTGTCATCAGTTTCCATGGAAATGCTGGTCATGTTGCCCAAAACTGGCGGCCCACCACCAATAGGTTCATGGCGACAAGGCCCAACACTCATGTCTTCACAATAGACTATCGTGGCTTCGGTCACTCCACCGGAAGCCCGCATGAAGCAGGTCTGATCACTGATGGCATCACTTTGGTGAAGTGGATCCTGGACGTTGCAAAAATTCCTCCTGAGCGAGTCGTCATCCTTGGTCAAAGCTTAGGGACTGCAGTGTCCACTGCAGTTGCTCTGCACTTTCTAGATCCGGGTAATGAACTTCTGCCTCGCGAGACCAGAGAACTGTCCTCCTTGGCACGAGACAGCGATCAGATCAAGCCAATGATGTTTGCTGGTATCGTTCTTGCTGCTCCGTTCAGCAGTGTGCCGACATTACTCCTCACGTATCGCATTGGAGGCCTCTTGCCACTCTTGCTTCCACTCCGGCCTGTCCCGTGGTTTGCGAACCTGCTCACATCGCAAATGGTCGACAAGTGGGAGACCGCAGAGCGATTGACGGCGTATTATCACCTTTCAGCCGGCGCCCCGCAGCTTGGATCTCTTCAGATTGTACATGCTCTCGATGACGCTGACATCCCATATCATCAGACTGAGATGATCTGTCGCCGTATCCTGGATAAGCGCGGTTCAGACAGCGACCTCGACGCGCACGAGATTGATGCCAAAAGCTGCATTGGCGAGGGTGGCGCTGGCGTCCTGGATGTCAAGCGGAATGGGCGACCACGACTTCGATTCGAGCTGGTCAAACACGGAGGGCACAACAGAATCATTACATACAGTCCAGTCGCCGTCGCCGTCGCGAGAGCCTTTGACAATCTCTTTGATTGATTGAGATGTCTTAGCATACATGCCAACACGAAAGCTGCTCCAAAGACACGCCATTACTCGGCAATCCTCGAGTGAACTTCTTGCTCTGCAGAAACGTTTCAAATCGGGCAAATCGGAAGAGAATGTGAAGTCGCGTTGTTGCACAGGCCACCGATGCAGAATGAAGCTCACTTGCTCCAGCTTACGATTTGCATCTTTGCACTGTCGACATTCGAAGCTGTCACAACATCACGGAAACCTCATAGGTGCTACACGGGCTTTCTCAGCATACACAAAGGATACGGCAATCGTTGATCGCTAGGTATTTATAAGGGTGCTTGTGCGACTTCTTGCAAGAGCTGACTGGTGCAACAGCCGCTGTCGATTGTCATCACCACCGTCGTCGCAATGGCAAAAGAGATTTCTTCCACCGTTTCCGAAGCTGCCCAGCAGCAGATCGCCGACACACTTGTAGCAGCTTCTTTCATCCTACACTCCGGCGGTAAGGCCGTCACGGACTTCGCAAAGACTGTGGTCGGCGACTCAAAGGTCGATTCTTCTATCGAAGATCGCAAGGTAATTGAGCTCTGCACTTCTTCCTCCCTTCCCATCCACATATTGATATAGATGTACCCTCTCAGGCAGACGAAAAGATGATTGGAACCAATGGCGCGTTTGGCGAAGGTGGAGCTTGCACTTCCCTTGCCAGGGCCTATGCCATGTTGCTGGATCAAGGTGAGAGCGAAAATGCGGAGGAGCTGAAGAGAATTGCTTTGGGTCGCTTCTTGAAGGATCAGTTCACGGGTGAGGTCGACAAGGTAAGATCTGGTTGGTGAAGGGCGGAGACAGCAGACACCTCGTTTGAGTCAGAGCATTGTGTTGGATAGAAGGAGCGAGCGAATTCAGGGAGAGATCCTCCAAAACACCGCGGAACGAATGCAAAGCAGTACAAGGACCTAGATGTCTCATCTTCTCAGAACGAAAGGCAACACTGCACAGCACGGGCATTGTAGCGGAAGCACGTGTGAGGCCGGAAACTGGGGTGAATTTGGCGGCCGATTGGGAGTAGCATCACACGAGCAATTCTCAGACTGACTTGGGCCACCAGGCCACCGAGCTCATGTCCGACACGATCTCAACCTGCGAGTGGCAAGAAGGCATCAGTCGAGGGTTCCGCCGCCTCTCCCACCCGTGACAATTCTCATGAGAAGATCTGGACAATGCTGCTCTGATCTAGATTTGCAGCAAGAGAAAAGTTGAGCGAAGGGAGCGCCGCGAGGCGAGCGAACAAGCAAGTGCGCGACCAGCGACACCCCACTTGTAATTTCAGCTCCGCCAGAGATGTGTGACAACTCTCTCGAGCTCTCAGCTGACGGTAGATCGATGTGGCGATCCAGCTGAGGGCGCAGGCGCAGGCGCGAAGTAAGATACAATGAATGATCCACCAAAAGGAAAACTCCAGACGAATCGACCGAGCTCACTTCAGCATGATAATTCAAGCCAAGACTTACGTGGATTCACGCTGTAATGCCGCTCCTGTGGACGTTCTCCACCGAGTCCTTGAGATCTGCTTCAATGCTACCACCGCCTGGCTGCTGAAGGAGTAGACTTGAAGTGAGGTAAGACTTCTCACCTACTCAATGCATTAACAGCGCTCAGTCCAAGTCTGGTCACTAACAATATCTGTTCCCCGCCGATGCTATATCAGCCTGCTCTCCCATTGAGCTAGACAAGTGTAGGAAATTTTCCCGAAGAGAGAATGTCTGTCACACTCACCTCTTTCACACTGCCGCGCAGCACAGGCTGATCCCGAAACGTTTCAGAGAAAGGAAATAGAAAAAGAGACGAGGTGCAAGGTGAATTCTTTTTATATTTAATAGGCATCATCTTGACATTATCGTCTCATTCATATCATTATCATATCGTTCCCCAAGATGCACCCGAATTTTCTGTTATCATACCTATTGATTCCCCTTCGCCGCAGCAAAATTCACAAAAGCCTTCTGCGGGTTAACATACTGATACGTGCTATACCAGTTCTTGAGGAACGTATCACCAACGACATAAAGCTCCTCAGTAGGATCAAGATCCGCACCAGCAATTCCAGCAATGCAAAACTGGTTGGTAAGTGCGCTGAGATCGATTCCGAGGTCGAGAGCTATATCCTCAGTGACAGTACCAAAGTTGAAGTCCAAGGGGTTGATAGCGAAATTCTTGCCGGCGAATTTCAAAGCGACCTTCGGGTTCGAGGCGCAGGGGTATGCGAAGAGGGTGATGAGTGGGACACCGACGCCGAGAGGGAGGGGGATGGAGCCTGGGATTTGGGCGAAGATGGAGGCTGCGGCAAGCGTTGGGGCGATGATGAGGGTTGTGCCGGTGTCGATTGCGGCTTGGCCTTGGGTTGTGGGGAGAGTTGGGTTGGAGCCGACTGTGGCGCCGTCGATGGCGACTTGCCAGTAAGTCTGGCTTGTGACTGGAACTGGAGTAAAGGCTCCGGTGTAGCGGCTGGAGTCACGACCACCGAGAGTCATTTCTGAAAGACCGGTAGTGCCGGACTTTTGGCGCCCGAGGTAGAAGGAGAATTCGGTTGGGTTGACCTTGTTCTGGTTGATGAGGGTGAAGAAGAAGGGTGGCTGTTTGCTGTTGGCGATGGATTGGAAAGCCATGCCCATCAGGGAGTCAGATCCTGTGCCGGAGAAGCCTTGAGCTTGTGTCAGGGAGATGATATTTTGGTGGGTGGCGGTCAGACCGGCAACGGTCACGCTGTCGAAGTAGTTCTCGCCAGAAACTTGACCAGAGCCGTAGGTGACAGTAGTGGTATTATGCTCGTCCTGTCCGCCTTGATTGTATTTTGTGCTTCCCGAGCAGCCCTGTGCTGTGCCGCACTTTGGTCCTGGGACGAAGGTGTCCGACGAACCAGTGTCGAAGTCGAATTGGAAGACCTGGTTGGCAGAGCCGACAGTGCCTGCACCATAGTAGCTGTATCGTGTCAGAAAGGTGTCATTGCGACATGTTCAAGATGTACACATACAGCTCATCTTCTTGGCCCTCGGTGAAATCTGTGAGCTTCTCCTCTGCATTCGTATCTCTCTTCAGGATCAGGTTGGCCTTGTCGACGATGTCCGGCAGAGCAAAATTCTTGTTGTACTTGAGAATTGTGTATTTCAGCGTTCCCATGAACCAGTCAAGGTCGATGGCACCATCTGACTTCTTGACATGTTGGTGTCTCTTCCTGGAAAATGGAATCTTGGTGCCTTGGCTCTCGTCTTGAGTGGGAGCGGCAAGCGCAAGAGCGCCAAGTGAGAGGAGTACTGCGGCCTTCATCTTTGCGCATGGAAAAAGCTGACTGGTGACAGAGTGATCGCCCACTTACATTCTGAGGTTATATAGAACTCCCGACCACGCGGAAATGTTTACATACAGTCTCTCTGCACGACGTCTAGTCACACGACGGTGCCGCCGCTAGATGTGAGATCCTCTGGGGCTTCGTGTAGTCTCCAACGATTCTCTTGCCCTGAGGCCGATCGCGAAGGTGGCTATCAACTTCTCCGCGAAGCAGGACAGGAACGGTAAGTGATCGTACCTGTACCTGCGTGTATGTCAAAGATTGAGCGGAGGCCGCGGTAAGTCCACATCGCTGGCGTTGCATATGTGCCAAATTTTGCGTGCACCAAGCCAAACGAAGCCTGCTAAGCATTGCAAGCAAGCCTTGAAAGAAAGCCTAAATATATGCCTCGGAGTTCTTCTGTTGATCTTTGCATGTCCTAATTGGCGAGACTGTCTTAAGCTTAATAGATTCGCGTTGCATTGCTGATCCTAGCCTCTTCGAGCCGCTGTTGCGCTTACGCGGATTCTGCTCCAGTCGGTCCAGTCCCAATGTGGAAGGAGCGTGAGGACGCACTGTGAGTAGGCACTGCAGTGGCTGCTGGTCTTTCTGTCGTTTCAAGATGAGCGCCTGTGATGCCAGTACGTCATAAACCATCCAGAAGTGCGATCATCAAAGCAACACCTGTAACGCCGCGCTGATGCCGAGGAAGAATGAACGACATTGATGCATCTGGTTCTCATCAAGCATTCGAAGATGAACCGGGGCCATCGACACCAATTTCACCATTCTGGAGCTTTCCCAGATTCTTCAGCAAGAAGCTTCGCTTGAAGTAGGTGTTTGGATGCAGAATGGTGTCCAGCTCGCTTGCTGGCATCAGAGATTCGTCCTTGACCTAGATCAAGAGGTCAGCAAAATTCGAAAACATCGTAATACTGTGAATACGAACCTTCTTCAGCTCATTCTTGTGAGCTGCTTCAAAGACTCTGTTGCACGCGATGTGATATCGTTGCTTGCCTACATCTTCGCGGACGCCCTTGAGCAATTCTCGATCTGAGACGCCCACATTCTGGAGAAGTGTGATCAGGTTATCGGGGCTATATGTTCGATACGGACACCCGTGTTGCTGCCCAGCTGAAGGCAATGCCTCGGTGAGTAGTTTCTGGCAGCTGTACGGTGTATAGCCTCGGCCACGTCTGTTGGAATCTCCACCGACATCACCATACGCATGGCGAATGTTGTAGAGATATTCCGATTTGAACTTGTCTATGCAGGCCGTCAGTGTGGTATACGCAAAAATCCGTCCTCTAGCACACATACCGTCCGTGATGAGTTTGAAACTGCGTCTCCAGAAGGCTATACATTCCTGCAAGTTCAGGCCGATGCCTTTGAGGAACAGCGTATACTGTAGCCTTCCAAAATGCTTCAAGTGGTTGTTCTTCCGGAGCTCGCGATGCAGATTCTGCATGCAAAGGGGAAAATACTGGCTGTATGAGTCGATCGAAGCAGCCGTGACATTGGTCATGTCGCTCAAGCTCGACTCCTCTGCATACCCAGCATCTGGTGCCACGAATGACTGTGAAAGATGATGCAAGATTGGTGCCAGGCGATTGTCTTCGTCCATGCGAGGCAAGAAGCGAGCTGCCAATTCGAGGCCAGACTCAAGGTGTCTCGAAAATTCGCTGACAACCATGCTCGTCTGTTCGCGGACATGCACATATGCCTTGCCTCTCTTCAGTAGCACCTGTCGCCTCTCGACCAGCTCTGGCACATTCTCCCAGTCCACCATGAACCAGCTCTCCTCATCCTGCTTAGTGCAGTTTGTTGCAGCTTTCAAGTCGTCCAGCAGTTGTGACTTCTCTTCATTGCCCACTGTCTGCCACGTCATTGGCAGAGACTCGATAAAAGCTCTCTTCTCACGTTGGTCGTCCTGTTGTATGCGTAGTCGAAACAATTGCGACTCGAGACGCGCAAATCGTTGCCTGAGGTCTTGTGTGCTGGCGAAGGCAAGGCGCAGTGTCCAATGGCTGTAGTGGTCGCGCTTACGCTCGAGGGAAAGTTCACTGCTTCTCGAGCTGTTGCTCTGGAGAGGGAGGTGTTTGGCGAGGATGGGTCGCATGTGCTCTTCCGTTTCGGCCGGCGTTCTATTGCGGAATTGACATGACTCCAGCTCGGCCAGCACCTTCAGTCGCGCAATGGCCCATTCTTCGAATTGTTCGAGCGTGACATCGCCCGTCGGCGGGACGATGTAGAAGTTCAGACGATGCGCATAGTCGAGTTCGGCAAAGCTGGCATTCTGGAACTGCGCCTTTTTCGGATTGATGGCACGTTTCTTCGCATCTATGCGCGGTGCAGTCGAGATTGCCAACATGGTGGGTTGTCATGTATGCAAAGAGGAGTATGAATGCAGCGGGCCTGCTGTGGAAGAGACGCATCGCGTCGTGGGAGAACGCGACGCGTTAGGGTTACTCCACCATCACTAGGGTTATCACTTTCGCCGGGCTTTGGTGCCTCGAAGCCATCTGCTGTTTGTCACATATCGATAAAATCTACACTACATACATATTTTCGCTTGCGCGTGCGTGCTGTACATTCGCCGTCTATTTTTTCTCTTTGGGCGCGATCATCAACTCTGGTCGGACAACCTCGTCAAACTTCTGCTCGCTCAGCGCCTTGAGCTCCATAGCACTCTCCTTCAATGAGATGCCCTTCTTGTGCGCATTCTTTGCCACCTTCGACGCCATGTCGTATCCAATGACAGGATTCAAGCAGGTAACCAACATTAAGCTTTCTTTCATGATCGTACCAATCTTCTGCTCGTCAGCCTGGAGGCCTTCGAGCAAGTGCTCGCGGAAGCTGTTCATTCCATCGGCCAGCAGGCGAGACGAGTGGAGAAGGTTGCGAATCATGACAGGCTTAAACACATTCAGCTCAAAGTTGCCTTGCGAGCCAGCAAAGGTCACAGCAGCTTGGTTCCCGAACACCTGGCAGCACAGCATAGTCATACTTTCACACTGAGTTGGGTTGACCTTGCCCGGCATGATCGATGAGCCTGGCTCGTTCTCTGGTAGCTGGAGCTCGCCGAGACCACATCGTGGGCCTGAGCCGAGGAAGCGGATGTCCTGAGCAATCTTGTACAACGACGTAGCAAGTGTGTTCAGCTGCCCGTGTGCCTCCACGATGGCATCATGTGCAGCCAGTGCCTCGAACTTGTTTGGTGCAGTGTAGAATTGGGTGCCGGTCATCTTGGTCACTTCGGAAGCGATGTCCTCGGCAAAGCCCTTGAAAGTGTTCAAACCCGTTCCCACAGCCGTACCTCCCTGTGCGAGAAGTCTCAGACGAGGCAGAGAAGACTCGATGCGCTCAATTCCGTACTCAAGCTGAGTGACATATCCGGAGAACTCCTGGCCCAATGTCAATGGTGTCGCATCCTGCAAATGCGTTCGTCCAATTTTGATGATGTGTTCAAACGATTCAGCCTTGTGCTTCATCGCTTGATGAAGATTCTTCAACGCAGGCAATAATGACTCTTCAAAGTCCAGCACGGCTGCAATGTGCATGACAGTGGGAAACGTGTCGTTCGAAGAAGCGGACATGTTGACATGGTCGTTGGGGTGGACGGGCTTCTTGCTGCCCATTTGACCGCCCAAAATCTCAATTGCTCGATTCGAGATGACTTCGTTTGCGTTCATGTTCGATTGTGTACCGGAGCCAGTCTGCCATACGACCAGCGGGAAGTGGTCGACAAGCTTGAGCGATGCTACCTCAGCAGCTGCTTGCTGGATGGCTTGACCGAGCTTTGGATCAAGTCCAAATTTCATGTTCACTGTGGCCGCAGCTCCCTTCAAGATGCCGAACGCACGCACAATGGGTGGAGGCATGCGGTCTTGAGGCTGGTTGATCTTGAAATTGCCCAGAGAGCGCTGGGTCTGCGCTCCCCAGTACTTGTCATCGGGCACTTCGAGCTCGCCGAAGGCATCGCTTTCTGTTCGCCCCATCCTGGCTGTGCTGCTGAATGTTCTTGCTGAGACCGAGGTGGATTGTGACAGAGGTTGAAGGGAGCGTGACGACTTCATGGGTCTCGATGCAGCTCTTACAAAGCTTCTTGCGGGGATGATCTTGGAGCTCTGCGAGAGCGCGGTGCTAGCGGTAGAAGCGCGAGGAATGGCCGTGCGAAGCATTTTGGAGGATGAAGGAGATGGAGGCCAGAAGGATATAAGAATCGCAATGCGATCGTCCCAATGAATTCGCACAATGCTTAGGGCGTCTGTTTATGCTTCGGCTTCCTGTTTCTCCCGCGAATTTAGAATACATACTGGAATCCGGCGCCGATGTCGTCCGCGCGGAACGTCGATCATTCGGTGCTGGTCAATGCGTTGCGTTCGAAATTTCCAACACGGTCAGTCTCTGTTTCGACGACATGCACTGCATCACACGGCATTGCTGTATACATTGCAGGAACAGGCGAGAAGTGGTTGAGCAGGTATGCTGGCGGGGAAACTACCGTCCTGGCCTACCATGCCATTCAGCATCATCACGAACACGATCAGTGGAATTCGAAATATCGTCGCTGTGGAAGTGGAAGAGAAATCAGGGAATTGGATTGCCAATGCAAACTACGTTCTGTGGAAATATTCTGATCCTGCTAATCTGTCGTAACTTGGTCGCGTGTCAATACTGTTGCAATTGCCGCTGCAGTCCCCAAGACATGTCGATTCATCCCACAGGAGCACTCCATTCTCGGTCGTAGGAGATCATCGAAGGGAGTTTACTTCTCTGCACATCGTCAATTGGTGAGCTCTCGTGCGAAGGCCGGACTCAGGACTTACTGTGGCCACCAAGACCGAGGGCATCTTGTGCCTGCTTCATGCCAGACTGAACCGTATCAGAAGCCTGGCCTGCGAGGTTGGAGGCGCCTTCCTGTGCAGACTCGGCATGGCCGGTGGCGGTGTTCGAAGCACCGCCGCTGCCGCTGGAGACGGTATCCGTGGCCTTCTGCGTTGCCGACTTTTCGCCCTTGGGTTGGAGGCTGGCGGCAACAGAGTCGGCAGTGCCTTTGGCGCTGTCGGTGACTGACTCGGCAGTGGACTTATGGGAGTCCGGCTTGAGCGTGGCCTCAGCCTTGTCGGCGGTGCTCTGGCGGCTGGTCTGGACATTAGCTTGAGTCTTGCAAGGATTGGGCTTGGCTTGGTCTGCAGTGATGGGAAATGGGTGCGAGGTGAGTACATACAGAGTGTCGGACATTGTTGCTGATCGTGTTGTGTGTGGATGGGTTTGTGCGATGGGAACTTGTTCAAAGCTGATTCTCAAGAGGTCGATTGTGTGGCGGCAACAGAAGGGCAACCTTGGAGACTTATAAGCAAAGCTGCCTTGGGTCTGATGCAATCATTATGAGTGCAGGTGCCTTCCACAAGAAAGGCGCATGTGCTCTTGGTGCGCAACCCAGCTCTGGCCCAACCAGCCGTTATTGGCTCCTCAAAGTTAGCAGGCACGGCGAAGCGCTTGAGGATGGCGAGGCAGCGTCAACACCAGCACTGCATCTCCAGCTGCTGTAGCCATCATCCTGATGTCACAAGTTTTCATGCGACGGGAGGCACGATTACCTGCAGTTATGGAAGTTGATTACTAAGTACTCACTAATCAGTGCCTGTAATCATAATCATAGTCAATAGTAAGTGAATAATTAGTAATCATAATTACGTAATTATATAATTAGTACCTATAGTAATACTTAGGGTTAAGAAGGAGGTTATTTTATAAGCCGTCGTCGTCGTTACTAGCGCTAGAGACTAAATACGAGGCTAGCAATAGTAGTAGTCCTTCTTCCGCCTCTTCTAAAGTAGCTAATTCTAATAGTATCTTAGTAACCCCTATTCTTATCTAATTCTTCGAGTATTTATTTATACGAATATAGTTACTACTTATACGTATACGGTCCTATCTAGTAGTACGGCGGCTTATACTAAAGGTCCTCTTAGACTTAGCGGATATAGCGAAGGCCGACAATATATTAATAGCTAGTTACTATAGTACTATATCGTAAGTCTTCTACTACTAAACCTACTAGTATTAGGGCTAAAGAGGCTATATATAATTAGTATATAATTAGGCCGAGTAAAGCTAGGGTCTTAGTGCCTTAGGTAGGGCTTAGCGCTTAGCGTTAGGCTAACTAGCCTACCTTCCTCCTTCTCCTTCTAGTTCTCTATTAAATACTACTTATACCTACTACTACCCTATCTACCTACTAATATAGCCCTTCTTATATAGTATTCGATCTACCCTTTAAGGATAGTAGCTAGATAGTCCTTATTTTAAGCTTTTAGCGGTATAGCTACGAAAACTATCGATTTAACTATATTACGCCCGAAGAACGGGACCTATACGTACTATTCTACTAAAACAACTATACTAATTATTAAGTAAGGCCTTTTATATAGCCTATTATACTAAGTTAAGCTATCGCCTCTTATAATAGCTAGTTTATTACGAAATAACAACCGCGGCGCCGCTAGTAGCGCTAGTAATAATAATACTAGTAGTATAGTACCTACCGAAGTACCTACTAGAGTACCTACTAGAGTGCCTCCTACTAAAGAGCCTACTAGAGGGCCTACCGAAGAACCTACAATCGAAGGGGATAACCCCTCGTTGCCTATTAACGATATTCTTAGTAATATTATTAACCGTCGATATAGCTAACTAGCCTTTAGCCCCTAGCTAGTAGCGAGACTTTAGGAAGCTACCTAAAATAGGCTTACTACCCTACGCTAAGAACAATAGCTAAAGGATAATCTCCTCGAGCTTCGCCGCCTTTAGGAGGCCCTAATAACTAATACCGAGGCGATAGTAGAGCCTTCTTTACTACCCGTTTTAGTCTAAAAGAAGGATGCTAAACTTAAGGACTATACTGTATTTAATAGCTCTAGTCGGAAGCAATATAATAACTACATTCGTAACTGCGAGCTTAACTAGCGTAATATACTAAGAGCGCTGCTAGATAACTACTTATTAGTCGTCTACGCTATATAATATATTAATAGCGACCTAAAACGCACCTAGAATAACTACTTTAACTCCCTTACTAATTAGACCGCTATTTAGTAGCAAACCTATAAGACTATTATACTAGACACCCTTAGAAACCCTATACTAAGGCAATAACACGCTTAGGACTAGTACCTTCGAGCTAAGTAAAAGACTAATTAATTAGCTCGCTTATTTAAGGCCTATTTAAAGACCCTCGAGGACGATTTGCTACCTAAGACCGACTCTATCTAGATATCTAAGATACGACCTAAATTGCGATAAGAATTAGTCCTTAAATTAGACCGCCGCTATATATTCGAATAGGCTAACCTAACACGCATTTAATTTATAGTCGAGGTAGAAACAGCTAAACGAGCTATTTAGCTCTAATAACGACTAGAATCGAGGATCCGACTAGCTAGTACTAACTGCGGCAACCGTAGTGCCCGCGGAGGAAACTAAGGTTCCTACTAGGACAACAATGCTAACAATAGGAACAGTAACGACTATAGAAGAGGCCGTAGCCGACGGCTATATAGAGGAGGCTATAATAGAGGCTATAGAAGGAGCTCGTATCCTTACAACGCTAACTGCTTAACTAACAATAATAGCTACGGCAATGTTCTAACCGGATTGAAGTGCTTTAATTATAATAGCACTAGCTATCTACTAGGCTAATACGACAAACCTAAGGACTAGGCCCGAATCGACCGTACTACCGCTAAGTACCGAAAGCACCTTTTAGTAGCTAACGCTACCCCTACAGGCTAACCTTCGAAAAAAGAATAAGCGCCGCACTAACTGTTAGCCTTATACGGCGTAAGACTATTAATATTGTGCTAGCTATTATACGTACCTATCTCGTATCGGACTCGTATAGTACTAATTATAAGACTAAGGTTATACTAGATCTAGGAAATTTAGTTAGTGCCCTTATTAGCTATCGCCTAGCTAAGCAATTAGACCTTCGACAATTGCCTAGGACTAACTTGCTAACCCTTGCTTAGTTTAATAACGCTCGGTACTTAACCTATAGAGCCTACTATATTTATATAGCCCTAAGAGACGACCTCGGCAATAAGCGCCTACTAGACTTTACTACCTATATAGTAGACATAGACAACCTTCTATCCGATATTATTATTAGCAACCCTATTCTTAAGTACTATGCTATAGCTATAGACTTAGGCAGCTAATAGTAGCGATTTAGAATCGCTAGGAAAGAGGACATTAAGCATATCGATGTTAGCGAGTGCCCTAACGATATTAGGGTCCTATTTATTAGCAATCTAATACTAGCCTCCGCCTTAGCTAACCCGACTACCGACCTACTCGGTAGTAATAACGAAGAACCTATGCCCCCTAATAGTATAGACCCTAATTAGCTTGCTCGTATACTAGAGCCTATTCGAGAGACCTATACTAATGTATTTAAACACTACCTAGTATCGACATTGCCTATATTTAAAGAGACGGATTATAAGATTAATATTATAGAGGGCAAGGAGGTTCCTTTTAGACCCCTCTACAACCTTAGTAAGCGTAAGCTTGCTATATTGCGTAAGTACCTAGAGGAAAACCTAGCTAATAGTCGTATTCGGTATAGTAACAGCCCTACTAGTATACCTATCCTATTCGTACTAAAGAAGGACGGTAGCCTACGCCTATATATCGACTATCGTAGGCTTAACGCTATTACTATTAAAGACCGCTATCTACTCCCTCTTATTAATAAGACCCTCGATCGCCTTTCTAAGGCCTACTTCTATACTATTATTAGCTAGTAACCGGCCCTACACCTATAGGCTAGTTTTAAGCCTATATAAGAGGCCTCCTTCTATAGAGTAGACAGATTATTAACCTCGTATAGCATATTGTTTATATTACACTTCTATAATGCCTATATTATAGGGCTCTAGTTATTAGCCTAAGCGACAGTCTCGTTATCCTATCTTGCTAAATATAGCTGCCTATATTGCTATAGGTTATATTACCCTCGGTAGCCTATACTATTGCTATAAGTAGTAGTAGTAGTATTAGTTTCCGTCCTTTATTAGAGCCGAAGGTAGGGCTATCTCTTTATATCTAATAGGTTCGGGTATGTTAAAGGTAGTCTCTAGGCACGAATAGCTATAACCGAAGCGAGGGTACGATAAAAGCCTACAATACAGACGATACCGAAGTATCTTAAGGGGCCGTTACGATAAGCAGAGAAACCTCTTAACGAGGGCATCGCTTTAACCCCGAAAAGCTACAAACCCTTAGGACTATTATAGCTTAGGGCCTAGTCTATAACTATAGCTAGCTTCTAAGGACTCGGCTCCGGGTCGAAGACCTATTTAGTACCGCTTACTCGAGATAAGCTACCGCCCGCCTAAGGAGGAGATAGATTAATTACCTATCGGCCTTACTTGGTTTGCTAAGACTATCTATACGATAGCAATTTCTAGATTGTAGGTCGGATGCCTAGACAGTTCCCCTATTAACTAGGTAGATTGTTTCGGGATTCGCTGCCTCGTTTAGATAGTACTTAGCCTTCTACTAGAAAAAGAAGGTCCCCGCCCCCCGCCTAGCTAAAGGAGATAACGATAGTTAGTAAAGTAGCTAGTTTCTAGGATCTAGGTGTAAATAGAGATTATAGTTCCTTCCTCCGAGCGGCGTTTGTCTAAATTTACTAAATTAAAGCTCCTAGGGGTGTCTAGGCGACCCTTAGGAGGCTAAACTCTAATACTACCCTAGGGGTAATATTAGAAGAAAACAGCCTAGTACCCTATTTTCTCGTATAGCAACATCGAAACAAGCCAAACCTACAATATATACTAAAAACACTTTCCTATAGTATTTTATTTTAACTACTTTATAACAATCGAATAAGCTCTAGCAAAAGCGAGTATTACGAATTAGCGGAATCTTCGGAATCTAATAACCTACTAGACCCTATTAACGAAGAAATTAGGCGACGACTAGTTATTATAAGCGCTATCGACCTAGGGGCTATCGAGCCTTCTACGCCCGAGGCTCTCTATAATATCGTTATAAAGATAATTTAAGGGCAAACTAACCTTCTCCGTTAGAATAGGCGTCGCCCGCTAGAGCTAGGAAGTAGTAGGAACCCTTTGTTCGAAGGGTAGTATTAGCTAGTAACCGGCCCTACATACCTAGGCTAAGTTTTAAGCCTATATAAGAGGCCTCCTTCTATATTATAGATAGAGCACTAACCTCGTATAGCACATTGTTTATGTTACACTTCTACAATGCCTATATTGCAGGGCTCTAGTTATTAGCCTAAGCAACCGTCTTGTTA